TGCCGGCCTTTTAAAAAGGAATATGCTCTTCTCTTGAAAGTTATGTTGTCGTATCGGTTCGGAAATACTGCTGCTGGAAGTTGATTCCAAAGAGTGGTTGTGCGTGGGAGAAGGTGTCTTGAAAAACGCACGGTGGAGGACCGCCACTCGTCCAGATGGTTGGGATGAAATTTTAGTTTATGGCGGGTTAAGATAGTTGAAGCGTTACCATACTCCGAGGCGCTTTGCTTACCTTCCCAGTTCTGCTGCAGGAACACGACGCCCATGTCGTTGGGGACGCTGTCGAAGCCGCAAGCGCTCACCACATACACGCCCGCTTCGCGGGCCTGCGCGTCGTACACCAGCTGCATCGTCTCCATGAACTGGCCATCGAGAGGACATTATTGATCACTAGAGGAACTTATCTATACTTATATCAAAACTGTAGAGGTCGAATGTCTATACATAGGAAGAAAAAAACGCTAAAAACCGAGTCAAGGGGATGTTAGAAATAAAATAGAACACATACAGATTTTTTCGAATTTTTTATTTCTTTGTTTGTTTGTACGTACTAATCTCCGAAGCTATTCGATTGATTTAAATGAAATTTTGCATGGTGGTACCTTACATCCCCGTTCAACATTTTAGATACTTTTAATCAAGGAAAATTGAAGAGTTTTTTTTTATACAACTTAGAATGGCAAACAAGCTGACGGCCCACCTGATGAAAAGTGGTAACCGTCGCCTATATACATGAGCAGTACCATAGAGATCATTATGTGCAAAATGTTATTCCTCTGTACCCTGTAAATTCACGCCATATCCCACCCTTCAAACCGAAACACAGCCATGCAAACACAACTGCTTCATGGTTGTAACACGAATGGGACAGAGGTACCCAAGCAATCGACTTTTGTATAAAGTCTCTCTCTGGTAAGATAGTTAAAAAATTATAGTAACTTACACAGCTTAATACATAACCTACTTAAGTCATTTTGATCTAAGGCAAAGAAAACGACACGTCATTTTTTTATTTTGCTCCCGTATTCCCAGACATAATTAATAAAGGTGTTATTTCTCGTATCCTGTAAATTGTTTTATCTATGGTTTGTAGGACAACTCAAGTTAGTCAGTAAGGGGAGAAAGAGATTGTTAGCAATGAAGTTTGACAGCCCCATTGCTAGCAATATGCCCTGTTAGGTCGACCTCCACGTAGTTCCCCCTGGAAACCAGCGCGAACAATTCTTGTTGAATTCGTCACGATGGGCTAACTGACCTGCTTCATCCTAACCTATCATCCCTCACTGGTGCCCCGCCGGTGTATACCGATAGCGCGGGTGGGGTTACCATTCCATTATCACCCAATAAAAAAAAAAAACTAGTCTTGAATGTCTGATGCTGGCTGTAACATTGATAATCACCTGAGGCTCGCCGCTGACGTCCACGTAGTGGGTCTTGGCTTCGATGGCAGCGCGTACCACCGGCTCTCCATAGAGGCGGTACGGGCCACAGCAGTTCACCAGCACCTTCGTCTGCGAGCACATCTCCTTCAGCGATTTGTCATCTTTAATGTCGGCTACAATCAACTTCACGTTGGTCAGGTCACGATCTGCAAGATTATTGTATACAAGGTATAACGTCGGGGGGAAAAGAGATTGTTAGTAATGGAGACTAAGAACCCTATTGCTAGTAATATACCCAACCAGGTCGACCTCCTCGCGGTTCCCCCTGGAAACTATCATGGTTAATTCCTGATGAATTCATCATGATGGGCTAACCGGCCTGTTTTCATTCTCATCTATCACCCTTCATTGGTGCTCCGCCAGCGTATCCCGTTAGCGCAGGCGGGGTTACCATACCATTTTTACCCATAAAAAAAAGGTATAATAAAAATAATAATAAATCTTTATTTTCAGGTATATACACGTCACATCGAGCATTGTATGCGTCTGCTTATGTTAACACACACCTTTGTAGCGGCGATTGTTAGTGGTGGGGACTAGCAGCCCCATAACCAGCCATATATTCTGTTAGATTGATCTCTACTCCACCTCCACCATTTTTTTGCAATAGCTTTACGGGTAAATATTAGTGAGAGCTCATGATAAATATTACTGGAGAATTTTTAACATTTTATTTCAATAATGACTTGGGATGGTCGTGAAAATTGACTATATTAAGTCGCTGTTGTTTTTTCAAAGTAAATCTTAATTAAAAACAATTTTTTTTTTATACAACTCAGAATGGCAAACAAGCTGACGGCCGACTTAAGAGAAAATGGTAACCGTCGCCTATAGATATGACCAGTACTATGGACATAACAGAATATACTGTTTCGCCCATGATACCACCCATGCGTTGGCATTCCTGAGGACTCAGGTGTTATTCCTATGTACCCTGTAAATTCACGCCATATCCCACCCTTGAAACCGAAACACAGCCATGCAAACACAACTGCTTTACGGTTGAAACACGAATGGGACAGAGGTGGCCAAGCAAACTACTTTTGTACAAAGTCTCCCTCTGGTTAATATCCCAATTCATCTCATAATTACATCTAGACAAACCTCTAAATACCGATCAACAAACATACTTATAATCGAATCGATTTAAATAATCCATTCAATTAAAAAACGTCAACAGTTCTACGTAGATTTGCTAATGTTAATGCTATGTTGGAAACGGGAAAAGGTAAATACATAACAAGCACATTTATAGCAATACAAAAATAACCACAAATGTTCGCATGCGCATGACGGAACACGATATTATGTGTACGATAAGACGGTACTTGTAGTTAACGGGATCGAAGTACTAACAGTGGCTGATTATAGTTTTTTTTTTTTTTAATGAACGATAATGAAATAGCAAACCCGCCTGCGTTAACGGTATACACTGGGGGGAAAGGGATTGTTAGTAATGGAGACTGAGAATCCCATTGCTAGCAATATACCCAACCAGGTCGAGCTCCTCGCGGTTCCCCCTGGAAACTATCATGGTTAATTCCTGATGAATTCATCATGACGGGCTAACTGGCCTGTTTTCATTCTCATCTATCACCCTTCACTGGTGCTCCGCCAGCGTATCCCGTTAGCGCAGGCGGGGTTACCATACCATTTTCACCCATCAAAAAAAAAAAAAGGTATACACTGGCGGGGCACCAGTGAGAGATGATAAGTGAAAATGAGAAAGCAGATCAGTTAGCCCCTCGTGATGAATACACCTGGAATTTAGCACGATGGTTTTACAGGAGGGACCACGTGGACGTCGACCCTATGGGGCATATTGCTAGCAATGGGACTGATAGTCCGCATTACCAACAATCCCCCCCCCCCCCACCCACCAGGCTATCTTACAATTTATGATAGATAGATTACGACAATAATTAGAACAGCTATAGACATACGGAAAATATAAATATTACATGGGGACACTTAAAACAATTTTAATTAATAATGGTTAAATCGTCTAAAAGTCACATCACCAAAGGGAGACTTTATACAAAAGTCGTTTGCTTAAGCACCTCTGTCCCATTCGTGTTTCAACCGTGAAGCAGTTGTGTTTACATGGCTGTGTTTCGGTCTGAACAGTGGGATATGACAGTGAATTTACAGGGTACAGAGGAATAACACCTGAGTCCTCAGGAATGACAACGCATGGGGGGTATCATAGGCGACACAGTATACTCTGTTATGTCCATGATACTGCTCATGACTATAGGCGACGGTTACCACTTTCGATCAGGTGGGACGTCAGCTTGTTAGCCATTCTAAGTTGTATACAAAAAAAATCATAATGCTAAATCATGTAGGTACAAATGTACAATTGTGAAATAAACTTTCCGTTGATATCCAAAAAGAGATTCTATCGATACCTTCAAAAGATTAAAATCACGATATCTTTCCAACGTCGCTTAATAATTACCTTTATCATTATTATTTATAAGATTGTCATTATTGCGTAAGTACTCATTTATTTAATGCGTATATATTGTACATTTAACATATACGAGGTTTGTCCGGAAAGTACGTATAAAAGTTTTTTAAAAATTTTATTTTACAATTATTCAGGTAAATCAATTTTATCCCCTTCAAAGTACTCCCCCTGTGACATAATGCACTTGTGCCAACGCCGTTTCCACTGTGAGAAGGCTCCTTGAAAGTCCTCTGGTTGTAGGTTTCTCAGCTGCCCCGTCGTAGCTTTTTTTATCTCATTTATGTCCCCCAAATGCCGCCCCCGAAGTACCAATTTGGTTTTTGGGAACAAGAAGAAGTCACACGGGGCCAAATCCGGCGAATAGGGGGGTGTTCGGTCACCGTAATGGAATTTTTACTCAAAAACTCACGGAACGATCTTGGCGCAAATTTTTTTCATTTGAAGTTCGTTTCTTAGAATTTCGTGGACCACGGTTTTGCCCAAATTAAGCTCTTCAGCCACCTGTCTGACCGTTAAACGACGGTCCCCATTAACACAAGTTCGAATTCTTTCCACGTTTTCGTCGGAATGTGAAGTGGAAGGACGTCCTGAACGTGGGTCATCTTGAACGCTTTCTCGGCCCTCTCTGAATCTTTTTAGCCACTTGTGGACGGTTGGTTCCTTCACAGCATCATCCCCATAAACTGTTCTGAGATCGGCAAAAATTTCACGGCCATTCTTGCCGAGTTTCGAGAGAAACTTGATTACGACGCGCTGCTCTTCAACGGAAGCGGGCTCCATGCCGACGGGGTTTCGTTAAGAGGTAACTTCACAGATGGCGTGACAAGCCAGTTCGCACCGCACGGCGGTCAGACCAGAACTGAAGCATTGTTAGGGACATAAGGAAGGGGTCCTGCGCTTACCTGGCCTCCCCACTCCTCTTTCTCGCATTCCAGAACACTTTTATACGAACTTTCCGGACAGACCTCGTATATGTATATGTTGCAGTCAAAACACTTACCCAGTCAAAAGTACTATTGACTAGCAAAATCAGTCAAAAGTACTTTTGACGGACTTAACAGAGTATACTGTTTCGCCCATGATACCCCCCATGCGTTGCCATTCCTGAGGACTCAGGTGTTATTCCTCTGTACCCTGTAAATTCACGCCATATCCCACCGTTCAGACCGAAACACAGCCATGTAAACACAACTGCTTCACGGTTGAAACACGAATGGGACAGAGGTGCCCAAGCAAACTTTTGTACAAAGTCTCCCTCTGGCAAATATCCTAATTCATCTCATGATTACATCTAGCAAATCTAGACTAAATCTGAACTAGCAAAATCAGTCAAAACTACTTTTGACCGTATGCTTTAGTCAATAATACTGTTAACTAAAATAACAGTTAAACGTACCTAACCTAACCAAACCGGGGGGGAAAGGAATTGTTAGTAATGGAGACTGAGAATCCCATTGCTAGCAATATACCCAACCAGGTCAACCTCCTCGCGGTTCTCCCTGGAAACTATCATGGTTAATTCCTAATGAATTTGTAATGATGGGCTAACTAGCCTGTTTTCATTCTCATCTATCACCCTTCACTGGTGCTCCGCCAGCGTATCCCGTTAGTGCAGGCGGAGATACCATTCCATTTTTCACACATCAAAAAAAAACCTAACCGCAAATTTGCAGTCAAAACCACTTTAGACCAACTCTTTTTGCTAGTCAATAGTACTTTTGACTGGTTACGAGTTTTGACTGGAACATATATATTCTTATTTACGTAGGTTTATTTTTATATGTATGTATGGTATACATACATATATAAAAATATAAACCTAACTAAAGTAGCCATGTAGGTCCTGACATAGAATAAGCCCTTTCTTCCTTTCCAATGGGTGTCGTAAAAGAAGGGAACTAGATGGTCGGGGGGGAAAGGGATTGTTAGTAATGGGGTCAAACAGCCCTATTACTAGCAATATACCCTGTTAAGTCGACCTCCACGTGGTTCCCCCTGGAAACCATCGTGACTAATTCTAGTTTAATTCGTCAGGATGGGCCAACCGACCTACTTTCATCCTCATCAGTCATCTATCACTGGTACCCCGCCAGTGTATACCAATAGCGCAGATGGGTTACCATACCATTATCACCCATTAAAAAAAAAAAAAACTAGATGGTCGACAGATAGGTAGCAGCGTCCCTCTTAAAACATCAGATCGGATACAAATATTCAAATATTACGACATTTACATGCTTATGTATGATGACACAGAAACATTGATAGAAAGTTGTTCTAAAAAAAAAAAAAACAAAATATTGAATTTCTAATAGAGTATTGTTGAGCTGTATTTATTTCCTCCATGTTGCATTATGTATCACTACATAGTATAAAACAAAGTCACTTCCCGCTGTCTGTCCGTCCGTATGTATGTTTAAATCTTTATAACTACGCAACGGGTCTTCCATGAAATGAAATCCCAAAATTTCGGACTCAATTTAGTGTCTTTGTTTATACCAAAATCGGACCAATAAATGGATTTTAACATTTCGTTCGTCATACATCCTATCATAAAAGTCCAAAGGAACAATATTTTAACATTTTTAATATTTCCAAACGGCATGTATTATGTAATTTTAACATGAAATTTGTGTTTCGTTTGGCTCCGAAATTTCGGAAAACATTTTATGGTAGGCCCTTAGATTTTGATGCGATATTTTTTAATAGATAGGGTGATTCAAGAGGAAGGTTTGTATGTATAAAACATACATAACATAGTAAGAGAAACACTGATAATTTTAGAGGTGTCGTAAATAAACATGCATGGGGGGTATTATGGGCGAAACAGTATACTCTGTTATGTCCATGGTACTGCTTACGTCTATAGGCGACGGTTATCACTTTCCATCAGGTGGGCTGTTAGCTTGTTTGCCATTCTAAGTTGTATAAAAAAAAACACACAAATTTGTGTACGCTTATATTGCAAACGCTGGTTGAACCCTACGAGATAGAACAAAATAGTGTACTACCTTAAGATCTACAAAAAAAAAGTTCGCGATGGTGTGTCTATCTCTTAGGAATAATTGTGGGTTCAGTGTCCGTACGAAGCCGGGGCGGGTCGCTAGTGTATCTATAAACAAGTTCACAATGTCGTCAACACTGGAAGATATAACTTTAACCGCTTACCATCAGGTGGGCCGTATGCTTGTTTGCCACCTCAGTGGTATAAAAAAAAAAAAAGATAGACAAATATTATTACCAGAAGTTCTACAACGTTCCATATTAGTCATCAATCGATTATAACCATTAAATTATAATAGTATTCTTTTTTTTTTTTTTAAATTTATTCATGACCATGGATACAAGTCCTTCAGTCGATAATAGTATTCAATCTTCGAGTGTTGCCAGTCGCACACATATGGTATTAATGGTAGCGGAATTAAACAAAATAATTATAAAAAAAAAACTACTAAATTTCGTTCAAATCTGTTATGTATTGGTTATTTTATTTATTTGGCGCACATAACATAAGTTTACAAATACAAACTTAAACTATAATATGCAAATATATTAATATATTTTACTTTAAAATATGTTTCTGTAATGTGGGTACTTCACAATTTTGTATGTAGGTAGGTGAAATTTTGACAGCATATAAAAAGAGATATACAATTGAGTACGGACGTGTTTTATTTATTACAGTTTCATACAAATATAGAGGGTAAAAGATAAATAAAGCAGTTTGCTTTTTAATATCAACATGGATATATTATTTAGTGGCGTGAGTTATTGAAAAACAAAAAAATTACTTACGAGGTCATGCTACAAATAGAAAGCGTACTAATAGTTATTAGAGGGGGGAAGGGATTGTTAGTAATGCGTACTACCAGCCGCATTGCTAGCAATATACCCTATGAGGTCGACCTCCACGTGGTCCCCTGGAATCCATCGTGTTAAATCCTAGGTGTAGTCATCACGATGAACTAACTGCTTTTTCATTCTCACCTGGCTGGCACCTATCACTGCTGCCCCGCCAGTGTATATCGTTAGGGCGAACAGGGTTGCCATTTAATTATCATCCATTTAAAAAAAAAACACCTATTCGATATTCTGAGTGTATAACACCATTCACACTAGTGATGAAAGAGGAAGGGACAATAAGGATGTGTGGCAATTATCGTGTGAATGTCGCTACAGTAACAGACACGCCCTTCCAACGACAAATGAAACGATTGTAAGGTTGAATGCGGGTAGAATTTTCAAACCTTTAAAAAAAATAAAAGATACTTGAAAGCCAAAATATAAAGTGGCAAGAAAAGTTATGTAACGTCTTATATTATTTAAGAAAATAACAGAATCGGGGGGGAAAGGGATTGCTAGCGATGGAGTTTGACAGCCCCATTGCTAGCAATATGCCCTATTACGTCGAACACCACGTGGTTCCCCCTGGAAACCATCGTGAACAATTCTTGTTGAATTCGTCACGATGGGCTAACTGACCTGCTTCATTCTCACCTATCATCCCTCACTGGTGCCCCGCCGGTGTATATCGATAGCGCGGGTGGGGTTACCATTCCATTAACATCAATTGAAAAAAAAACATAAACATTCTCTCTTTTGTACCACACTTTATTTTTGTCAATAAAGTTGTTTAAATAAAATGAATGAGCATCTTTTTTTTATATTTTACAATATGATAACGTAATGACCTTTTGACCCGTACATAGGTAACACTACTGGTCGATTCACCGCAAACCCGTATGTGTGGGTCGGTGCTGTGCCTTTGCTTTACATTGCTGGTCAGCACTGCTAGGTATCGATCGCTATCGGTATACACTGGCGGGGCACCAGTGAGGGATGATTGGTGAAGGTGAAAAGGCAGATCAGTTGCCCCATCGTGACGAAATTGACGATAAATTAGTAACGATGGTGTCCAGGGGGAACTGCATGGAGGTCGACCTGATAAGGTATATTGATAACAATGGGAACTAACCTTGCCATTACTAACAATCCCTTCCCCCCCCCTTAATTTATATTATTTATCACTAGAAAGTCAGACGAAAATTTTAATTAGCACAGTAATTAGTATAGGCTAGATAACTCATCACCTTTCGGGTCAAGGTAATTATATGATAAATAGACGCAACCTATAAACTTATAATTAGCAATATGGTTTTAATTGGGGGGAAAAGGATTGTTAGCAATGGAGTTTGACAGCACCATTGCTAGCAATATGCCCTATTAGGTCGACCTCCACATGGTTCCCCCTGGAAACCATCGTGAACAATTCTTGTTGAATTCGTCACGATGGGCCAACTGACCTGCTTTATCCTCACGTATCATTCTTCACTGGTGCTCCGCCAACGTATCCCGATAGCGCAGGCGGGGTTACCATTCCATTATCACCCATTAAGAAAAAAAATGGTTTTAATTACCTGTTATCTTGGTGAGATCTTTAATTAACGCCTCCAGTTTATCCTGCGAGCGGCCAGCCACCCCCCACGAGAGGGTATCATAGTCCTTACCGCCGCGGGCCACCTCCTCCGCAGCCTTCCTTCCCGTGAAGCCAGTCGCACCAAAGATCACCAGGTCCAATCGTGACATCTGCGAAATTGATTACTGTCATTCAAGTATATACTCCTATTTTTTCTAACACGGAAAGCAATGCAAACAAGCTTTTTTTTCATACAACTTAAAATGGCAAACAAGCTGACGACCCACCTGATGGAAAGTGGTAACCGTCGCCTATAGACATGAGCAGTACCATGGACATAACAGAGTATACTGTTTTGCCCATGAAACCCCCTATCCGTTGCCATTCCTGAGGACTCAGATGTTATTCCTCTGTACCCTGTAAATTTACGCCATATCCCACCCTTCAAACCGAAACACAGCCATGCAAACACAACTGCTTCACGGTTGAAACACGAATGGGACAGAGGTACCCAAGTAAACGACTTTTGTACAGTCTGGTGATGGCTCACCTGATGGAAAGTAGCAATCACCACCTATGATATGAACATCTCAGAATATCATCACACACACACACACACACACACATCATCCATGTCCCTCATTACTATTCCTCTCTACTTTCAATGAGATGAAAAGGAAATGATAACCCTGTCTGTGCTATTGGTAAATGATGATGGCAAAATATCAGTGAAAGCTATAAGGCAAAGTAAGGTCATTTGGTAAATTGTAACCAATTCATCAGGAATTAACCATAATGATTTCCAGGAGGGACAGCAGAAGTCAACCTGATGAATTGATCATGATGGGCTAACTGGCCTGTTTTTATTCTCATCTATCACCCTTCACTGGTGCTCCGCCAGCGTATCCCGTTAGCGCAGGCAGGGCTACCATACCATTTTCACCCATCAAAAAAAAACCTACTAGGATATACTTTTAATAGTGGGGTGGTTAGTCCCCATTGCTATGGAGGGTGGGGGGGAGGGATTGTTAGCAATGTGGCTTACCAGTTCCATAGCTAACAATATACCCTAACAGGTCGACCTCCCCATGGTCCCTTGAAAACCATTGTGCTAAATTCCAAGTATATTCATCATGATGGGCTAACTGACCTGTCTTCTCAAATATCACTACTTACTGGTGCCCTGTCAGGGTACACCGTTAACACAGGCGTGGGTTACCATTCCATTATCATCCATTAAAAAAATAAGTCCCCATTGATAACAATCTCTGTCCCCAGGATTACGATATTATGCCTCCATATCCTGTAATTCACACCTTGTTTATAATATCTCATTCTTCAAACTGAAAAACAGCCATATAAATACAGCTACTTCACAGCTGAATTATGGATCGGACAGAAGTACTCATACAAACAACTTTTGTATGAGTACTACCTTCTGATAAATTTATTTAGAATTTTACTATTAGCTAATATAAGATGTATATGTTGGGGCCAGCACTGTACAGCTTATATACAAATGATTTACCCATAGAAGTTCAAATCGGTGATGATATTGCATTATAATAAATAATTGAATAAAAATTAAATTGAAAATTTAAAGAAATAAATTCAGTGGGTAGGACAATTTTTTTTTAACTGTTGAGCGGTAGTTTAATTTTTTAAGGCGTCATTACCACATTCAAAGGACACTTCAAGGGTGCATTGTCCATATAGATTGACAAATAGCCGTAGGTAACAAATCTGTATAAATGCAATTATTAGAATATTCTGGATCATGGCGAAATAACACATACCAGACTATTTGCCATTCAATAATTTACAAAATCAACTTAGCTGAGTCATAACGGTAATGAATTTGGTTTATAGTGATTTGCCGGTAATTCACTATAAATAAATTCATTAGCGATTTGAAATTCGAAAAATGCAACGCAATTTTGATATGCACCCAATATATATTTTTCTTTCCTTCATCAATCACAAAAAAAAATATACAGCTAAAACTTACGTTTTTGATGATACAAATATTTCCGTATGGTATGATTCAATGGGTTACTTATTACCTACAAAATTCCAAATAAATACAATAAAACTTTTAAGGACACCTTTCAAAATGATGCGGTAAATTTATACTGATGATTTCATTTGATGACCACAAACTGAGCAGAACAATGTTGCCGTTCTACAAAATTAAAAGTTCCTAGATAATCTCAAAAAAAAACCGTCAGTTATGGGAAAAAATAACTTATGGAAATCCGATAAATCACCAGGTCTTACTTAATATGTAATATCGCATAAATCTGATATGATTTTATAGTCATTTGAGGATAATAAATACCTTTTTACTCTCCTAAATCGAAAAATACATAATAATAATTTTACAAAATTGTTGTATAATAAAAAGTAAAATAAATAGAATATATTTATTGAAGAAACTCCGTGACAAAACAAGACAGTAATCCTTAATCTTTACATAAATAAAACCAAAAACTTTAGAAAAATATTTAAGACAATTATGGATTTCGAATCGTTGAAGTGTTTTTCTGCATCTATCAGTTAAGTGGTCCACGTAGTGAGTTGAGTTATATTCAGCAATATATAGGGTTATCATTCAGCTCTTGAACTATATTTACAAATTTTCAGTGCTGCCAGAAAGAAAGTCAGTTATAGCAAGATGCAGTCATAAACCTAATTGTGGTGAGGTAGCGATGCGCGACGTCAAAAAGTTATACGGCCGTATAACCCTTTTTTGTCGAGGGGAAATACTTCATACAGACCCACATACCTCGGGGGAGATATATGGGTACTTCCGGGCTCTTACCAGCTAAAACCCCCCGGTGTTCCTCGTCTACCTATTGCCGAAGCCGCGGGGAACCCGCTTAAAGTCATCCGAGACGGCTGTATAACCCTAACAAATTCAGATGCTATTTATTGGCAACCATATGATTTACAGTTTTTATTTTATCTTTCTATGTAATTCCTTGTTTTAAGAGTTTACCCGATTGTTAGAATGTTATAATTTTTTAATGGTAAGAGTGTTGCCAAGTTAAAAGTAGAAAAAATAACCAATATTTGGTAAAAGCAAGTTTTTTTATACAACTTAGAATGGCAAACAAGCTGACGGCCCACCTGATGGAAAGTAGTAACCGTCGCCTATAGATATGAGCAGTATCATGGATATAACAGAGTATACTGTTTCGCCAATGATACCCCGCATGCGTGGCCATTCCTTAGGAACTCAAATGTTATTCCTCTGTATCCTGTAAATTCACGCCATATCCCACCCTTCAAACCAAAACATAGCCATGCAAACACAACTGCTTTACCATTGAAATACGAATGGGACAGAGATACGACTTTTGTACAAAGTCTCCCTTTGGTTAAATACAGTTTTAATAAGAAATTGCGACTGTATTACAAAATTGATATTTCAGTACCCAGTGGCGTTCTTTTTTTCTTCGTCGTCGTATTCAATTCTAGCAACAGATTCAGAAAAAAGCCTTATTTGAAATTAGTTACTTATTAGTTAAATAATTTAAATATGGAAATTAGTATATAATTAATTTAGTAATCGATATATAAAATTAGTAATTAGGTACTAATTAGTCGAAAAACTAATTTTCGGATTCGTGCATCGCTATGGGTAGGTGCCAGCTCGTTACACCGATATCAGTACCTAAGCCTTCCTATTGGTTGCCACGTGTAGCATAATTCGCGCCTTTTCGCTTGTTCATGCGCGGTACCTATTTTACCGAATGTGTGCTCGGCGCGACTGCGCCGCGCTTATCGACTCAGTTTTACCTCCGTATCGTCCGCGTATGCGTATGCATCCATATGTATACTGTTCCCGCGTTCTCAGCCGTTTATTGATACCTATATAATTCGTACCAGGGGAAGGAATTGTTAATAATGCTGAGGAAGTCCCCATTGCTATCAGTATGACCTATCAGGTTGACCTCCACGCGGGTTCTTTTGGAAACTATTGTGACTAATTTATTGTTGTATTTGTCACGATGGGCCAACGGACCTGCCTTTTTATCCTCACCTATCACCTCTCACTGATGCCCCGCCAGTGTGTGTCGATAGAGTAGGCGGGATACCATTTTATTATCATCCATTAAAAAGAATAATTCGTACCTCCTATACATTGTTAATTGTACCTCTACTTTGTTTTGTGTGTAGCAATATACCACTTATACCTTTTAATTTGCTCTACTGACTAGCTTGCCCACTGTACAGTTGTTTATTTTGCGAAATTAATTCGCAATGTTTTTTATGCTTTTTTGTTACCAAATGTTTCTTGAGATCGTTGAGCTTAGAATAAATTTCACGATGGTAATAACTGCAGAATGCTTTGAGTTACCTGGCAATGGTTTGCAAATGTTTAAATTAAAAACGCTAAACAGTTGTGAAATCCCGTAAGACTAGCGACTTAGTCTTTAGAACGGCAACATTGAAACAGAATCTATAAAAATATAACCACAGACCAAATAATGACCTACTGTAACTATGACAAGACAAATTGACAGCATGAAACAATCTATATGGCTATCACTGTCAAACGTCAACAGAATAAGAAGGTATGTAGTTATTGTCATTAATGTCAAAAGCGTAAAATTTAATTTGGCAGGTATTTATTAATTGCTTCGTTGGGACTTTGCAACTCTGTTGGGTAACCTAAAAAGCCGATATAAGTTAAATCAGTATAAATTTAAAATGGAGTTGAATGAGAAAATTTTACACTATCTAGATAAAAGTGATAAAGTAGACACTTTGAAATTAGCAAGTGAATTTAATGAGGACCATCAGAAAATAGTGGGAGCAGTGAAGAGTTTGGAAGCACTTGATATGGTAACCTCGGAGGCTGTCAAAAGTACACGATGGGAACTGACTGAAGAAGGGCAGCTTGTAGCCAGCAATGGCAGCCATGAGGCTGTACTCTTTAGGAGTATACCGGATTCTGGCATTGCACAAGCTGAATTAATGAAGGTATTAACATTATTATAGAACCTTTTAAAATGTTTATTTTTATTTGTAACTTGAATAAAGAATAGCTTATGTCTATTACTTTTTATTTCAATTATCGTATATATATATGAAATTGTAATACTGTTGATTGAGTCATTAAGTAATAAATGTGCAAATAAACACACATTTTTAATAATAGGGAGGAACAGATGTAATTCATGCATTTCCTTGTGTAATTGACTCTATGTGTTAAATCTAGAACATGTCTGTTTGTGTACAAAAATTTATTAAAATCCTATTAGTAATTTACTGTTTAAATCAAGTGATGGACATGTAAACAGTCTCACACACATTTGTATTGATAATAGTAATAAGTAGGATATGAGATTTGTTCTAACGATTAAATCTTTACAATATAATAAACAACTAATATTTCAACGTACATTCCATTTGCTGTCTCTAATGTGGGTCGCTTTTATTGATCTTACCTTTTTATTGCCAAGAATTGGACTAATGTACCACTACTAATTGTCACTATGTACTCTCTAATGTTCTCTGTCTATGTCTATAGGTCATGGTTACTGTTTTGTGTTGTCCTTTGCCCTCTGTTTAATTGCCATTTCTAGTTGCATAAAAAAGTCTTCAAACAAAATATGTGTCCTTTAAAAATAGGTATATACACATACATACTTTTGGATACATTTTTGTGCATAGCTAAAGACTCTGCTCAAATCTTGGGGCTTCAATACCCCCCCCCCCCCCTCCCCCATTATATACACCTAATAGTATAAAAGGAAGAGATAGAAAACAGTCCAATAGCTAAAATAGGTTTATGAGATGTGATTGATATATTTATGAAAAAGAGGGTTTTCTGAAGTGGAAGGTTGTCAGTATACTGAAACCTGAAATTACCTTGTCTTTAAAATTACCACTTTCCATCATAAAGTTTTATTTTTGCTATTGCAATAGTACTTATAACTAAAATCTTATTTCAAATTGAAAGTAATAATATATAATGAATTCTTTTTCAGACTGTTCCAAATGCAAAAGTAGGTTTCAGCAAAGCAATGTCATCTGGCTGGATACTTATAGATAAATCTGGTGGATCACCACTAGTTAAAAAAAAAGTTGATAGCATAACAGACACAGTGCAAGATCATTTAAACGAGATAAATAAAGGCATAGACAATTTAGCTGACAATGTACGGAATGACTACAAGAAAAGGAAATTGCTCCAAGAGGTGACAGTGAAAAGTTTCTTGCTTTCTAAGGGGGTTAAATTTGCTACAACGATTACCAAATTAGAAACAGACTTAACGAGTGACATGTTATTAACTGGATCCTGGAAGACGTTGCAGTTCAAGCCGTATAATTTTGATGCTTTAGGTAATTATATAAAAATGCTGTCAACTGCACAGCTATGCTGATATAATCTTTATACATAGTGATCATCGATTACAGATGATTATGATATTACACACACAGTTTATGATAAAATTAAAGAATAGTTGCATAAATTTTACCCAAATATTAATACAGGTAGAGACTAAATTGATCAATTTTTATTTACATAATAATAATATTGCAAAAATTTCCATTTATCATAACTTTTATCAAGTCACAAAAAATAATTAAATATTATATTAAATTGTGCCCTTAAATTTTAATCAGATCTCTGCTAACTATACATTTTTACTAAATATTTAGTCTGACTCAAAGTTGTTATTATTATATTAATAATTTGATTGTGGTTTAAGCCAGTTGGTTTAATGTTGTAGCAAGTTAAATAGTTTTACTTGCATCATGCGCACTAATTAAGGGACACCATTATCAGAAGGCTTAGTTTCACACCATAGAATCTAAGGGATAGTGAATGAATTCCTTCCTGGTATGTTCTTTATTGACCACAACACCGGTTTCTTGGGTTGTGGTAAAGTTTGATTACTTGCAACATGTTATTTTGCTGGCAACAGGCATCATTAGTCAGATGATAAATAAGAATCTCATTGCATTATGAATAAAGATCTTACTGCATGAGGATTAGAGTATTAATTTAATTGCATGGTGAATAAGTCGCATGATAAATAAGAATGTTACTGCATCATGAGTATTTGCATGTTTAAGATCACTATTATAGAGAAAGTGGTAAATTTTTTAACCTGTGATCGGTTATTATTTGAAATTACAAACTAGCTGATAGAAAGTGGTAATTGTTGCTTAGTCATAAACAGATCTATGGGCATCATTGATTCTTATGGTACCTTCCTCTCTTTCAAACATTTTATGAAAAAAACATGAGTCGAAATACGGTAACGTACAAGCAACTCTTCTAGTATTGCAAGTATTCATGGGCGACGATAGCTGCATTCCATTATGTAATCCGTCTTCTCGTTTTTCTATGGAGAAAACAAAACAAAAAACGAAAAATTTTTCAGTGTTCCTTGACAGTTCTTGAGCTCCTAAATTGACGTCTGGACGACCCCATATCCATATCAGTATGAGATACAATTCTTACTGTTTATTTACCAATGTATGTTTGAAAAGAAATGTTTAATTTCCCTAATAGAATATAGAATTAAAGGAATTCTTTACTGAACTAAGTGTTATTTTATGGAAGTCCACATCATTGGTTTGTCAATTAGAATTATTTTGTTTAATTCGGCTACAATTAGTATGCGTACGACTGGCAACATTCGAGGATTGACGAATCAGCAGAACACAAAAGTAATTAATTAACTGCATTAACTATTTCTTGACACATATATCCTAATACATAGGGCTACAATATGAAAATCTTAGTTATGATAAAGGAGATTTAGATAAACTCAGCGAGCGAGACTAAATTTAAAAAAGTATAATGCCAATATTGCCATATGAAAATTTGTGTTATATGGATATACTAGGTAGAGTGACGACCTCAAACGCATTGCAAAAAGTCAATGCATGCAGTTGGCTCAGGATCGTTCATTGTGCGAGTCCATGAGGAGATCTATGCTCAGCAATGGATGATGACGGAACAAGTACTATAATCTTCCATATTAGTCATCAACTGGCATTTAAATAATTTTAAACAATTAAACAATTAAAATAATATTAGAGATTTTGATTTCCTAAATCAGACTTAAATTAATTTCAGGTCAACCCCCCGAATGTGGTCATCTTCATCCACTTTTAAAAGTACGGTCAGAGTTCCGTGAGATCTTCTTAGAAATGGGCTTCACTGAGATGCCAACAAATAGATACGTGGAGAATTCATTCTGGAACTTCGACGCGCTGTTCCAGCCCCAGCAGCACCCCGCGAGGGACGCCCACGACACATTCTTCATGTCATCACCAGTCACAAGTAGTGAGTTCCCTACAGAGTATTTGGAAAGGGTCAAGAAGGTGCACAGTGAAGGAGGTTACGGTTCACAGGTATATATTTTATTTATTATTAACTAAATGACCTGGCGTATAGTCCCGGCATAGAATAGGCCATCCCTTCCTTTCTACTGGGTGTCGTAAGAGGCGACTAAGGGATGCGCAGCAGCATCCCTCTTAAAATATCTCTAAAGACTAACTGCGGTTGCCAACCCGCCTGCCAAGTGTGGCATTTATTGGCAAATATGCTATTAGTGGTACTTCTTTCTTTATTATTGTACACAAGTGCAGTGATAAAAACATTTAATTTTAAACGGAATGAACAAATGCTTATCTCTATTAAGAGATTTCTTCCAGCAAACCTTTTCATGTGTGTACTTCTTAAATCTACACGTCCGAAGTCGTTGGCGAATAATAATAATAATAGCCTAGCCTTTATTGCTGAAAGTATTACATTTTTTTTTACAAACATTTAACACTAGAATTCTAATCGACTTTTCCAGCTTGTCCTTTGACATAGGCCTCCTCAAGATCCTTCCACTTTTCTCTATCTTTCGTTAATCTATACCACAACTTTCCCGCTGTTCTTTTTATGTCGTCCTCCCATCTTTTTTTCTGGCGAAAAATATTCTTGTCCTATATTATGGATACCAGTCTGTGACTGATCGTGTCCATGTGCTATTTTGTCTCCTCATAATATGTCCTGTCCACCTTCACTTGAGTTCTTTTACAGTTTTTATTACATCTTTCAATTTTGTTTTTCTTTTTATTTAGTCTATTGTTATTTTATCTTTTAATGTTATGTTTAAAATGCTTCTTGCGATGTTGTTCTATAATAAATTACGTGTCTGCCACGTAATTTATTCAAAGATTTATCTGTTAGAGACTAAGTCTGACATCCATATGATAAACATGGTAACAGACTCATATTAAATACTTTTCGTTTCTCTACTAAAGGTATTAATTTATTTTTCAATATTTAGCGGGCGAATAGCTGGTATAAAATATTTTGACATAACCATATGTTTTACAAGCTGTTTATTTGGTCTTACAGGGCTACAAATACAAGTGGAAGATAGAGGAAGCCCAGAAGAACTTACTTCGCACACACACCACCGCAGTGAGCGCTCGTATGCTTTATAAACTAGCGCAGCAAGAGAAATTCACGCCGCAAAAGTATTTTAGTATTGATAAGGTAAGTAGGTGCTTTATATTATTCTCAATTTCGTGTATAATATAGTATATGTCATATATGTGTAAGTATATTTGTTATTCATATATATTTATTCGTTTATATATGTAATTTTAGTATGTATGTATATCAATAATTAGTAGTACTGCATTCGAGTATTCTGACACTTCCCTATGGTTGACTGGGAGAGAATGCTTTTAGCATTAAGTCCGCCATGTACACATATTTGTACTAATGAATAAATAAATAAATGTATGAATATTATAAATAAATTAATAATAATTTGCCATGTAATCCCGACATAGAATGGGCCACCCCTTCCGCTCCTGTGGAACGGAAGAGGCGACTAAGGGAACTTAATAGTTGAAAGATGGGCAATAGCGTCGCTCTTAAAACATCACTAAATGTCTAACTGAGGTTGCCAACCCGCCTGCCAAGTGGGGCAACTACGGGCAAAAAACCCCCTTATGGGGAAGGCCTATGTTCAACAGTGGACACTTAACAGCTGATATGGTAATGATGATTGATGATTTCCAGAGGGCATCGCGTGAAGGTCGAACTGTTAAGGCATAGACAAGCAATAGATCCATTTAGATCCCATTACTAACAATCCCTTCCCCTTGTCTTGTTAGGTATTCCGTAACGAGACATTGGACGCGACGCACCTGGCGGAGTTCCACCAGGTGGAGGGCGTGGTGGCCGACCGAGGGCTGGGGCTGGCCGACCTGATCAGCATCCTCGACACCTTCTTCAAGCGGTTGGGCTTCGACCAGCTACAGTTCAAACCTGCCTACAATCCCTACACCGAGCCCAGTATGGAAATCTTCGCATACCACACAGGTTAGTAATTTATTTGGCTCATTCCCACATTAAATTATTAAATATGGGGTAAGCTCTTCTAAATTTACAGGTCCAGGATTTTCTGCTCTGGGTTGTTGAGTAGTCCTATGTAGAGTAGTAAGGGGGAGGGGGAGGTATTGTTAGTAATACAGACTATCAGTCCCATTACTAGCAAGTATATATCCTGTCGGGTCGACCTTCACATGGTGCCCCCTGATAACCATCGCACTGAATTCTAGGTAAATAAATCACGATGGGCTAACCTGCCTTTTCATCCTCACCAATCATCCCTTACTGTATATTTGTTTATGTATTAATAGTTGTAGCACTTCAGCTGCCCGCTAACGAAATGCTTTCTTACTGTACTGGGTGGACTGGAAGAGATCTCTGTCAGAGATAAGTCCACCCTTGCTCACAACATTTATAAATACATTATTTTATATGTAACTTACAAGTGCAATAAAAGATGGTGTATAAGAAAGTAATTTCGCCAAATTATTCTTTTTCTAAAAGTGGTTAAATAATACTGAGTTTTCCTATTCAACAGGTCTTGGTAAATGGATAGAAATCGGCAACTCAGGTGTCTTCCGGCCTGAGATGTTACTCCCCATGGGACTGCCAGAGGACGTGAATGTGATCGCATGGGGCCTCTCATTAGAACGTCCTACCATGATCAAGTACGGGCTCAACAACATCAGGGACCTAGTTGGCCCCAAAGTCGACCTGCAGATGGTACAATCGAACCCCATTTGTAGACTTGACAAATAATTAAATTTTAATTTGTATGTTTATTTATTTGAAATATACATTAAGAATGTGAATTTATTTCATTTTGTGTCTCCATTTCCCGAACCAGCATCTATCATTCGGCAAAAATAATAAATAATCTGAAACTGTAACGTATATTGTATTATTTTGTAAATGACTGTTTGTTGCCATAAATAAATAAAAAAAATAATTATTATACTCACGACTACAATCGCTTATAGGGTAGTCAGAGGCATTGTAGGCTGTTACCGTTATGGTATGGTAAATGTAATATTCGATCTGTCTACTTGTCTATGCTTCGGATCTGTGACACATGACAGTTTACGAGTCTCTCGCGCGTTTAATACTTGGTTGTCAATTTATTGATTGAATTGTTTTTGGTGGAGTAGCCAGAATTACGAAAGAGATTTTTTTTTTTGGGTGAAAATAGTATGGTAACTTCGCCTGCGCTAACGGAATACGCTGGCGGAGCACCAGTGAAGAGTGATAGATGAGAATGAAAACAGGCCAGTTAGCCCGTCATGATGAATTCATCAGGAATTAACCATGATAGTTTCCAGGGGGAACCGCGAGGAGGTCGACCTGGTTGGGTATATTGCTAGCAATGGGATTCTCAATCTCCATTACTAACAATCCCTTTCCCCTCTACGAAAGGGATTAATTGAACACGAATGAATGGAGATGTTAATAGGGGTCGCCCTAGAAGGATGTATGTCGACTAAATAGGCGACGTGCTGGGGGTCAAATTAAAAGTACCCATAACCGGCGAGCGTGTATGAAAAGATTGATGAATGTGGAAGAAGCGAAAGAGGTCTGTTAGAAACGGGGCATTTAGCGTTCCATTGTTTTTACTTACCCCAATGAGAGATAGGCGTGCAAAATATGTATGTAAATATTTTACTAATTATAATAATTGTATTGGATCGCATTAGAAAAGAGGATGACTAGATAATAATATAGATGGTAAATAAGAGAAATAAGGCATTTATGTTGGAAAGTAAAGGGGGGGGGGGCACTGCAGTTGCGGAAAAGACTGGGACATTGCAGCGGTTCGAGAGGCCGGGGTCACAAACCCCTATGCCCTTATTCTAGAATCGGACAGATTTCTAGAGGGCACCTCAGACGCAAGAATAGTACAGTAACTATTTGTACAATTACTACAATATAGCGTAAAGGTAAACAAACTTTTTATTCTCATTTCTCGGTAAAGAACAAAAGAATCTCACCGAAATTGACATAAATAACATTTATACGTCAATGTAATTTTGATTTACGTTTTTAATTTTATTTATTATGTTTTCTCTACCATGTAGAAATATAAGAAGGAAGCTACCTCCTAAACAGTATTTAACATTTGTGAGGTGTTACGAAATACCGAAACACTTGGTGAAAGTGGCCACCGATCCCGACCCTAGCTTCTACAGGATGGTGGAATACTTTTATCATTCAGCGGTGAAGGTGTGCGAGCCCGCTCTAGTGGAATATCTGAAGAAACATACCCACTTTTCAGACAAGAAGAGAACAAATCGGGTAGCCGGTATATTGAAGGTAAGTAGGTACAAAATTTGTTTTGGTCATTCGAAAAGGACGGATGAAAGAGATTTATTAAGCACGGATGAATGGAGACGTCGATAGGGACCACCCTAGAAGGATGTATGTTGACTAAATAGGCGACGTGCTGAAGAAGGGTCAAATTAAAAGAACACGTAACCGGCGAACGTATATGAATGGATTGATGAATGTGGAGGAAGCGAAAGAGGTCTGTTTGAATCGAGGCACTTGGCGTTCCATTGTTTTTACTTACCCCAATGAGAGATAGGCGTGATAAATATGTATGTATGTATGTAAATATTATTAAATTGTATTGGATCGCGGTAGAAAAGAGACATACGATATCTAGAGTGAGACATATACATTAATTAGTACATATAATAATACCATAATGGTCGAAGTAGATATTTAATGTGTTTTTTTTAATGGATGATAATGAAATGGTAACCCCGCCTGCGCTAACGGTATACGCCAGCGGGGCACCAGTGAAGGATAATAAGTGAGAATGAAAAGGCAGGTCAATTAGCTCATCGTGATGAATCCACCTGGAATTCAGCACGATGGTTATCAGGGGGGAGGGGACACGTGGAGGTGGACCTGACAGGGTATATTACCAGCAATGGGACTGTTAATCCACATTGCCAACAATCCTTTCCTCCCAATATTTAATGTATAGGTATATATTTAATTGAACATACATACTAATCACTGTATATACTATATATACATATATGACAGTGGGAGGCCATTATTAGTGTTGATATAATTGATTGAAATTGTACAATTTTATTCATATAAATGGCCGTATGGTCCCAGTATAGACTAGGCCACACCTTTCTTTCCCGTGGGTGTCGTAAGAGGGGACTAAGGGAAATTAAAAATCGAGGGATGGGCTGCAGCGTCCTTCTTAGAATATCACCAAAGCCTAACTGCGGTTGCTAATCCGCCTGTCAAGCGTGGCAAGTAACACAAACCCTGGTAAAATCCCCCTTTTGGGGAGAAACTTACGTTCAGCAGTGGACAGTAGACGGCTGATATCTTTCTTCTTTATTGTTGACAAGTGTCTGACATTATTGATGTATTTTATTTTATATAACTTTTCGAATTTTAATGACTTATTTAACATTTATTCTTTTTAAGTTTCAATATTTGCATGTCTAATTATGGCGAAATATGAGGACTTATACTTATTGTAACATCTATACACTTACCATGTTTCTTGTAAATAAATAAATAAATAAGTAATATGATGATGATGATTGATGTAATACATTCTTAGGTTATGGGTTCGTGCAACAGTTCCCTCCAGTTCGAGTTTCCGCTGCAGAGGAAGAGTGGTGAATACGAGATTATACACGGCTACCGCTCACAGCACAGCGTGCACCGACTGCCCTGCAAAGGAGGTTAATTGCCCATTCACTACTTCCTATGCCACTGTATTAGGTTGTCTGGAAGAAATCTCTTTCAGAGATCATTTACAATTCGCCATCACTTATTTTGTTACCAGAGGGAGACTTTGTACAAAATTCGTTTGCTTGAGCACCTCTGTCCCATTCGTGTTTCAACCGTAAAGCAGTTGTGTTTGCATGGCTGTGTTTCCGTTTGAAGGGTGGGATATGGCGTGAATTTACTGGGTACAGAGGAACAACATCTGAGTCCTCAGGAATGGGAAAGAGAAAAAGCAATGAGAAAATCCGTAGCCGTGTGTGCCCCGGCATAGAATGGGCCGCTATTCCTTTCTTGTGGGTGGCGTAATAGACGACTAAGGGAGGGCGAGGGATGGGTAGCAGTATCCCTCCTAACCAAAAGCCTAACTGCGGTTGACAGTTCGCCTGCCAAGCGTGGCAAACACTAGCAAAACTCCCTGTATAGGGAAGGCATATGTTCAGCAACGTGGTTCCCCCTAGAAACAATCGTGACTGATTTATTGTTAGATTTCTCACGGTGGGCTAACTGATCTGCTTCTTCCTCACCTATCATTCTGTACTGGTGCCCCGCCGGTGTATACCGATAGTGCGGGTGGGGTACCATTCCATTATCATCTATTAGAAAAAAAAAACAAACTATATAATACCTAATAATAATCATCCGAAACATATGCTACCGTGTTATGTTACAATTGCTTCATTAAAACCCAAATAATACCACTCTTTGGAATCAACTTCCAGCAGCAGTATTTCCGAACCGATACGACAACATAACCTTCAAGAAAAGAGCATATTCCTTTTTAAAAGGCCGGCAACACACCTGCAAGGCCTTTAGTGTTGTAGGTGACCATGAGCGGCGGTAGTCACTTACCACCAGGTGAGCCGCATGCTCGTTTGCCCCCTGTGTTGTAAAAAAAATCTATTAAAAAAAAACTATATAATAATAATCATCCGAAACATATACTACTATGTTATGTTACCATTGCTTTATTAAAGTCCGAATAATACAGCTACCATATAGTACCAACCAAATAAAAATAAGTCACATTGCAGGAATTAGGTTCTCGGACGAAGTCGATCTGGGGGAGGTCAAAGCGCTGGCCGCACTTATGACTTACAAATGCGCCTGCTCCAATATACCGTTTGGAGGTGCTAAAGGAGGTAAATTATAATAACATGCACTAATAAATAATTATTAATTCTGAAAATAAAATCTGACAGACGTCTGTGCCTTATTTGCGAGTATATTGTGACTCGTAAAGTAAAAGAGCAGTACAAAAATGACTATCGTAAATTATTAATACCAGTTAAAGAAAAAGTCAAAATGATCATATCATTTATAGTAGAATATTTATTCAATTTGCATTTACCTAAGTATTTTTAAACGGGGGGGGGGGGGAATGGATTGTTAGTAATGGAGACCCCATCGCTAGCAATATACCCAGCCAGGTCGACCTCCTCGCGGTTCTGTCTGGAAACTATCATGGTTAATACCTGATGAATTCATCATGATGGGCTAACTGGTCTGTTTTCTATCTCATCTATCACTTTTCACTGATGCTCCGCCAGCGTATCCTGTTAGCGCAGGCGGAGTTACAATACCAATTTCACCCATCAAAAAAAAAAAGTATTTTTAAACTTCGCGCTACCTTCTTGTGGTTATTATTATTGTACTTGAGCTTAACTTTCTGTTATGATCGCGCATTGTGTTCTGTAAATAAATTATGTGCACTCTAAATTCACCGCCATATCCCACCTTTCAAACCGAAACATAGCCATGCAGACAACTGCTTCAACTTCCTTCAAAAAGTACCAACGAATCGAGGTAGATGTGAATTTACATAGTTGGTCATTTGTCCAAATGTAGATAGCAATTTTGTCGTATGTTACTATTTATCAATCCAATCGTAAAGCAATTCTCTTCCAGGAGTGGCGATCGATCCGAAAAAATATACGGTAGCTGAACTACAAAGGATCACGAGGCGGTACACATTGGAGTTGGCTAAGAAAAACTATATAGGTATATTACGCTGCATTATAATAATGTAACAATCTCCTTATACACGAAATCTTTTCTGGCTGCGGAGACACCCACATTATTTATTTCAGCCGTTAACTGTCCATTGCTGAACATAAGCCTTCCCCATAAGGGGAGTTTTTTAGTAGTTGCCACGCTTGGCAGGCGGGTTGGCACCCCTGTTAGGCTTTTATAGATGTTGTAAGAGATACGCTGCTGCCCATCCCTCGCTCTCCCTTAGTCGCCTTTTACGACACCCGCGGGAAAGGAAGGAGGCACCCCTTGCTTTCCCGTGGGAGTCGTAAATTCTGTGCCTGGACCATATGGCTAGCAGGCACTACTTTCCATATTAGTCATCAATCTTCTAAAAAATATTTACATACTTATTTATTTATTTTACACTTTATTGCACCAAGTAAAAAGAGAAATAACAAATATAGTAAATATTAATGAGAAGTGATACAAAAGGCGGCCTTATCGCTGAGCAATCTCTTCCAGACAACCTTTGGGTAGAGGACATTGAGAAAAAGACAAAGGGTAGGTGGCGCACTATTATATAAATATTATCATATACAAACAAACTAATAATTTTTTTACTATACTTAAAAAAATTGAGATTGATTATCGACAGAAGCACAAGTAAAGTGCAAGGCAAGTAGTCTCGTATTTTAGTTGTGCCTCTGTCGATAATCAATCTCATTTTTTGTTATTTTTTTTATTTATGCAACTTAGAATAATGAACAAGCTGACGGCCCACTTGATGGAAAGTGGTGACCGTCGCTTATAGACATGCGAAGTATCATGGACATAACAGAGTATACTGTTTCGCCCATGATACCCCTCATGCGTTGCCATTCCTGAGGACTCAAATGTTATTCCTCTGTACCCTGTAAATTCATAGACCATAGTAGGTAAATTTAGCATATTTATTATCCACAGAATTATGTAAACATTATCAGGTGCCGGGATAGACGTGCCGGCTCCGGATGTGAACACCTCTGGCAGAGAGATGTCGTGGATAGTGGATACTTACATCAAAACTCTAGGTACCGTAAATCTAAATCTTAATAGCACAAGGGTAGAGGTAGTATGTACCACCAAACAGTATGGCTCCCTGCTCCAGTCATACAATTTCGGCCATTAGAAAAATACAATAAAATAACAAATTGGGGTGAAAGAGGGTGAAATAAAAATCGGAGAGTAAAGAAATATATCGAAAAATAATCCTTGCTAACTTGAGAGTTGGACACTCTGGACGACGTTGGATGTTGGGGGGTTTTGCTAGCGAAGTAGCTGCCACGCTTGGCAAACAGGTTAGCAACCGTTTTTAAGCTCGGGTGATGTTTTAAGACGGACGCTGTTGCCCAAGCTCTTGACCATTAAATTAAGTAATTAAAAAAGTAAGGAACTACACGGCTTTACTGTAACATCAAAGATATTGTACATTATATTGTGCAGGATACAAGGACCTGAACGCAGCGGCTTGTGTAACCGGGAAGCCGATCCACGGCGGCGGCATCCGTGGACGAGTGGAGGCGACAGGACGTGGCGTGTTCATGACCATCAGCACCTTTATACACGAACCTAAATATATGCAGATGATCAACCTTGAACCGGGATTCAAGGTCTGTTTGGCTACTGCCAATTTGAAGTCATTTAGTTAACAGCTCGGTACAAGATCAACGCAGTTTCAATGTTTGTTCACGACTTTCGTCTTTGGCTTACAATTTTCAAATAGCCTGTATGCCCTATTCCTATAGTATAGCGCATTTCCTTCGATTTCTAGGTAAGACAGTGCTGGTCTGTACGGAACTATGAAATGGATGATGCTTCTCAAATGTTCTTTGTACTATAATATAGTGATTCATTATCGCTTGTTGCTATATCCATCTTGAAAATGCATAGTACCTAATTACTTATAGTCGTATATGGATTAAACAAAATCCATGAAATTTCGTTCCAATCTGTTTTATGTGAAAGATCGGTAAAAGCATGCGATTAATTTGATGGTAAGTGATTACCACAGCCCATGCACACTAAAGATACGAGAGGAATCGCCAATACTTTATTCAGGTGGCGAAAAGTGCGCGAGGGTAATAAATTAAAGACAAATTTCAGGGCAAGACGGCCATAATCCAAGGGTTCGGTAATGTCGGCAGCTACGCGGCGATGTACCTGGAGCAGCACGGAGTTAAGATCATTGGGGTTTTGGAATACGACTGCAACCTCGCCAACAGTGACGGGATCAAGGCGAAGGTTTGACAAGTTGCCACTGACACTTCAATATTGGAAAGAACCGGTCTATCTTGTGCCCCTTGATAAGTAGCTAACGAATCAACTAATAATATAGGATCAGTAAGCACTCGCATGAAAAAAAATAAGACGCTATGTCGTTATCTCTTTCTATCTCATAGACGTGCTAGCGATAACGATTCTGTCGATAGATTCATTTGCCACTATTCATCATCGACTTGAAAAACCTGAGTTTGAGGTTCTAACTTTAAATAGCACAGTGCGCTTTATATATATATATATATATATATATATATATATATATATATATATATATATATATATATATATATATATATCTTACGGAAGACTAGCGTCGGTGAGTGGTAAGGACTCCCGCAACATGCTGAGTACTAGAATTTGTTTTTATTGTTAGCTTTTATATTGTCTTATCAATTATTGTCTAAATCAATTATTTTTCTTTCTTTTCAAATTACCAGGAACTTCACAATTACAAAATGAACAACAAAGGCAGCGCTAAGGGATTTACAGGCGCTAGGGAAGTCGGCCCGGAAATTATATTCGAAAAATGCGATATCCTGATTGTGGCTGCCAAGGAGAAGACCATCACCGTAGACGTTGCTAAGAAGTTAAATTGTAAGGTAGCTCCTTTCATCTTCTTTTTGGCCACGACTTTCGCGTGATCGGGGTACGATGATTGACTGGGATAAATGTCTACATTCTAAATAATAGTTAAATACTAAAATTTTATGAGGCTCAAAGAGAAAAAACAAACTTGAGTTCACGTTTATTAGCAAAGATTCTTATAATGCGCAGATTATGCTCACAAGAAGAGTAGTTTTTATTATGACAAAATAAACCCATATCGAAGTAAACCCTATTAAAATAAGCATAGAATTGAGACTCAGAATATTGTTTTCCACTATTAAGAAATCGTCCAAAAACTGATTTAAATTAAAACCATTTTTTTTTATGCAATTTAGAATGGCAGACAAGCTGACGACCAACCTGATGGAAAGCGGTAACCGTCGCCTATAGACATGAGCAGTACCATGGACATAACAGAGTATACTGTTTCGCCCATAATAACCCCTTATACGTTGCCATTCCTGAGAACTCGGGTGTTATTCCTCTGTACCTTGTAAATTCACTGCCATATCCCATCCTTCAAACCGAAACACAGCCATGGTATAGAGATGGCCAAGCAAGCGACTCTTGCATAAAGTCTCCCTCTGGTGAATTCGTTTGTTTAATGAACAACTATGGATATGGTGACGTGATCAAGTCTTCTATGAGGTTTTTGACATCTACAGATTATAGGCGAAGGTGCGAACGGGCCGACGCTGCCGGCCGCCGATGTAATACTTCGTGAGAAGAAAATCCTGGTGCTGCCAGACTTGCTGGCTAATGCAGGAGGCGTCACCGTCTCCTACTTCGAATTCCTGAAGAATCTCAACCATGTCAGTTTCGGGAAACTAAGCATCAAGTTCTGGAGAGATTCCAATACAGCCCTATTAGGTAATTACTAGCTAGGTGAGTGAGTATCTTTGAGCGATTATGGAGTAAGTGTAAGTGTCACATTTTCAACAAGTTCACCCCAGAATAGGAACAAACAAAATAAATTAAACATTATATATAGCCACCAGCCCCGTGGTAACGTTTACAGTTTACGAAAGCCAAAAATATTTAAAAAAATTATGTATAATCTTAATTAACCTTCATTTTGACATATAACCATTAGTGGTCAAACAGCCATAAATAAATATTAGTGTTGCCACTGTAGAACGAATTAAAACTTAAGTTTGCCATTTAATGAAGTACAATTAAATGGCAATAAAATTTGTCAGAAATAGTGCATTTTACTCATCTAGTGATTAAAATGCAAGAAGTGATGTTATTTAAGGACATTATTCATTATTGTTAAATAAGTAATCAGTATGCAGGTTACTGTGACAATATTAGGCTAATAACCTTAAGAAATGGATAAAACCTAGATGGTCGCGTACGGCACGGTTTCAGAGATGTTTTCGCTTAGGTTATGGAATGAGCTCCCTGTCGAGGTTTTTCCAATAGACTACAGCATGGTGTTCTCTAAAACGGGGTAAAGAGGTTTCTGCAGGATCGGTAACGCGCGCGTTATGCCCCTGGTATTGCAGGCGTTCATTGGCTACGGTAACCGCTTACCATCAGGTGGGCCATATGCTTGTTTGCCACTTCAGTGATATAAAAAAATATGGACAGAACTTTAACGATATGTCAATGAACATTATTTATTATTATTATTTCAGCCGTTAACTGTCCACTGCTGGACATAAGCCTTCCCCATAAGGGGAGTTTCGCCAGTAGTTGCTACGCTTGGCAGGCGGGTTGGCAACCGCAATTAGGCTTTTAGAGATGTTTAAAGAGGGTCCCTGCTGCTTATCCTTCGCCCTCCCTTAGTCGCCTCTTACGAGACCCAAGGGAAAGGAATTTAAATTATACAATGGACATTATAGTATGATAAAAAAAAACTTTTTCCAGATTCCGTTGAAAAATCTCTAAAGGAGGCCAACGTGGAGGCGAAGGTAGTCCCCACGGAGCTGTTCCAGACGATGATGTCCGGCGCTAGCGAGAAACACATTGTCAATTCAGGCCTCGAGTATTCAATGACGAATGCCTGTCTGGTCAGTTTACAGCGTAAAATTTAAAATCTGTTTTTTCACTCGACACAAGTTGTAAACAATCACTGCACTTTTTTTTTATTAAATTTAGTAATGAAAAAGAAAAAAATAAAGCAGATAGAAAATAATGGGAATTAGTAATAATCTTTTGATAGCGATTTTGATAATCTGTATTTTTGTGCCGATTTGAGATTATTTTACGCTGACGTCACCAAAGCGTCCCATATTCCAAATGGCGCCAAACTTCATCATCATCTTCATATCAGCCGTTAACTGTCCACTGCTGAACATAAGAATCCCCCTTGGGGGTTTTGCCAGTACTTGCCACGCTTGACAGGTGGATTGGCAACTGTAGACTTTGAAGATGTTTTAAGAGGGACGCTGCTGCCCATTCCTTGCCATCCCATCCATTAGTCGCCTTTTACGACACCCACGGGAAAGAAAGCGGTGGCCTATTCTATGCTGGTACTACATCGCATTACATTTACAAGTGTAGTAACTGCATCCTCTCGGGTTTTGCGTAATATTCGGCATCTATCGCAGTTACTTACGCATAGGTGAGGTCTTCACCATTCCCCCATCCGTATTTTTTTTTTCTTCCAGAACGTAATGAGAGCAGCCAAGGAATACAATCTAGGTCTCGATCTACGAACAGCGGCGTATATTACCGCAATAGAGAAGATATTTGTCACCTACGACGAACAGGGATTAGCTATTTAGATAGCTAGATGTTATATGTTATTTTGTTTGCAACATATTACATCATCATGTTATTAAACTTTACAACAGTCAGTAGTTTTTTTTAACCCCGCCTGCGTTAACAGGATACGCTGGCGGAGCACCAGTGAGGGATGATTGGTGAGGACGAAAAGGCAGGTCAGCTAGCCCATCGTGATGAATACACTTGGAATTCAGCACGATGGTTTCCAGGGGGGACCACGGGGAAGTCGACCTGGTTGGGTATATTGCTAGCAATGGGATTCTCAGTCTCCATTACTAACAATCCCTTCCCCCCATCATCATGTTATTAAACTTTTCTATCTAGCTTTATTAGCTATCTCTCTAGCTTTATTATTTCTTAAATTGGAATTATCTAGAAGTAATTCTAAACTGAAAAATGTTAAGGTAATTATTGTAAAATAATTTGCTACATACACTTATTTGTAGAATGTATTTAAATAAAATAAACGACAACTTTTATGATATAATAGTTTTATTTTAAAACAAATCGTAGAATTAATAATACACAACTGTATATTTTTTCTATATACAAAACTGAAATAATTAGAGTGATACAATGCAATACAATACAATGCGTGTATATTTACTATTTTTTTTTTTAATAGTGTTAGTTGCCTATGGTCCCCAAATTGATGCTTTTTAACCATTGTTTCCAATTATCCTAAAGCCTTTATTCCTTTCTGTTTGGAAGATCTATGGAGAAAACTACTTAGTCCTGGATTATGTGTAATTTGGGTGGGCATGTGTAGTTTTTAATTTATTAAAAATTTATAATATCTTTTTAGACGACCTTATAAGACTACAGTGTGCTGTGCTCCATTTATAAATAATGATATAATAGGAGCCCTATTGGATCATAATTGTGGAAGCTACACAATTTTATACATTGTGAAAATAAGGCAATTTGTGAGAAACTAAAATTACGCACATTTTTATACAACTTAGATTGGCAAACAAGCTGACGGCCCACCTGATGTAAAGTGGTAACCGTCGCCTACAAACATGAGCAGTACCATGGACATAACAGAGTATACTGTTTCGCCCATGATACCCCCCATGCGTCGTCATTCCTGAGGACTCGGATGTTATTCCTCTGTACCCGGTAAATTCACGCCATATTTCACCCTTCAAACCGAAACACAGCCATGCAAACACAACTGCTTCACGGTTAAAACACGAATGGGACAAAGGTATCCAAGCATCGACTTTTGTACAAAGTCTCCCTCTGGTAAACAGATATATATCAATATTTTACGTCAGGTCCCTTACGTAGTAGGCAGAGAGTACTAAGATGGTATTTTAACAGATATGTTTACAGGTATCTTCTAATAATTAATTTATTATTAACTAATTATCATTATCATATCAGCTTTTAACTGTCCACTGCTGAACGTAAGCCTCCCCTTGGGGGGTTTGGCAGTAATTGCCACGCTTGGTAAGCGAATTGGCAACGGATCATTAACTAATGTTTAATAATAATACACATTTCATTAATCGTACTTATCTCTCAAGTATAGAAAAGTATCTAATTAATTATACAAAACTAATGAGAGACTCGTGCTTATATATCAAGTGAGCCTCATCAAATTTGTTTCAGTAATTTTCGATATGATTACAGGGTATATACAAGCTATTTCTCTACACTTTTCATGATTAGCAAATATAGTTGGCATGCCTTTTTATTTAATTTAATTATTTAAGAATTGCACATTTTAAAAGGCAATAATATTCTGCAATTAACACGAATACATTTACTTTATTTATTTGTTTATTTTATACACTATTTATAAAGATATATCAAAATTGTTTACGCATTTGTAGGCATAGGTAATATGGGTATTGAACTGAACGTTGATGGCAGAAAAAAGTCGTCGCTCATTTCGATATCATCCATATTTTTTTTTTACAACACAGGGGGCAAACGAGCATGCGGCTCACCTGATGATAAGTGACTACCGCCGCCCATGGTCACCCACAACACCAAAGGCATTGCAGGTGTGCTGCCAGCCTTTTAAAAAGAAATGTGCTCTTTTCTTGAAGGTTATATTGTCGTATCGGTTCGGAAATACTGCTGCTGGAATTTGATTCCAAAGAGTGGTTGTGCGTGGGAGAAAGTGCCTTGAAAAACACATGTTAATAAAGTGTAAAATTCTTTGGGTACAAATACATTAGAGTGTCGTATTAACACGAAGGAAAGAGAAGAATTCATGCGCCACTTTAACTTAAATAAATTGAATGTTGGTCTTATTCAAACTATGTTAGCTGAACTTAAACCAGAAATTTTTGAACATCTGTGTAAATTATTGATGCCATTAATTCTTCTCTTTCCGCATCTAGGGAAGGTAGATAAAGTTTTGTTGGAGAAATCAGTTCAGGGTACAATAAGACTGATATACCTGAAGAAGGTAAAAGCCCTTAAAATATTTAAAAAAAAAAGAATACCGTGTGTCTAATCATACATACATATCTGTCACGCCTTTCTCATTAGGGTGGGCAGAAACAATGGAACGCCAAATGCTTCGATTCAAACAAACCTCTTGTGCTTCTTCCACATTCATCAATCTTTTCATACACGCTCGCCGGTTACGGGTACTTTTAAATTGGCCCTTCTTCAACACGCCGCCTATCCCTGTCTAATCTATCCCTGAATATTTATTCTTATAGTAAAAAATCAAACGCATCTGCATTCACTAATCGTAATAATCACTTTACCGTGCATTAGTTTTATATCCTCGCAATCTCCCTGTTACTTTTGAACCACGCCACGGTGTCCTGTATCGCGGTCTCGAATGGTGTAAACTTGAAGTCTTTGTACAACGAACGTAGCTTCTTATTCGACGCGGTTTTCTTGTACTGGCCGTCCGCTTTGGTCGTGTCGTACACTATCTGCCCCTGGTAGCCGTGTGCCTTCTTTATGGCCTCTGCCACAGCACCGATTGTCACTTCGTCCTCTTCGTTCACTGAAGTTATTAAAAAGTTATTTAAGAAGCCACGTGTGCCCCACGATATAAATATTTATGTTCAAAAATTAATTCATTCATGTTCAAAAATTTCAAAAATTCTTAATTGAGAGGCAAAAGTTAGACATTCCTGCAAGTTACCTCCATGTTCCATTTGTCTGTTAGTGAACTGTCATATTTGTCTGTTTACTGTATATTAATCTATTTTTTTTTATTGTACGGATAATCTGGTAGTATTGTTTTATTGTTACCCTATTCCCTTTGGCCGCAACAGAATATCAGTGCTTTGCTCTTTTGAGTGCGAAGCAATAAACTGAGTTGTGGCCATTTTGTATTATTGTGTATATGGCACACTCACAAACGAAAATTGCATTTGGTTTTGTGTATTTTTTTTGTCATTTATGTTATCTCGCTTTTTTTTTGTGTATGTATGTTGTAATTTGTGTGCTGTAAGTAAGTAATGCAAATAAATTATTTGTCTATCTATCTATGTTTATGTATTATTGTATACAGATGTGTATGTATTATGATTTTAATTATATGCGTTACTCTGTATATATGTCAACATATTTATTATTTCTTAATAGAAACAACTATACTGTTTCCTCCTATTATTGTACGCACACTGCCCGCTGGTAATTAATGCTCCTTTCCACTCAGGGTTTGCTGGAAGAGAACTCTTACAGAGTTAAGCTCGCCTGTTGTACATCTTTATTTTATATATATTGTATGTTTGTATTCTTTTGTGTACTATAAAGAATAAATAAGTAAATAAAAATAGACCATTCCTCTCTTTCCTTCCCCGTGGCTGTCATAAGAAGCGACTAAGGGAGGGCGAGGGATAGACAGCAGCGTCTTTTTAAAACATCTCTAAAAGCCTAACTACGGTGGGGGGAGGGATTACTAATAATGGAGACTAAGAGCCCCATTGCTAGCAATATACTCAACCAGGTCTACCTCTACGTGGTCCCCTCTAGATACCATTGTATTGAATTCCAAGTGTATTCATCAGAATGGGCTAACTGACCTGTCTTTTCATCTTCACCTATCATCACTCACTGGCGGGGCACCATTATTTTATATTAGTACTATTCAATCATCAACCCATTAAAAAAAAGCCTAACTACGATTTCTAACCCGCCTGCTAGGCGTGGCGTCTACTGGCGAAACTCCCCTTATGGGGAAGGCTTATGTCCAGCAGTGGACAGTTAACGGCTGAAATAATATCATATAAGCAATGTCATAGTTTTTTATACAACTTAGAATGGCAAACAATCCGACTGCTCACTTGATGGAAAGTGGTAACCGTCGCCTATAGACGTGAGCAGTACCATGGACATAACAGAGTATACTCTACAGCAGACGCGGAGGGGGGGGGGGGGGTTACTATTCCATTTTCGTTCATTAAAAATACCCTGCCTTCATCCTTCACCAACGCCCTGCGTAAGTACGCAGCGTGTACCGATATTAAAGGTGGAGTTACTATTCCGTTATTATCAAATATTACTCCTTATGTACCTGATAATATAATTGGTTCAATGCTCTCATAATGTCTGAGCACCCAGATGAACAGCCTCGCGAGGTCCAGGGAGTATATGAACTGCCGAAGTGGTTTCCCACTGCCCATCACTGTGAATGTGGGCTCACCTGGAGATATAGAAAATTCTGTTACAGCAGACACTTTGTATAAGTAGAAAAAATATTCATGAGATATTCATGGGACTCGTATACGGATTTAAATACATATTGTATTTTGCGAGTTAATTCACCATAGACTTATACCATAGACCATAGTCCCATTGCTAACAATATACCTTATCAGATCGACCTCCACGTGGTCCCCCCCGGAAACCATCGTACTGATGGGCTAACTGGCCTGCCTTTTCATTCTAACCTGTCCTCCTTCACTGATACCCTGCCAGTGTATACTGTTAACACGTTGGGCCTGGGAACCGTTAACGAACTTTCCGTGTGGCCAGCGTCGGTCCTTGGGGACCGGCACTAGAATTTCCCGTGTGGCCAGCGTAATATACACCTAAAAAACGTCCAAAATAGCGCGACAAAGAATTCCTTATCTCATTAGTACTAAAGTAATCTCTTGGCGATAGCATACAACATTGTATCTTTCGCCGGCTGCCGGCTGCCGGCTGAACGGAAAGGACAGCAAATTCGGCGCCGGGCTCAACGTGTTAATAGTTAAAACGGGTTTGTAGGATTTTTTAGTTTTTAAAAATAAGACGGTAAATAAATATGTATCTTATTTCTTATTTATATGTGTAATGAAATTGTAACTATTCATGTCTGTACATGAAAAACGGTAAAGTCGCTTTTAAACACAGGGTGAAAAATTTACATTAACAATATTTTTTTGTATGAAAAATTTTACGATATTTGGGACTCGATAATCTATCATTTTCGTAACGTATATGTGTAACATACAAATATCCCCTTAAAGGAAATGCAGATAATTTGGTAACATTTTATATATATATACTAGCTGACCCCGTAAACGTTGTTTTACCACTTATTGCGAAATATAAAAATCGCGATTAAAATACGGTGGTTGATCGTAAAACGATGAAAATTTAAAGTTGTGTGTATTTTTCAATGCAAAATTATAATAAAAAAAAAAAAAAATAAAATAAAGAAAAAATTGTCAAAAAAATAAAAAATATATTTTGGGGTGGGTCACCCTTATCATTGAGTGGTATGAAAAATAGATGTTGGCCGATTCCCAGACCTACCCGATATGCACACAAAATTTCATAAATATCGGTAAAGCCGTTTCGGACGAGTTTGGTAACAAACACCGTGACACGAGAATTTTTTATATTAGAGATAAAGTATATAAATATAATAATATATAGTTTGGAACTAGATGGCGTTGCTAGGACGTTTATTTTACGATTAATTTAGGACTATAAATTTATCAAAACCTTTCTGCATAGCGTCGTCCATTCTTCTAATCAGCGCGGGTATCACGTGGCTCGAGACCAGACTGAAGTTGTCGTGTGGACCGAACACGTTGCATGGTATTACTGATGTGAACATGCTACCGTGTTGCTCATGATAACCCCTGGAACAATAGCCTTAGTTTATAGAATCACTAGTATTTGCCCGCGACTTTGTCTACGTGACCAGGATATACTGATTGGACGGTAATAAAAAATTTTTTTTATTTGTTCGATTCAATAAGCACCGCCTACTTATTTCTCTGTTTTCCCAATGGTTGACTTAATTGTTTTATATAGTAATATTTTATGTATTTATTTATGTATGTATATATTATATGAATTTATCAAGTATTGCTTTATTTTTCCTCTATTCAATAATGCACCACCTACGTATTTGTCGGTTCGCCCAATGGTTGACTGGTAGAGAAAACCGTCTGGTGTTAAGTTCGCCATATGTACATAGTTTTACTATGCATTACACAGTTTAAATAACTAAAAAAAAAAGGTAATGCCTCGCGATAGGGAATCGTAAATACTAAATGCATACTAAATTTCATGTCCATAGACTTCAAAAAGGAGTATTTCAATTCGGTTGTACTTTTTTATGTTTGTTAAACAGTTGTAAACCGATTTAGATAATTCTTTTTTATCTGAAAGAATATACTTATAGATTGGTCTCAAGGAAATTTAATCAAAATCGGTTCAGTACTTTAGTATTTTAATCGGAAATAACTGGTTTTGGCATATCTGAAGCAGGTTTCTTTTTTGTGGCAAACACATCTTAATTATATAATTAAGATACATATTCAACAATATTTTTGCCATTTATAATACAGATACAGCGGAATAACACCTGAGTCCTCAGGAATGGCAACGCATGCGGGGTATCATGGGCGAAACAGTATACTCTGTTATGTCCATGGTACTGCTCATGTCTATAGGCGACGGTTACCACTTTCCATCAGGTGGGCCGTCATCTTGTTTTCCATTCTAAGTTGTATAAAAAAAAATATTAAATAGGCAAATTAATACACAGAGAAGACAGACAGATGTACTGTAAATCTTTGTTTATAATATTTAGAGACAATGTACTTCTGAATAAGACTATACAAGATTCGCATGGCTAGTATGTGATCACTAGAAATATTTATCTCTAAACCTGTTCTTACTAGAAAATAAATATTAATTACTTGTTTTATTTCATTCAAATTCACATCGTTTTTGATACAACAGACAATTAAATCGTCATTTTTTATAAATCTACTACAGAGTTCGAAATGTTATCTGTTGAGAAGAGCCCGCAAGAAACTCAACAGTTACTCTTTTAAGTCTCTGTTAACATTATAAGTATTTATTTAAATATCTCTCTTTTCATTTAAGAGTTTCCTCTTGTCGGTGCAACTAATTCATGCAGCTTCTCCCAGCCAGCTCTATCCCAGGCCATATCCTTGACCTTCCTATACGGCATGACATCTAGTGTTTCTTTTATTTGTCCCATGTAGTTATTCCATGGTTTTCCTCTTTTTTAAATATATTTCATTTAAATATACTATGGTTTTAGTCGATCATGCATATTTGCACCATACAAGTAACACATACCTGTTAAGAACATCAATCATTCTTTTGGCGTAACTGTAACCATAGTTTGAAGTGTGAGGTGGACCGTTGTGTACCTGAAATAACAAGATTTTTAACCAAAATTTTTATTTCAAAACAAATATCATTATATACATGATTTATAAACAAAATAACATTACAAAAGAAATAACATAAATAGTACATTACTGCAGCGGCCAGCAACTGAGGCATTGATCGACGAACGTGCAAATGTGGGCCGAGGCGTAGCCGAGGCACACATACGTGAGTACATCAATGCCTAGTTGTGGTCAAGGCTTGTATAGTAATTTTCTCAAACAATGCGCGGAAATCAAAAACACAATTTTACTTTTTAAATTCAATGACGAATAACAAACAATATTAATTTTTCACGCGCCATGATGTTCGTTTGTTTTTTTCAATAAACAGCTTTATATTTGCAAGCCAGTTCGAAATTTAAATAAAACCTTTTATTAGTTACCTCCTCGGTAGCCATGTTCCGAAGTAAAAGGTCATTCCATTTTTAAATTACAAGACAGATATAAGTTTACATAGTAATTTATCTGGCCGCAAAACACGACATATATGCATTTTCATACAACTTTTGCCGGCCGCTGCCCGCATGTATCTGGACAGTACGGCAATTTTGATTTATCTCGAAGAAGATTGTCAAAATAATGCTCACATTTCCAAGCATGTTTGAGAAAAATATATATATTTATTCATGTCTGTACAAGCGTTTTCTAAGCAATATAACAATGTTTATCAAACTTTTTAATTGCGCGACCACTTAATTCTCTGCTGTTCCTAATCTGATCGTATTTTATTATACATATAACAAATATCAAATCCGTACATTTTTTACAGTTATTTATTGGTTAAATACTAATCCATAATGCAAAACGCCTCCATGGAAAAGGTAGACAAGTACGGTATTTTTTTATAGTGGATGATAATAGAATGGTAGCCGCCTCTGCACTAACGATATACGCTGGCGGGGCACCAGTGAGGGATGATAGGTGAGGATAAAATGACAGGTCAGCTCGCCCATTTGGATGAATGCACCTGGAATTCAGTATGATGGTTTCCAGGAGGGACTATGTGGAGGTCGACCTGACAAGGTATATTGCTAGCAATGGGACTGATAATCCACATTACTAACAATCCCTTCCTCTCTACCACGGGGAGGTCCACACAATGGAGTTATGGAGAAATTACCACCACATTGGTGGTTATTTCTCTATAACTCCATTGACTTCGACTGGTAGTTACTAACAATCTCTTCCTCCCAGGCAAGTTCGGTTAGGTAGGCTAACATAAATTTTGTTATTTTTTGTTAGCCTACCTACCATATAAATCCTTTAATAAATATATTCTTAATAAAAATATGTTTTTAATTGTTGTCTTACGGCTTCACAAGCTTCCGCAACCCTCTTGTAAAGGCTTGAGGACTCCCTATGGAGTCGCAACCACACTTTGAAAAACACTTCAGTGTATGATGGTAAATAATGTAAATAAAAAAATTTAACACTACTCACCATGGTTTCATCTATGGGGTACGTGGTTTTATCAGGAAAGATGCATGTGGACAAACATGAGACTACTTTTTTCACACCATGTTTGTGGCTTGCTTCTAGAACATTGTCATTTATCGCCATGTTTTCCCTCTGAAAGCAATTTAGGCTATATTTATTGTTAGAAAGGATTAGGATTCCTTACTAAAACTTTAGTAACATAACTCAAGGTGTAAAGAAAATCATCGCATGCACTGTTGAAACTATTGGTCATAGAACAAAAGCATGTTCTACAATATTGAAGAAAATATCAAACTACAAAAAAATTCGCGATACTATATGTCCAACTATTATCGTTATGTTACAATAACCACTTTTTAAAATGTTGTAAAAATGTCTTTCCTTGCGAAGCCGGGACGGGCCACTAGTTTCATTATATACTAAGAAAGAAAGCTTTATTAATAACTGCACTTACAAAATAATTAACTCAATAATATTAATTTAAGCCTGTGAAGTGAATTAAATGTAAGTGAATACTGATAAAATTTTGGTTCACCTATATTTTCTTTAGTATAAGAATTATTTACTTTTTTTTATTTCACACTTCATTGCGTAAATTATAAAAAAAAAATACAGTAAATTTTATTGTGAAAAGAATGAAAACCCTTTATACAAAGGATAGCCTTATTACTTATGAACCAAATGCAGAGTAATATCTTAAAGTCTCCAAGGTTAGTAATCAAACAATATATTTCCAATAAAAATATTATAAAACCTGTATCAGAATACTAACAAAGAAGTCCAAGTTATGTGCCATATTGTGGAATAGTCCTCCCACCATTGCAGCTAGGTGTATTACATGTGTTGGCTGATACTTGTCAAACAATGCTTCCGTTTGTTGTTTATTCCTGAAAGGAAGTTAAAATTAACATTAGTTTCAAGGATAAAACTCTTATCTGCCCCAGTTGGATTAATTTATATATACTAATGGTCATCCAGTGGTCAAAATTCGACCATAACATATATTGTAATAAATGAATTTATTATGGTTATGTTTCACATTTAGTAAGACTATAGACAAATAATATTTTACAGACAAACAATATTAATCTATTCTCAATTTGACTACAGACTTTAACAATAAATAAAAGAGTATATATGTGTGTGTGTGTGTGTGAAATATATGGTAGAGTGTACAATGTTTTTTTTTATTGATTTAAATGTATTTTTTAAGCTTGATTAAAAAAATTATATTAGCATTCTACACTCCTCTATATAAACTATAAGTGTGCAACTTTTCATACTCCTCTATCCATTTTTATCAAACTTTCAACCCCCATTTTGAACTGCTAAGGGCTTAAAATAGGGATTGAAAGTTTGTATAAAACTTCATTAGGTCTTTCTGAGCTAACTTAAACTTGTGAATAGTTGGTTTAGGTTCTTGCTTCAAAACAAAAATTAATATATTTTATTGTTAGTATGGAAGTGTAATTTTTAATTTAAGCTAGAAATACAAAACTTTAGTTTTAAACTTCTGATTAGAAATAAATATTATTCAGCATTTTGAAAGTTTCTCCCCTAATGGAGTGAAATGGGAAATGAAAATTTGTAATGAAATACTGTTATTTATTAAGCTTCTAACTTTTAACATTTTCTAACGTTTGTAAAAACAAACTGTTGATTAAATGAAGTATTTTTCAGCAGTTTTTGTATATTGTACCTCTAAGGGTGTGAGATAGATGATTTGATTTAGGTCAAAATATATATGTAAATTTGTTAATTTTAAGTCAAGAAGATGAACTTTTAATTTTATCTCTTGTATTACTTTCTCAATTTGAAAGACAGTGACAAAATACTCTACCAAGTAAAATAGGTTTGTATGATATTTCAATTTTCGTGAATAACAAGGTCTTTAGCTAAGAAATAGTGTTTTATCATTTTTGAAAACCAACACCACACAAGAGTGTGCCATGGGCAAAAGCTATTTTGTTAAATATTTCATGGACATATCCCTTTGAAATTTATATAAAGGAAAAGCTGCTTGTAAATTCACTTTTCATTTATTTAATTGCCTACAATATTAAAATGGTAACAAAAACAATGAATATACAATAAAATTTAAATAAATAAATACAAAAAAGAAAATAAAAATCATATAAAATTACTTACAGACACAAATATTTTAAAAACCAAATACAATACAAACTTGCAAATCTTAGTCAAGTGGTAACTGCTGCTACAAAATCAAGCAGTCAAAAGTTAAAATTTAAGATTCCATAAAAATAGTAACAAACCTCAAATCACCATCTTTTGAACCACAGAAAATCCAACTTTCATTCAAAGACCCTTCAATTCTCTGTAGTTTTTCCTCTTCCACAATAGATTTGATTGCTTGTCCAACTAGACCCGAGCCTCCCGTTACTAATATTACATTCCTGTCGTTACTCATCTGAAATTAACAATTTTAAATTTATAATGTTTGTCATAAAGACTATTTTTAATTCCGAATCACGTGAACAAAAACGTGAAACAATTATTATCTTCTGTAGTTATAAGCACCTTGATTTCAAACTTAGGCTCTGACAATCGTGACAATTATTATTGTTTGGAATATTGCTTTTTTTTATATGAGAAATCAAAGTTCAGTTTAACCGGCACTGAAATTAAGACTACTTTCAGAAATTCTGAAAAAACGAATGAAATGAAATAAATAACACGAACACATAAAAACGACAGCGAACAAATTTAGTTGTTGTGACATTAAATTGACATTGATAGAACAAGACTGACATTGACAAAAAAACCAATGACGATTATACTTTTTTCAAAATTTTATGATTTCGGAAATTAAGATATAGTTATTATTTTTAATCTATTACTTTGTAATTCAATTTTATCATTTTCATCCAAACCAAAATATAAATATTATATGTGCTACGACTAACTAGTTAAATAACATCAATCAAAGGAATAACAAACCATTAACTGTGCTTATTTGCTTATATCTTGCATTTTTAAATGGCATTTTTATTTTAATGTAAGATAGGATAACTCAATAGTAATTTAATATTTTATTTTAACTACTAATCACATCAGTAACTAATATGTGATCGAGATAGAAAAGAATATTAACATCATTAATAAATGATTTTCATAAATATTAATTAAATATTAAATATATAATTAAATATGAAGTTATTATGGAGATTTTTTTTGAAATAATCCTAGATTCTGAATTCAAACTATTGATTCTTTATAGTGTTAACACTTTAAAAATATAAGGAATACTCTATGCCAAAATACTTGGAAACGATTGGTTAGTAGATTCTACACTAGCGTTCGTTCGCGTTCCGAAAACGCCAAATTCGCTTTCAAGTTTCAAACCAAAATGGAGGATTTGTCCGTCGAGGTGTACGGTGAAAATGGTGCTTATTATAAGGTTTGTAAATCGTGAAGTACATTATAATTTTGTTCATTAAACGGTATTTTCATTAGTGAAACGTATACGCATTTGTTTCCAGTCGTCAGTTGTAAGAATTATTATATACTTACAAAAATATTTTTCCGGGAAGATCATCGCGGCTGGAATGGACGCCATGTCCGTCTGACAGGGCGTGATTTTTCCATGTGTTGTAAATGTAATGATTTTTTGTATTTTTAGCAACAACCAAGAAATAAAAGGAGCGGCACACGGTGTATTTATTATTTGCACTTTTTCTTATATCTGACCCAGTTATTTATTTCTAGCGCATTACCCACAAGTTATTGGATCATCAGAATGTTCTGAAATTTTCTTTATTTTTAGGCCATTGTCACCGACGTGCTCGACAACGAGGTTCTCGTAGCCTTTGAAAATGAGTAAGTTTAGTTTTTTTTCTTTATTTTTTACTGGTTTCTTTTGCGGTTATTTTTATTTACATGTATTTATTTGTATTGTTCCATCGTAGCTGGCAACCGGAATCAAAATTCCCCTTCTCCCAAGTATTTCTACCACCGAAAGACACTGGAAAACATACAGAGTTTGTGGAGAACCAGGAGGTGGAGGTTTTTGCGAGGTCAAATGAAAAGGAGGCATGTGGCTGGTGGACGGCCAATATCAAGGTGGGTATTGAATTACATCTCAGCCTATATCATATATCTTCGATGTTTATTGATATTATTTGAAATTTACTATCATAGTAATATTTGTGGTTTTTATTGCATCCTATTTTATAGTTTGTTGTTACCTTAATATTATTTTTATTTTTTTTTCTGATTAAATTGATCACCAAGCTAACAATATTAATATGCACTTAGGATATTGCTAAAACCTGTTTTTACCCTCATAGTAGCCAGGTGGTATTTAGCATATTGCCTTGAAAATATCTTTCAATAAAATTTAACACTACATTAAAAAAACATCCCCTTTGTCTAAGGAAATCATATTTTGTCATAAATAAGAAAATTCTAATATTTGATTTGATTCATTTTTCTAATGATGTAAGTACCTATTTGTTATTTTTTAAATAACAATACGCAGTGTCAAGTAATCGTTGATTATTAAACATGTCAAGCAAATAGATTAATCAACATTTCTAATTACCCAGTTATTTATTTTAAAAATATCAATATTGTGATATCTGACAGTTTTATGACAGTAAAAAAATAAATTGACATTAGTTAAGAATAGAAAAATAAATGTTTACATTTTAAATTAAGAATGCTTTTGTAAGATTTGCTAAATACATTCTTATTGACCATTGATAAAAAAAATGTAAGACTGTATATAATAACATATAAACTATATGCATAATTATATATATCTAAAGTTAATATTTAGACTAAGTAATTTGTGTAATGATCTGACAATAACATTAACAATGTGTATATATTATTATACAAATACAATAATCATGTTGGTCAATAGAATAGCAATTTTATCACATACTAAAGAGAGACTTTGTACTTAAGTCAATTACATGTACGTCTGCCTGCCCTTCAAGCTACTGTGATTGTAGCGCTGTATTTCAGTTTGAAGGGTCAGAATAACTGATATTTTATGGTATGATGTAAGATATATGTGATATGAAGTCCTTTGGTCACAAGGAATATTAGAATTATGAGGCATAACATAGGTGTCACAGTATACTCTGAATTTTATGATGCAGTTTATGTCTACAGATATTTGTTACCACTTTCCGTCACATGGATCTGACTTCTAACCATTCTAAGTATTATGGAAAAATCTTTCCTTAATAACTCATTAATATTTTACTGATGGGTATAGGTCTGTTACTATCCTGTTTTTATTTTTTTCTTTTTTTACACTATGGATATGGCAAACAGGTATAAAACCTGTCTTCTGGTAAATGGTCACTGTAGCCTATGGATTATAATTACATTTATTTGTCTATTTCACATAAATGCAATATGCAGTAATATATTTCTTCATTACCCCAAAAAATTACATTAATTTTTAATTATGCACAGTGAATTTTTTGTGGTTACAAATAGTAACCGTTTTAGTGGTTCAGAAATATGTAGGTGTGTAGTCCTTTAATTACATGTTTGTGATTCCTTCAAATAAAATGGTATTAACCTAAGAACTTAAATGCGTATTTAAGAGTTCTTTATAAGATACATCCAATGGTAAAGACTTTTGACCACTGTTTAGTTTTCATTTTCTGATTATGACAATTTAATGTCTATAGTTTTGATAATGTTAAAAAAAGATATTACAAAATTTATAAATATATCTTTTTATTCATTTAAATAGGCTAAATAGTATGCTTCTCATAGTTTTTTTTTTTAATCTCATAAATTTAAAGATATACTGTATGATTGGAAGTTGTCATTTCTTGTACCAATTTTTGACATCTTAGTGCTGTAAAAAAGTAGAGTACACTCCATCAGGAGGGAATTAAAAATTAACTATCGTAGTTCTTTCTTAGTCTTTAAGGTATTCACATTCCATCAAACTAAGCTCAGAGATTTTTTTTAATGAATGATAACGGAATGGTAACGCCGCCTACGCTATCGGTATACGCTGGCGGGGTACCAGTGAAGAATGGTGAGGATGAAAGCGGGTCATTTAGTCCATTGTGACAAATTCTACGATAAATTAGTCATGATGGTTTCCAGGGAAACTGTGTAGAGGTCAACCTGATAGGGTATATTGATCGCAATGGGGACTAATCTCCCCATTACTAACAATTCCTTCCCCCTAAGAGCACAGATTAGGAGCTCTTTAACTTGTTAGTATTAGTTTTGCTAGTATTTACTCTTCATCTAAAATAAGCTGTTTACGTACCCGTACACGGCGCTACGTATACGGGTACTTATGAATCCTATTAATATAATAAATGCGAAAGTAACGATGGATAGATGATTGTTTGTTACTCTATCACGCAAAAACTACTGAACAGATTTAAATAATATTTGTAACACAGACAGATTATATCCTAACATCCCACATAGGACACTATGTCCCGATTCACGCAGGCAAAGCTGCGAGATACAGCTAGTAACATTTAGTTTGTGATGTCAGGGGTGCGTAAAGATGGAACATAAGCAAGATGGATAGGTATAGACCAAAAAACCAGTTGGACTAAATGCGTGTTCCTCTTTTCTCTTGTTATCTCTCCAATTTTTAAATAACTTAAAAAAAGAGATTCTTAATTCGCCTATATTATTTGTGAACGTTTTAGGTGGATATATCGATAATTCTGAACCGATTTCGATTATACTTTTTGCATTCTTTCCTATTGGTTTCATATCAATTTTACCATGAATAAAGCTGCCGTTATTCTTTGCGGAGCAAATGCAGAACTTTACGTTATTTATTTCTCATTTTAAAAGTATATCTGCAAATCGAATACCATATCGAAATCAATACATCGGTGTGTTTGGACACGATTGAAATAGTTCTTTTTTTTTTGTGGAGCAAAATTTATAATAAATAAATTTTAAAATTGTATTCTAAAAAAAAAACTGATTTCAATTGAGAAAACACCAGTTTTGCCTCAATTTTGATAAATTAGATAAATGAAATGAAATTCTTTTATAAACTTAAACAACTGAACCCGTTTTGATAAGATTTCCATGGAACTAAGTGTTTGATGTCTGTCGATAATTTAGAGGAGTTAGTGAAGAACTAGCATTCTCTCGTTTGGGTGTGTTTGCACCTCTGTGTTGCAATTGGCCCACAGGTGCAAACAGGATGTTAATATTATTGATCTTATGCAGTAATGCAGATCCGGACTTATTGCATAATAAGGAGACATGAAGTGGGTTGCAAAGTGATGCACTTTAAGCGTATATGTACCTATACTGTCACGTAGCCTATTTGATATATATCATTCTCGTGAATTGAGAAGGTTCATACTGTGTTTTATATGTGGCAACGTCGTAAGTCGTCGTAAGTCAAAGAATTTAACAGATTTCAATATTATGATTGACAATTTAGAGTACTTTTTATTCTGATAGCGAAATAAAATTATAAAATAACTAGTTTATAAATCTACCACTAAATGTTTTGCACCTATTTCATAAATTACTTTTGTTTTTACAAACTTTTTTGATTTACTATCGAAATCTTGGTTCAAAATTAATATGAAATGAACGTACTAAACGTTCAATGCAAATTTAAATCATTTTTAGTCAAAGAAACTTGTTTACAAGCACTTTTAAAACGTAATTTTTTTAAAATCTACTGCAGGGTTCGAATGTTGTTATCTGTTGGCCAGAGCCCGCAAGAAAGTCAACAGTTACTCTTTTAAATCTCTGTTAACATTATGTGTATTTATATGTGCTATGTCTAAAATTACACGGTCGTTAAAAGTCATTCAAGTAATCGTTTAGGTGTGTAATAGGCTTTGTTTAATAACAATTTTAAACATATTAAAAGGTAGTTCCAAAATATCCTTCGGTATCTTATTACGCTCATATAGCATATAGCTCATAGAGCAATGGTCAATCGAAACTATTTATATATTTGGTTTATTTTCGAAAATTAACAGAAAATTTCTACTTTTGTGTCGAATACAGTCCAAACGGGTTAAACAGCCGCTTTATACGAATCATAATTCGATTAATTTCACCGCTGTATTTAATAGGCATCTTGAGGTGAGACCGTAATATTAAGCGACAGTTTCATCGGCGGGTTATATGAATTTAAATTTATCATAATGATGATGCAATGGCCTTCCTTCAACCAATGTTACTCAGGAATGGCAACTCATGAAGGGTATCATGGGCGAAATATTATACTCTGTTATGTCCATGGTATTGTCCATGTCTATAGGCGACGGTTACCAATTCCTTTTGGTGGTCCGTTGGCGTGCTTGTCATTGCAAGTCACAAAAAAAAATTGTAAAGACAAATTACATTGTAATTTTTACTATTGTTTAATTCCAGATGATAAGGGGCGAATTCCTCGTAATAGAATATTTAGAATGGGACAACTGCTACACGGAAATTGTGCCAAAGGACCGCCTCAGAGTGAAGACGCCCAAAACTCCGATTGACAAGAGCACCTTCAACAAATTCGAAATTTCTGTACCCGATGATCTCAAAGACTAGTGAGTATAGTTTACTACTTTGGTTTACTTAGTTTAGAAAAAAAAAATAGGTCAATTAAAGTCATGCAAGCTGTGTTCATATTTGAAATATAAATAAGTACATTTTACTCGTCACTTTGTTCGTATGACAGGTATATATTAAATTATCTTAATAAATAGCCTATGTCCTCTATTACAAATAGTAGGTATGTGTATACAAATATTCATGACTAGAAACAAATCATCATCATCATCATCATTACAGTTTCACATTTAAATGACTAAGAATTGTTTTTTCTTTAAGTAGTATAAAACAAAATCGCTGTCGACGTCTGCCTGTTTCTCCGCTTATTTCTTCTAAACCGCACAACGTATTTTAATACCGAGTTTCACTGTTATGTAGATTTTTTTTTTGACGGGAAGATCTCTATATTCATACAATATAGTGTTCCCATATATACACTATGTAAATAAAAACTAGCAGGAGAAATTGGTAAATAGATTATCAAAACTATACATTTTACTATCTGTAACTAAAACAACTGTCCGTTTATAAAAGTACTGTTATGACTCACACAGTCTGTGATAAGACATTTTATCAATGAGCGGGGAATTCCCTAGAATACTCACTATATAATTTTGAACTTTATTTGGTTATGATTTCCAAAGTATTTGAGTGGTGGTAAAAGACGGTGTTAAATAAAAGCATTAAAAATCAATGATTAATGTTATACAAATGTACTGTTAAAACAGCAGATTTATTAACAGTAACAATACTATACATACATACATACATATGTATGTGTGTATATGTATGTATATATGTATATATATATATATATATATATATATATATATATATATATATATATATATATATGTATGTATATATACAACAAACAACGATACAATTATATAAGTACAGTAAGACAGTCTTATTTCTGAGAGCAATCTTCAAGACAACCTTAGGGTAATGGACTAATTGTTGTACAAGTAGGTATGATACTATTGTATCATTAAGAAAGTGCCTTTATCAAATTAAAAAAAATAAATATTAACTATATTACAACATATAATCCTATACATATATGTTAAATAATGTACCTAATACTAGAACATATATAAATAATTATAAGCATATTATTATATATTTCCTTTCGATTTTCCTTCTGCAAGTCGTATAAAAATAGCTGAAAAGAAAAATGCAAAACAATTCAATATCATTGTTTGACCTTTTTGTAAATAAGGGGAAAGGTCTCTTGCACCGTAGGTAGAGCACCCTATTGCATTCATTTTTATGTGCCATTCACAATGCTACATAATAACGTACGAGTTACTATTTCACTTGTGCAAAAAAGAAAGATGGCGGGGCGGTAACGACCCAGGGCTCGCATAAAATAACAAGTACCCACAAATTTATTAAATTACGAATTGCATGATCTTGTGAAATATTCAAATATATTAGTTTATAATCGTATGTATTTTAAACTTAATAAATACCTAGTGATTTCAGTATAAATATACAAAATGTTTTTGTAGCATTGTATTTATAAAATTGTTGATTGACTTTGCCGTTTATTAATTCAATTGGAATATTTTTCTGATATTATCGTGGCGATTAACGTGTTAAAGAGGACGTGTCTAGGGTCGAGGAAAAAGTAATGTAAGGTGGTATGAGTATTTTGAAAAAATGAAGGAAAATAAGTTTGTGTTCTACAAAAAAAAAATTCAATTGTCGCTGAACTAGTAAATATATGATTTAAAAACTTAACTATAGAACTAATTTTAATAAATTTAATATGGGACCAATTAAAGTAAAAGAAAATCCAAATTGGTTTACAACTGACAGAGTTATAAGTTTTTTTTTTCCATGGGTGAAAATAGAATGGTAAATCTGTTTGCGGTATCAGTATATGCTGGCAGGGTACCAGTGAAGGGTGACAGGTGAGGATGAAGGCAGACCAGTTGGCCCATAGTGATCAATTGAACAAGAATCAACCACTATGGTTTCCAGGGAGAACCGCGTGGAGGTCGACCTGATAGGGGTATATATCCCTTTCCTCCGAGTTATAATGTTATGAAAATACAACTGAATTAAGAAACTATTTCTTTTTGAAGTCGGTTAAAGAGAAAAGATAAAAATGAAGGTTTTGTCTTTATACAACTTAGAAAGGCAAACAAGCTGACGGCCCACCTGATGGAAAGTGGTAACCGTCGCCTATAGACATGAGCAGTACCATGGACATAACAGAGTATACTGTTTCGCCAATGATACCCCCCATGCGTTGCCATTCCTGAGGACTCAGGTGTTATTCCTCTGTACCCAGTAAATTCACGCCATATCCCATCCTTCAAACCGAAACACAGCCTTGCAAACACAACTGCTTCACGGTTGAAACACGAATGGGACAGAGGTACCCAAGCAATCGACTTTTGTACAAAGTCTCCCTCTGTTTATAATATAAACTTAACAGAAAAGGCAACATGAAGAAGCAACAATGGGCAACTTAAATAACACTATATTAAAACAACACAAACATGTTTACAAAAAATTTTAATTGATACATTAGAACAATGCCAAGCGTGGCAACTACTGGCAAAACTCCCCATATGGGGAATGCTTATGTCCAGCAGTGGACACTTAACGGCTGAAAAAAAAACACTAGAATGAATCCAAATGTTTTCTGTAAAATTTATCAATTTAAGAGATAGTTTAAGTAAAACATTTTAGCGTCGTAGACTTTGTAGTCTATTTTTGACAGGCACAGTAAAGGAAGGAAGTTGTCAATCCGAATACATTTTTGGTGCGCCGCCACATCTTTGTCGAATAGGATTAATGTAACTAATAATCCAAAACTAGAATAGTGTTTGTCACAATTGTTGTTATTATTTTAAGAGGAGATAATTCTAAATTGTTATAATTCGGATTTTACTTAAAGTTTGACACTCTTCTAATTTGTTTCGGATTTCACAAAAAATGTTTCTTAAATCATATATAATAGTAATTATATAAACACTTCTATCTTACAATTTACTTTGTATCCAATCAATGTATGACGTCATTCTAGTGTGGCTGGGTTAGATGGAGGTCCGGCTCGGCATCCGTAAGGCACGGAACGATATCACCTATTAGTACATACGCATATCATTATTGTAACAAATGGGACCGCCACCAGGGACTCCACTCTCAATATCCACTCGTACACATTTGTTTGAAGGGTGGGATATGGCGTGAATTTACAGGGTACGGAGGAATAACACCTGAGTTCACGAATGGCAACGCGTGGGGGGTATCATGGGCGAAACAGTATACTCTGTTATGTCCATGGTACAGCTCATGTCTATAGGCGACGGTTACCACTTTCCATTAGGTGGGCCGTCAGCTTGTTTGCCATTCTAAGTTGTATTAAAAAAAAAGAATCTATGATATAACTCTTAAAAACTGCAGGTCACAAATCGTTATTAATCACATCCAAATACACATAACTCAGCTGCTGGCTGAGTTTTATTGGACTATCTCGTTTTTCCATACGCCACTTCGTCGCCAATTCCAAACCGATTTTCTGAATTTATTACACATTTAACAAACACTCTCGTGTCTGTCACATTTTAAACTTATGACGACTGAAGTTAACGTTTTTTTTTGCGGAGCTAAAACATTTACATACATTTTTTACTTTATCAATTTGTATTACAAGTAAAAGCATCATCATGATCATCATGATGATGATGATATTTATCTGTCTACTGCTGAACATAAGCCACCCTCATAGTTTGCCATAACCTGACCTGAACGGTTCGGAATCACCTGCACCCATTGACTCCCTGCAATGCATTTGAGGTCTTCACTCTCATCTAGTGGTGGATTAGCGAAGTAAAAGCAAGTTTTTGTGTATAGTATGTGTGTCTTTTAAACAATATTTATTAATGGTAAAAAACGTTATCCAAGTCTTTAATACGTCATTCCTCTTGTTTTCTTTTTTGAAACAACTTAATGTAACTAAGGGTACTTGATAAGGACTCGTCATTAAGAAAATCTGCTTTTTATGTCTTTTGTCCTCACCATTGTTTCATAAACGGGTATCTCTGTAATGAGATTATTGATTTTTTTTTATATATTTTTTAATTAGAGGCCTTTATCCTATAATATGTCAACCCTACAAAACGATATGTCAACCCTATCATACCCTATACATAAGAGATTATTGATAATAATGAAATTATAAGTGTTAATATACATTATTGTAAATGTATTAAGATTTAGGATATTTTTTAATCAAGTCAACTTAATCATTTCTTTTTTTTTAATTGCACTTTACCGTCCATTCGGATCCACTGTCTGTAACATACTTTATTTACTATTATGTGAAGTTTATGTTTCAATGAATTCTCGTACCCGTCAAAAGAACTTTGACTGAATAAATAGTCAAAAGGTCAGAGGTGATGCCCTAAATGGTCCACCGGCTACCCATTATCAAACTACATATTTCTCCTGTATTGTAATAGACAATTTTTTGGCAATGATAAAGATGTGCATACATGTATCGTCAGCGTAGGCGTAGTTCATGAATAAGTAATTCCATGTTTGTCTTTTCGGGGCAGTGGGTATTTTTTTCTCGTAAAATAGAATATAATTTTACTGAAATATACTTAAAATATCTCTAAAGCCTGACTGCGGTTGCCAATCCGCCTGCCAAGCGTGGCAACTACTGGCAAAACCTAAGTTAAAGGCCGATATGATCACGATGTTTAAGTATACATTTATGTCTGTGTATATGTACGGTTAAATATGATCTAATTAGTTATGTATAAACTTAAGTTTGTCTATTTATTTTTGTTTGAAAATTTACACAAATATTGTACATCGTTTTATCCGCCCACATTGATGCTCTTCTCTACTTTGGATGTCGCTGGAAGAGATCTCTAAAAAAGTTAAGCTCGCCTTTGTACATTTGCTTAACTCTGTCATATTTGCTATGCATTACTAGTGTGTGCAGTAAAGTATAAATAAATACTATTTATTGTGTTAGTGAAATTGTATGAGATGGACATAAGCTATCTAAATTAAAATTCGTCTATATAGGCTATCCTTTCAATATAGCCTTGATTGCATGACCGAGATTGTTTTAGCATGAAAGGTGCCGTTAGAAATGATTGTATCTCTCGTAGAATAAGGTCGCACAGTGTATCCTGTAATGACAATGATGCATATGTCTATAATAATTGTTACTATTTTCCATCAGGGCCTCTAGACAAGTGGCAAGCGAATGAGATAGCAACGCCGGGTGACTCATTCCAACTCGCGGACTCGCTAGCGATGTCGATTCCATCGACGAATTCGCTTGCCACTTGTCTAGAGGCCCAGATAACGGTACGGCAGTTCGTTGGCTATTCGAGCCTCTCTATACAAGTGGCAGACGAATCTATCGGTAGAATTGTTTTGAGTTAATACACGTATGAGAAAGAACATTATGGCACGTACTGTGTGGTTTCAAAGAAATTTTCTTCCACGAATGCACAGATTGTCGAGTGAGCAGGTTTTCCCTAGAGGCTACAGTATGGGGTTCTTTAAAATAGGGGTATATTAAGCTTTCTTCTGGATCTGCCAATCCTTAGTGTTGCAGGCGTCCATAGGCTTTAATGACCGTTTAGTATCAGACGGGCGGTATGCTTGTTTGCCACCCTTGTGGTATAAAAAAACTATCTCATTGCCTCACCAGTGATAACGATTCTATTGGTAGATTTATTTGCCACTTTTCTAGGATCGGTTTTTACATAAATTAAGCAAGGTGCCCATGTTCAACAATGGATAGTTAACGGTTGATATTCATTAAACGACAAACTTCTCATAAACCTATTTTTGCTGTTGAAGTGTTTTGTCTCTTTCTTTCGCGCTGAATTCTCAATTTTGAATAAAGGTGACAAAACAGTGTAATAGTTATTTTCTTTATGCACTAATGTCTCAGTATGAAAGTGGCAGAACAATAATAAAGTAGATTTGTCGGATGTTTTATTTAGTTTTTATGAATAAGGGGGTAAATAGGTACTGGCCGCCTGGTGAAGGTTTTTTTAAATGGATGATAATGGAATGGTAACCCCACCTGTGCTATCGGTATACACCGGTGGGGCATCAATGAGAGATGAATAGGTGAGGACGAAGCAGGTGGTCAGTTAGCCCATCGTGACAAATTCAAAAAGAATTGTTCACGATGGTCTCCATGGGCAACCACGTAGAGGTCGATCTAATAGGGTATTTTGCTAGCAATGGGGCTGTCAAATTCCATTGCTAACAATCCCTTTTCTCCGGCCTGGTGACGGTTGGCCTCAAATATGCGTGTATAAAGCGTGTATGTAACGAGACGGTATAATGATATGTGTAGCCTTCACGACATGCACAGCGCGAAGGTGGAGAACGCGCACAAGGAGTTCCAGAAGGCGATCGGCGCCGCGCTGGTGTGGTACGTGCCCGAGCGCACCGCCCTCGCCGTCATCTCGCGCTGCGACTCCTCGCAGCGCCGCGCGCAGATGCTGCAGGATATGCACTTTAGGTGAGCTAATCCTCCCTCCGCCATCATTGCTTTCAATCACCGCGTTTTGTCCCAAGATAAAACACCACTGTCCCGCCATTAAAGGACACTGTAAATTGGAGTTATGTTTTTTTTTTAATGGGTGATAATGGGTAACCCCGCCCGCGCTATCGGTATACATCGGCGGGGCACCAGTGAAGGATGATAGGTGAGGATGAAGCAGGTCATTCAGCTCATTGTGACGAATTCAACAAGAATTGTTCACTATGGTTTCCAGGGGGAACCACGTGGAGGTCGACCTAATAGGGCATATTGCTAGCAATGGGGCTGTCACACTCCATTGCTAACAATCCCTTTCTTCCCCTCGGGGTTATGTTAGGATACTAATGATAATTCATACATACAAAGCTGTTTAGACATTTAGAAGGTATGATGGAATAAAGAAATTGATATAAACTCTAAAAACATTACACTCTTTTCAACCGACTTAAAAAAAGGAGGTACTCAATTCGGAGGTGTTTTTATATTGTTTGTTATGTACCTCTTAAATGTCATTTCTAAAGACTTGACATATCATCATATGGACTATTTGAGGGGAGGGAATTAGTAGTGAGTATCCATGAATATAATAAATAAATATAATAAAAATAATAATATACCCTATTAAGTCATCGTTCATGCGGTCTTCAATGGGAAACCATCGTGTTAAATTCTTGATGAATTTATCACGATGGACCAATGATGACTAGATTTTATCTTCACCTATTATTACTTACTGGGTATCACACCAGCGCAAACGTACAACCGACAACGTAGACAGGGTTAAATAATAATAATAAATTGATTGCATTCTTTACAAATGTGATACAGAAATTATAATGTATATCATAATAAATAAATAAATACATTGTGCAGTATTCGTATGCGCCTGGCAATAGGTACAAACTCAGCTTTTGCTGGACTGATGTGCGTTCAGCGCTGATTTTCATTTTGTACCTACACGGGTTATTATTCTATTTTCATCCATATACTATACAAGTTTGCATAACTTGTAGTTGGTGTTTGTAGTTATAGTTTAAAAGGTACCTGAGATTTTTTCTGCATAAATTAGAAAAAAAAAGTATCCTGTATGCTAATTTGAAAGTGAACGGTGCAGCTTGACCGTACGGTGAGCGTGGACTGTAGGGGCGCTGGTTCAAGCTGGAGAGAAACACACTGATTCCTTTTCTGAAGCCCCCGGTGCCGTCTGAAGAGTTTTTTGTTGTCCTATTTCTTCTCGGTTGGGAGTGCAGTGCGTCAATGCGATGGCAGATCAGAGCATGCCGCTCGACGGTAGGCGGCCTATCTTTATACCCGCCCGGTCGCACGATAACATGTACTAACTCGCGTTAGCGAGTCTGTGCGAGCGGGACGGGGCGAGTGTGAAAGAGACGCGTATCTCTTCAGAGCGGCACCATATGGCATCTATTTATTTATTACAATTGTCTTATTTCTATTACTTTTTACAATTTCTTTTTCTTATTCTATTTACGGGTAATAATAACAAGACACAATAAAAATGTTTTATTCAACTTACGCTATAGATACATCTTAAAATCTATGTAAAATAAACAATTTAAAAACGATTAAAACTAATGACAAAAAACAACTATAAATTATCGCTATAACTATAAAATGATTGTAATGTCGCGAACAGAAAGTGTTTACAAACATTCAGTTTATTAATAGTAAGAATAATACTATATATAGCACACGTCCAGGACTTCATGTGCATAGCTACACTTGAAGTTCTTGTCTGCACGACCAGCAGACTCACTGGCCGCGCAAACCCTGTGCTTACATTAACGGATACTACAGGGCCGGTAGTGCGGAGGTAGCGCTCTCACGGTAGTATCTAGTTTCCTACACTTGACATTATCCAAACGAGAGTGGAATGGATACAATTAGAGATGAGAGTTCAGGGGAGAGACCACTGACTGTCGATTTGCTGTGCTTACTCTAGAAGTTCCCTGGCTTGAACGTTTCATGGTGTTTTTAACAATGCCCCTGGCACTATGTGTTCCATATGTGGACGTCAGTTGCCTGATCAATTTCGTCATTTTTATCTCGGATTTATTTTTTGATGGGTGATAATGGAATAGTGACCCTACCCGCGCTATCTGTATACACTGGCAGGGCACCAGTGAGAGATAGGTGAGGATGAAGCAGGTCAGTTAGCCGACCGTGACAAGTCTAACAATAAATCAATCACGATGGTTTCCAGGGGCAACCACGTGGAGGTTTGTCATAGGGTATATTGCTAGCAATGGGGCTGTCAAACTCCATTGCTAACAATCTCGGGTATTTTGTGTCCTTGACTATTTTAGGGATTGACTGTATGATGTTATTTAAATAACAGTACAGTACCGTAACAAACGTATTTTTTTTTAATATAACTCCAATTTACAGTGTATATTGCATAGCGAAATGTACATAAATGTAAATAAGTTGAAGCTTTGCATCTTGTATCTAGGTTTATGAAAATTACATAATATGTCTCGATTATACTAGATCAAATTTATCAATTTGTAAATTTATAGATGCTCGTTTTATATCATTAAAAAGTTTAAAATAGTCACTCTGTTTCTACGTTATCTTACCATTGTACACAATTATCACATGTTCAATATGATGCCCACGGCCACTTTCTATCATCGTACGGCTCGCCTTCGATAGGGAGTTAACCCTCATACCCTACAGCCTAAATGGTCGCGTACAACGCGGTTTCAGAGATATTTTCTCCCACGAACACTCAGGTTATGGATTAAACGTGCCGTGGTTGTCCCAAGAAACTATAGCATGGGTTTCTTCAATAGGGGGGTAAAGAGGTTTCTTCAGGGTTGCCAACGCGCGCGTAATACCCCTGGTATTCCATTATAGGCTGCGGAGTAACCGCTTACCATCACGTGGACTGTTTGCCATCTCAGTGGTATAAAAAAAAAAACATGTTAGTGAACGATATATATATTTAATGTACCACTAAACAACAACATTAGAAACACGTTGAAAACCTCTTATAACAATTTGAGGAACAAATATATAAACATTGAAACTATTCGGTGGCCCATTTACTATTTATTCCGCCTTTAATCCTCCAGCCGCGTGGGAGGGCGTTTATTTTTAGTACAGATCGCATTCATAACATATCGAATCGCATACTTCACTGATTTTGTAAATGCTTTTTGTTATTTCACGATATATTCCAATTTGTAACTTTCTATTATATTTATTTCATTGAGTGATATTTATTGCTATCAGATTTTTACTCAACTACAGTAGAATACGGGGTAATGTTTTTTAACTGTATGTATGTACTAGCTGAGTGTATATACGTATGTTCATTTGAAAGATGGATGATAGATTATGCCATTAGATTCTTCTACATTTTGGACTTATAAGGAATGAGATGGAGTTATTATAAGCTATATGATGTCAATATGGCGATCATTATTCACCAATAATTTTCAATGCGTTCAGTCAATAGAACGATGATATGTCAGTTATAATAAAAGAAAGAGATAAAGAGGTTTCTTTAGAGTTGGCAAACTGCGCGTAATGCCCTTGGTAGTGTTTATAGGCTACGGTAACCGTTCACCATCAGGTGGGCCATATGCTTTTTTGCCACCTCAGTGGTATAAAAAAACATAAAAAAAATAGTCTGAATTTCCGATTAACTATTGATTGCAAATTGGACAAGGTAATTGTTGTGCTGTTGGAAATATCTAATTTAACCGTGTAATTGTACTAATTTTTATTATATTTATAAGAAAAATAAAAAAATATCCTTATTTAAATGAAATTTCGGGTATTTTAATGTGTGTTATACTCAAATTCTTTTCATACTCTTTTTAAGGTTACTTGATACATTTATATATCCAAGCTAATTTATTTCAATTAGTCACTTTGTCCGCCAGACTCTTTCAGCCTTTTACTTATAATTGAATTATTATGTTCCAGGAATCTAACTCAAAAGCTGTTATTGCTGAAAAAGACTGAGGAAGCGGCAAGGCAATTAGAGTCCACCAAAATTCATAATCAGGGAGGGTGAGTTTTGTCTATTTATTTAAAAATAAATTATTGTAGGCTTATTATCTAATTTGCACTATGACTAATGGCGGAAATGAAATGTTCTCATGTCATGTCCGAAGTCGCCTCTGATTGATAATATAGTCAAATAATATTAAGTCCAGTTCCCAATTGAGAAACCCGCTGCGAGTTCTGTTTTATCATACTATGAATTTGTTAATATCAATAGTTTAATTTAGTTATAAATTAGCTAAGAAGCCTACTCGGCTATTCTTCTAAATATTTCCTTTATATTGTACAACCCGGCAGAAATATCCAACTGTCATTCCTTACATTGCATGATTCAAATTCTGACAATATAATATGTTACTATGGCATAAAGAGCGCTATCTTAGCGGCATTTGGCTTACGTATATACCACAGAAACAAGGCAGATCAACTATATGCTTGTTACCAATGGCCGTGCACTCGATTTTCTTTGCTCAAGATTTCACAAACAAAAAAAAAATTAAAAACACTTCCAAATTCAAATATGACCGAAGTCTTTAATTTTAAAAGATGCCAAGTAAATTGTTGAGTGCAGATACAAATGAGCAATAATTAATTGAATCAAGTATATATGCATAAGGCTTTTATTTAGCACGGCTTGGTCTGCCTTGATACATTTCTGTGGTACCTGCAAAATTTCAGCCCAGACCAGTATTCGAGATATTCTCGGCCGGGCAACGAACACGGCACGGGGGATCCCAATTGGTAATTATCATAATCGTCCTACATATATTTATGTATTTCGATGAACTCTAGTCACCGCGTTGATGAACCAGCCCTTTGACAGTAATAGACTACAAACAAGCCCATTTATCACATACTTTGTAGTGGTCCCGACTGACCAAGCGTGAATTGTATTCAGATATCTGGTATAATAATAGTATCATTGCACCAATATAGCAGTATTGTTATAAAAACAATAGCTTCAGGTGATATATTTACAAAAAAATATTTGAGTCGTATTTGAGTATTTGTCTAGTACCCATAATTACAAACTGCTTAATTTTAAACCAGATGGCGCTGTGTAGTACTTGTATATCCAGCCAGTGGTATTTATTTACTTTCAGTTTGGGATAGCACTGATGGTATTGATTTTTTTTTTAATTTTTTATTTTAAATATCCATCTAATGAGTGCGTGTATACAGTTTTGTAAAGAAGTTTCCACTCCAATGCTTATTACAGTATCTTTTTAGTACATATCATCATTCAGAATGTACTGTATAACAGATGTCTTGTGTCAACTTCTGAAAATTTACCATGGGCAGCTTGTAGTCTATGAACTAAGTTAATGGGAAGTGCATGTCGTTTTAACTTTGCCTTGTTGACTAGAAGTGCAATAACTTTTACGCGGGCTTAGAGTTTTATACTTGGTCTTTACTAAGTTTATGGGCGCTGTACACTTGGACTAAACTTTTACCACGCAATGTGTTGAGCAGACATACTCTTTTCAGCTTTGATTGTTCGAATATATAACTAGAATAAACGGTAAATATTACAACAATAATATTTCTTCATATTTGAACTAGTCTAAGCTGAATTGGATGTATGTAAGGTTAATTTATTTGCTAATTTTGTGAGGTCAACTTACTAAGCAGATCAAAATTAAAGTTTCTTAATGTGTTCTCCACTCGCATAACGATTGCGTATACATATATACATTTCTCATTGCTGTACACAATACACATGGTGAATTGACCTCATGAAGTGGTTTTTAAGCAGTAAATATAGATTCTCACGTAGTTTTGTTTATGACGTAAATTGATTCCTGTTTTTCTATTTAAAATTTCATTTCTCGTCTACGTTTTTATGTCATCGAGTCGAAGTTTTGTAAAATGCCGTTTTCAAATTGTAGTGTCTCGTTTACACGATACGAATTCATCGTCATCATATCAGTCGTTTACTATCTACTGCTCCTATTGGGAGGTTTTGCCAGTAGTTGCCAGGATTGGCAGCTTATTTTGTAACATTATATTACTAATTTGAAATAGTACTATTAGACTTACTTAACACATCCAAATCTATAGGTTATGTCATTAAATAAATAAATATGCCAGTAGTTTGCAAAAATTACTATTTTTTTATTTACATTTAATATCACCATTTAAAGAATAATACATAGAAAATAGCACTTAATAAAGAAAACACAAAAGTCTGTCACTAGCAATATCTTCTCGACTTCAGACAACCTTTAGGTAGAGGAGAAATGATAAAAGGCTGAATGTAGCTAGGTAGCACTAGTGTGCACTACATAATTCACAAAATGTGAGTGTAGGTGACAGCTTGCAAATAATTATAAAGGAATTTTGTTCGTAACGCGTAATTAACTTTACAAAATATTTATGACATATATATGGTTTTATAATTATCATTATCATGGATCCTGACACCACGTGAGAATCTTATGGTATAAATCACACATCACAAGACAAAAGTAATAAATTCGGTACAAATAAATATTAAAAAAAATTTTGTAAAGTTTCGTTTGTATTTCACTTTGTTTTGTAAAATTGCCTTTTGGTGTGTTTTAAATTGTACACCACAGAAGTAAAATAATAGTAAAGTATATGAATTTTTTTTTGTTTAGGAACATATTTAACAACTGTAATTTTACTTAATTTTCAAGTACATTTTAAAAGTTTAACAGAAACACTTATTTACTTCTTGTGGTGTCATTGTTTTTGCCTATAGACAAGAGTCGTACAATTCCATTTTCAAATATGGTTTTCTACAGTATACATACAGCGTAACGCCATAAAAGAGCTTTATCATAGCACTGTATTATGATAGATAATGAGATGACAGTCCTGTCTCATTTTTTTCTATATGTAAACGTCTTTAAAAATTGAATGGTTCGTCACTTGTCTATGTCCTCTAGTTCACGACGCTCATTATACGACACGTTAGCTGTCAGTTTCGCCAACAGTCATGATTTATAAATACTGGCTGGTGATACACTGTACACTATTCGAAACTTAATGTCGAAGTAAAGGTTCAATTTTAAATATGGACAATTTCTATTTTCAATTCATATCAAGTTTTTTAATGGTCCATGTAAAATACTAGTTTTCTATCATTCACACTTGACAGCGATTGTGGTGAAAAGCACCGTAAAACCTATCGTGTAATGGGCGTCGTATGAAATGTGCGCAGACATGTAGATGGCAGCTCGGGTTTGACATTGTCCAACAGGTACACAGACGAGTTCAGCGTCCGCGAGGACTTGATGGGGCTAGCGATCGGCACGCACGGCGCGAACATACAGCAGGCGCGCAAGGTGGCCGGCGTCACCAACATCGAGCTCGAGGAGGTCTCCTGCACCTTTAAGATCTGCGGCGAGGTCCATACACTCATTTGTAGCACCTAGTACCCAATGAACAACTTATTGGTATGCCGATATCAACATAACGAAAAAGGTAGAGCTTACCGGTGTAGCATATCTATATTATGTAAAAGAAATACCACACACACTCACTGACCGACCGACTGTTTATCAAAATTATAATATAAATGACATACAAAGTGGTTCGAGGGGTAAATTCGACGGTATACTATTTTATGAGCGTTTCGGGGAACTTCCACGGGAAAACGATATAAAAAAAAAATTGAGAAATAATTACATATAAATCCCAATTGTATTTTTCGATACGACCATATTATATTTTTGTAAAAGTTCCTTTTTCGTTTAATAGTTTAAATGACCAATAAGTACTTGGGTTCAATTTACTGTAGAGATAAATATTGATTTTAAATTCAATATTTGGAATTGGAACATTTGTGGAGCATCAAACTTTCTGTATTTTTTTTTTTATGGCATGTATGTGGCATGGCATGGCACGTAAGCTGCACTGGTGTATTACCACTTCTGCGGAATTGGACGCTGCGCTTAGCCGATTCAATGATATCAAATATTTAATGCACGATTTGCTACTTGAGTTAGATCACTGTGATTTTTGACAATGGCATGGTCTCCTTTTGTTTCCTATGTCTGGCATGTCATGTAAATTCTAATGTCACGTTGAAGTCATGCTGCATGAAAATAGTTATTACGTATTTATAGCTGTTATCTTCGATACAGACTGTGGCTACACTCAAGCAGGCAACATTTTATCATTGCAAAATATTACACATGACATCATCTGTTATTTGTCCGTTAATGTGTACTTATGTGACTACGTCTTACACGTGCCATGTTTGTTACTTACTATTGTGAATGTTCCAATAAAACCAAATTGATTATTTTTTCTCTAACTACACTGGGTTGGCTAGAAGAGATCTACTTCAGAGATAAGCCCACCCTTGCTAACAAGTTGTTAAACTAATCGCTGTATCTTTTGTTCAAGGGCAATAAAGAATATATATAAACTAAGGAACGGAGGTAATTGATAATGGTGTTTTTTTAATGGGTGATAATGGAATGGTAACCTCGCCTGCGCTATCGGGATACGCTGGCGGGGCACCAGTGAGGGATGATAGGTGACGATGAAAAGGCATTTAGCCCATCGTGATAAATTCCAGTAGATTGAACTATGATGGTTTCCAGGGAGAACCGCGTGGAGGTCGAGCTGATAGGGTGTATTGCTAGCAATGGGTCAATTAAACCCCATTACTAACAATCTCTTTTCCCCTGATAATTGGTTTGTATTGTGGCAGAGCGTGGAGGCGGTGCGGGCGGCGCGGTCGCTGCTGGAGTACGCGGAGGAGTCCATCAAAGTGCCGCGCGCCCTCGTCGGCAAGGTCATCGGCAAGAATGGCAAGGTCATACAGGAGATCGTCGACAAGAGCGGCGTCGTCCGGGTCAGTATTCTTATGATAGCTGTTACAATAGCAAACAAGCTGACAGTCCACCTCATGAAAAGTGGTAACCGCCGTCTATTGACATTCATAGTACAGTAGAATGTGCTCGGATGCCCATGGTGGGTACTGTTCATGTGATGTCAATCTTGAGACTATATAGTCTTATGCTTCCATACCCTGTAACTTCACTCCCCATATCCTATTCTTCAAATCAACATCTTAGCTCAGCTGTTATATTGTTTTAAATATAATGAGATGAGAGGTGTTACACTGTGTGTGTGTTCGGATTGTTTGTACAATATAATAAAATAATACAGAGAAATAACATCTGAGTCCTCAGGAATGGCAACGCATGGGGGTATCATGGGCGAAACAATGTACTCTAATGTCCATGGTACTGCTCATGTCTATAACCAACGGTTACCACTTTTCATAAGGTGGGCCGTCAGCTTGTTTGCTGTACTAAGTTGTATAAAAAAAAAGATAGATACTCTTTATTGTTTCCTCCAAAAGATTACAATAGTAAACTTATTATAAATATAAACAATTACAAGAAACAATCACAATGAAAAGACAATGGGCGACGTTATTGCTATAAGCGATCTCTTCCCGGCAACCTTTGGATGGAGAGGAGTAATTTATAAACAGTTTGATCGGAGGCACGAGGAAATTCAATTATTTTTAAAATATACAAATGTGTTACATGTAATAATGTAAATACTAAATAGTTACACTGGTAGTGACACACCCTGGTGTCAACAGCTATTCAATGTTAGTGTGGTTGCACAGGTGAAGGTAGAGGGTGACAATGAACCGCAGCCGTCGGCGCCGCGCGAGGAGGGCATGGTGCCGTTCGTGTTCGTCGGCACGCGCGAGAACATCGCCAACGCCAAGGTGCTGGTCGAGTACCACGTCGCGCACCTCAAGGTAAACCAACACTGTCCACTGCTGAACATAATCCTCCCCCTTGGGGGGTTTTGCCAGTAGTCGCCATGCTTGCCAGGCGGATTGGCAACAGCAATCAGGTTTTAGAGATGTTCTATGATATATATATATATATATATATATATATATATATATAGCTAGATATGATATATAGCTGCACATCCCTCGCCCTTAGTCACCTCTTACGACATTCACGGGATAGAAAGGGTTGGCCTATTCTATGCCAAGGCCACACGGCCACTTAATTGTGTTCACTTGTGACGGTGTTACTGTATAGTTTAATATACTGCCTCATTTTTCGATAGTGGAGGTTTTGTATCATGTTTTGTATTAACATTTATATTCATATTTTGTATAATTATCAATTAATTGGTTGCCTTAACAAGACGAAACTATAGATAAAAATACTACATTACCGCAGCGGCCAGTAACTGAGGCATTGATAGACAAACGTGCAAATGTGGGCCGAGGCGTATCGAGGCACACATGCGTGAGTCCATCAATGCCTAGTTGTGGTCAAGGCTTGTATAGTACTTTTCTCAAACGATGCGCGGAAATGAAAAACACAATTTTACTTTTTAAGTTCAATGACGAATAACGAATAATAATAATTTTTCAGTACGGCAATTTTAATTTATCTTGAAGAAGATTGTCAAAATAATGCTCACATTTCCAAGCATGTTTGAGAAAAATATTTGTGAAAAGAGAAAACTAGGAATTTATTTATATTCATGTATATTTTTTTATTCATGTATATTTAGTATTCTTGAAGATTTAATGGTGCTGTCAAATCTAAGGTTAATTTTTGTATTACTATTAACACATAGCATTTGTTTAAAAGTTAATTGTTAGTGTTAGTGCCTCAATCAATTTTTTTTATACCACTGAGGTGGCAAACAAGCATACAGCCCATCTGATGGTAAGCGGTTACCGTAGCCTATGAACGTCTGCAATACCAGAGGTATTACGCGCGCGTTGCGGACCCTGAAGAAACCTCTTTACCCCCCTTTTGAAGAACCCCATGCTATAATCTTTTGGGAAAACCTCGGCAGGGAGCTCATTCCATAACCTGAGTGTTCGTGGGAGAAAACATCTCTGAAACCGCGTTGTACGCGACCATTTAGGCTGTAAGGTATGAGGGTGAACTCCCTGTCGATGGCGAGCCGTATGATGATAGAAAGGGGCCGCAGGCATCATATTGAATAATTCTTCTGAGCACAATCCATTGTATAAGCGGTAGAACACGCAGAGTGAGGCAAAATCTCTCCTAAGACTTAAGGGTTCGATACCGCTTGCAAGCCTGGGATCATTGACAATTCTTAGAGCTCGTCGTTACACTGAGTCGAAGGGTTCAAGCTGGTATGTAGGTGCTCTCGCCCATAAGTGACAGCAATACTCCATATGGGGCCGGATTTGCGATTTGTAAAGCATTAATCGCTGATCCGGCGTGAAGTAATGCTTCGCTCTATTAAGCACACCGAGTTTTTTGAATGCCAGCTTCACCTTATCTTCGAGGTGGCCACGGAACTACGTCACTAGAAATGTCAACACCAAGGATTCCAATGCTTTTAGAGATGTTAAGAGACGTGCTCTGGAACTGTGGGGCCACAGCAAAATGGGGGTTTCTTAGCGGTAAACGCGCAAGCTTGTGTCTTAGAGGTATTTTTTGTATGTATTTTTAATTGACAATTATTTTAGTAAAATTGTTTATTTTGTTTATACTGTGTGGAGAATTGGTTGTTATGTCAATGGAATACCGTCGAACTTTTAGTGTTTTTGCGGTGGTTTTTTTTTTTTTTTAATTTATTTATTTAATAAAGATGCTAACTCTTGATATTAATTTTATAATAGGAACATGTTGGGGTTTTGTATTTATACATATTATTATGATCTGTGGAAGATTTATTTTTTATACAATTTATAATAGTAAGAAAGCTGATGGTTCACCAGATGGATAGTAGTAAGATAGTACGATGGTAAGATGGATAGTAGTAAGTTTTTAAGAGAGGTAGGGCACAGCGTGACTTGCTCATAAATGGAACCGCCCGCCTGGGGAAAAACCTCCATCTTGCAGAAGTTCGCAGCCAAACAACGCTGTTTTAATAGCGTTGTGTTCCTGCGGGGAGTAAGGTATCCAGTTCCATCTTGGGGAGGGGTTGTGCCGATATTGGAGGGACCAGCGTGTTTTAATACTGTCTTCGTACTGGGCAGGCGCGAAGTGCCGACGCAGCGTTCAGGGAGACCCAGTGAAACGGTTGCTCGCTGGCCGCCTGCAGGTTGTTGGGTTCCCGAACCCAGGGATTACCTAAGCTCCGCCCTGGGAGGCTGAACCGCCGCCTGTGCATAATCCCTGGTGTGGTAGTCGTGCCGGAGGAGGAGACCGGAGTGGACCCGGCTACTACATCAGTGGAGGGACCGGGGGCCCTTCCGGCCGCCGCGTCGGCAATTTGCACAACCTGTTTAGCGCGGGTACGGCGTGGAAACTACTTTGTTCTTTTGATATCGGCACAATCTTTCCCTATTAACTTCCAAATACCCTAACACTTTATGGACAGATCTAGAAAAAATAGATGTTACACAGCGGCACCCTCATCCACATTTAAAGTGGACTTCTGCAATATCAGAGGGATTCATTCTAATATAAACGCAATTTACTATCATCTTGAAACTGCGGAGCCGACTCTGTTATTCCTCACCGAGACGCAGATATCATGTCCAGCTGATACATCTTATTTACTATACCCCGGTTACAAACTCGAGCATAAATTGGGGGTCTACCATGAAATGATATTCCGAATTTTCGGGCTCAATTTCGTGTTTTTGTTTGTACCGAAATCGATCCTGTAAATGGAGCTTAACATTTCGTTTGTCATAAATCCTATCATAAAAGTTCAAATTTTTTTAGTACTGGGGATGCCCATTTTTTCCCTTTCCATCGTAGAGAACAATCACGAACAGCTTGTGTCTAAAATCGAGAGAACATTAACTGGAGTCTGATCAGGGACGATAAAATTTGGTCCAATTTAACCCATCTAAGATACAAGCTTGCGCGTTCACCGCTAAGAAAACCGCATTTGCTGTGGCCCCACAGTTCCAGGACATGTCTCTTAACATCTCTAAAAGCATTGGAATCCTTGGTGTCGACATCTCTAGTGACGTAGTTTCGTGGCCACCTCGAAGATTAAGGTGAAGCTGGCATCCAAAAAACTCGGTGTGCTTAATAGAGCGAAGCATTACTTCACGCCGGATCAGCGATTAATGCTTTACAAATCGCAAATCCGGCCCCATATGGAGTATTGCTGTCACTTATGGGCGGGAGCAGCTACATACCAGCTTGAACCCTTCGACTCAGTGTAACGACGAGCTCTAAGAATTGTCAATGATCCCAGGCTTGCAAGCAGTATCGAACCCTTAAGTCTTAGGAGAGATTTTGCCTCACTCTGCGTGTTCTACCGCTTATACAATGGATTGTGCTCAAAGGAATTATTCAATATGATGCCTACGGCCCCTTTCTATCATCGTACGGCTCGCCATCGACAGGGAGTTCACCCTCATACCTTACAGCCTAAATGGTTGCGTACAACGCGGTTTCAGAGATGTTTTCTTTCACGAACACTTAGGTTATGGAATGAGCTCCCAGCCGAGGTTTTTCCAAGAGACTACAACATGGGGTTCTTCAAAAGGGTGGTAAAGAGGTTTCTTCAGGGTCGGCAACGCGCGCGTAATAAATACCTCAGTGGTATAAAAAAAAAAATTGTAATTGCTGTTTATAGGTATGAACAGCGGGTCTACCACGAAATGAAATTCCGAAATTTCGGACTCAATTTCGTGTTTCTGTTTATACCAAAATCGGACCAATAAATGGAGTTTAACATTTCGTTCGGCATATATCCTAACATAAAAGTCCAAAGAAACAACATTTTAACATTTTTAATATTTTCAAACGGCATGTGTTATGTAATTTTAATATACAATTTCTGTTTAGTTTGACTCCGAAATTTCAGAAAACATTTCATGGTAGGCCCTTAGTATTGTGGGCGTTATAGATTATATTCTTTTGCCTATGATGTCCTTCATATATTGTTATTTCTGAAAACTAAGAGTGTTGAGTGTTGAGTGTCATTGTTATACGTTATCTTTGGAAGGGAAACAGAGCGATGTGTGTGTGTGGTTGGTAGTGAGTGGTAGTGTTGTAGTAACTGTGCGGCGGCGTGTGCGCAGGAGGTGGAACAGCTGCGCGCGGAGAAGCAAGAGATCGACCAGCAGCTGCGCGTGGTGATGGGCGGCGCCGGCGCGCAGTACCCGCCGCCGCGCGGCGCCCCGCCCGCGCGCGCGCGCCGCGCCCGCCCGCCGCCCGCGCGCTACCTGCCAGGTACTGACGCGCTGTGCACTGTGCACTGTGCACAGGATACAGGATACAGGATACAGGGCAAGACGCGTGCAGATCGACCAGCAGCATACTTAAATGAAACTAGAAGTTTTTCTCAACTTCTGTATAAAATATCTTTAAATATTAATTCACAACCATATTTCTGTTTAGATTAACATTAGATGCCGCTACATAAATATAGATTGATTTTTTATTATTATTTCTTCTTTGTATTTCAGGTGGGCGGCGCATGACTCCCGAGTTGGGCGAGGAGCGGACCGGCGAGCGTGGCGACAGCGGCTATCGGCCGCGTGGAGGACGAGCGGGACCGCGGAGCAATAGGTAACAGCTTCAATTGGGGTTTCGGAATTTTATGTTTATATCAGTAGTATCATAAACATTAATGATATGTAGTATTTAGGGATAATTGATTTAAATCCAACTCGAAGGATTGTATAAATGTGTTTAATAACATTACACAGTAAATATTTGGTTTTTTTTTGTTTGTTTGCGTTTCTACTGTTAATGAGAATCTGTATGATTTTATTTCGATTTGAAGAGTAGGATTGGGCAATGAAATTGCAGGGTATGATAGTACAACATCGTAGTTTTTAGGAACGGCGTCGTATGTTAACTATTGAATGTCGTAGTATGCTCTGTTTCATGAAATGAGCTATCGACTTGTTTTATTGTTTAATATGTGATTATAAAATTTTTAATACTTATTAATAGATATCGAATACGCATTATTATGTTTGCTATCGTCAACTTGATGTTGATTATTTGCAGTCATGAAAATAAAGTTGTCTTATGATTTAGTTTTTGAGATCAAATTTGGTCCTTTGCGCCGGATGTCGTTGCGAAGTGTGTGTCGACGGAGAGTGGTGATGGTGATTGTCGTTGATGCGTGCAGGTCGAGCGAGCGTGGTGAGCGTGGTGAGCGCGGCGAGCGCGGTGATCGTGGCGAGCGGACGGAGCGCGGGGAGAGGGGCGAGCGCCGCGCGGGCGGCGCGGGCGGCGCGGGCGGCGCGGGCGGCGCGGGCGGCGCGGGCGGCGAGGAGCGGCGCGTGCCCGTCGAGAACGGACGCCCGCACCCCGCGCGCGCGCCGCGCCCGCCCGACGCACGCGCGCAGGTACGCACGCACGCGCACACACGCGCACACACAGAGAGAGAGCGCGGGGAGAGCACACACGCACAGAGACACACACACGCACACACACGCGCAGACGCACACGCACACACACACACAACGCACGCACACACAGACGCACAAGCACGCACGCACGCACACACAGACGCACGTGCACGCACACACAGACGCACACGCACGCACGCACGCACGCACACGCACGCACACACAGACGCACACGCACGCACACACAGACGCACACGCACGCACACACAGACGCACACGCACGCACACACAGACGCACACGCACGCACACACAGACGCACACGCACGCACACACAACGCACGCACGCACACGTACACGTACACGTACACATACATATGCACACGCGCACGCGCACACGCTCACACACATAAATAGATAACTGCCAATATAATGTAACGTAAATACAACTCCATTTTCCGCATTTAGCCTCTCATTTGGGCCGTTGTGCGTATGAGTCATGACTATAGTTCAGCCAACCTAGCTCCACCCAGAAGCACAGAAACTTTCTGGGATCTTCAATTACCACTAACAACACTTAACAAAAGTTAACAATAAACAAAAAAATACAATTTGTTTTGCGGGTAATAGGAACCGCCTCAGCTATTACTGCACCTCCAACGAAATGTACCTGTATAGCCCTAATTTTCACCCGGCCCCTTAACTCTTTTAACTTTAACGATGCATACAGATCGCTAATACCCATTTTTCGGATGGGAATACACCACATCCGTCACCATCATACCAAATGGATATATAATTTGTTTGCATCACTTCCAGCACACAAATAACAATAGCTACATTAGGTACTGGTACATATTTAAAGAAATAAAGCATTACAAAAAAGAAAAAAAAAAAACTAAAAGAAAATAACATAAAAAAGGTTATACAATTTCTCATGCGTACGCCATAGTTACTATGGATGTTCACAACTCAGTTTATTACTTATATCAGCCCTTAACACTCCACTGCTGTATATAAGCCTCCCCCATGGAGAGTTTTGCCAGTATTTGCCATGCTTTGCAAGCGGGTTGGCAACCACAGGCTTTAAAGTTGTTTTAAGAGGGATGCTGCTGCCCATCCCTCGCTCTCTGTTAATTGTTTTTATGATATCAACAAGAAAGGCAGGGGTGACCTAATCTAAGTCGAAACCATACGGCCAACTCGCTACACATTTCAACAGCTATACTACCAACACGTATATGAGTATTGACAACACTAGGCCCCTCATAAGTCTGATCGTAGTTTTGCAAGATTGATAGCTGTACTCTCCCATATCTTCATTGGTCTCTTGACCACTTATTTTGACTTTTGAGATCCTCTTTTAACCTCTTGCTCATAATCACCACTGTTAATTTTATAAGTAACCCCCCCCCCCCCTCCCTCCCCCCGTAAGCCTTTTAGTTTTTTGTTACTTTTATGGTTTATAGAAAAAAAAAATCTACTATAATTGGATTTGTTCACTTAAAATTGAACGATACTTTGAATTGTATTTTAAAAACTTTGATATACTTTGAATTGTATTTTAAAAAATAACTTTTATAAAAAAGAAAAATATTTTTTGCGTGTGATACTTAATAGAGCCTCTGTATTCCAGAGTGGCAGACGACGCGAGGACAGGCGGCGGCAAACTGATGATGAGAGCTCCGTGCTAGACAGCCAAGACGTCTCCAGTGCCGATAGAGGTCTGTACACTTTATTATCTACAGACACCAATGGCGGATACTAGAACCACAGTGTAAGGAACAACAGTCGTCCAACACTTCTAGCATGTCTCCAACGAAATGCGACAACAGGAGACGCGTCGCTATGTTTAAACTTTAGATTATATAGATAGAGCTTCGAACCTCAAAAACGTCAACTTTTTGTCAGCTGACTCGTTTTTATCAGTATATACTTACGGATACAATGTATCTTGACGTATTATTTAATAAATGAAATGAGTTACACATTAAAAAGATGCAGATGTTATAAGACAAAATAAATATAGAAGTTATAAAGGAAATCACCCATAACTGTTTATCACGCAAAATTGTATGAAAAAGTTGACCCGCTTTTTACGAAGCATTTGTATAGAAGACATTGTATGTAATCTAAGGTTTAAACGTATCCGTTGGACGATTTATATCAGACTTCTATAGACTGTGGTAATACTTACTCTGTTTGTACACCGACGCGGTAGCGAAGCGAAACTTGGGTAAATCTGGTTTTTCTGCACCATCGTATAATATAACGCGTTATATTGAAAGTATACATAATTTATATTTATTTATATTTTTTGAGGAACTTAAAAATTTACTCACAATTGTAGTTCCCAATGGTGTAGCTGAATTAGTTGCATCGACAAGAGGAAACTCTTAAATGAAAAGAGAGAGAATGGTGTAGTCGTTTAGCGATAGTTTTTAGTTTTATAGTTGACGTATGTCTCAACTTAGACTTTATGCATAACGTATAAAGTATCGCCAAAGCGAGCACTGTCGTACTATCCTATTTTCGATGCGACTCACAGCACTTTTGTCATTATAGACTTGTGATCTCACGACTTTTTATAGTATAAAAAATAAAAAAAAAACTATGTTGCCAGTCTTGGATTTTTTTTACATTTTGTTTTTGATGCTGCTGTTCATTATTATATAAATTGAATCAATCAATTTATCATTATTTTAGAAATAATAGGCAAATTACGCGTTAAAAGAGGTAATTGCCGAGTTTATATTTTTTTTTAGTAAGATATTTACATAAAAAAGTTTATTAAAAGAAATCTATACTATTGGGTACATGACTAATGTCATTATATTTTTTCTTTAACATTATAGGACGTCTTTTCGAACAATAAATTTATCTTATTTATACTTGTTTCGCTTGAATGCTACATTAGTGCGGTGTGCAAACGGTGTCAGCGATGTTGATTGAATCAAAATCATTATTTACCAAGTTCAAAATGATGGACTGTAAAGACATTGTTCATTATTTTTTTTTCTGACAAATATTGCATGGTACAAATATTTTGCGGAACGTTGAAATCTGAAAATATTACTGAATGTGCTAGTTAAAATGTAGTGAGTAGTGCTCTGTTAAGTTTATTATTATATGTATATATTGCATTCTACTATTTATATATGTTTATATATATCTATATATATGGTCATGTTTGTGCACCTTGGTTTTATTACATTTTAATTAGTACATGTTGAAGGCGTAATGCAGTAGACAGACGAATGGGACTTTCCTTTTTATTGTTATTATTTTTATAACTCGGGACGAATGTTCGTTTGCTATCTCGACGGAGGCGGTACTTTTCTCTGGTGACGATTTCTTGCTGCTCTCTTATTAGTGCAATAATACGGTGAAGGTACAGACTGACATAATTTAAGTGGATTGTTACTTACAATGAATGACGTGTTCTAGAAGTTAGTAGGTTTATAATCAGAGATATTTTAAATTATTTGCATATTATTGTACATAACGGATATTATTGTTAGAAAAAAAACTTTTAAATCTGGTGCTCATTACATAATAAATAACTGGGATATTTTGAATTAAGGCTTACAAATATTATGACGTAAACTGTGACATCACGTGTTTATGAGAACACGTGGCAAATTTTTAATTTTGTTAAAATTAATGAATGTTGCGTTTTTACTGTGAAATATAATAAAATGATTAGAATATTTTTAAACAATTTGTATATTGTAAATAATAGAATTAAATTTTTTTTCTTAATTTACGTGATACTGACATTTACCGTTTATTGTTATTTAGCTTTTTTGAATTTTTATTTTTTAATAATAAAAAAATATGAGAATTTGACAAATAATGTTCTTATCTATGTTACGTTAGAATATTTATTTTAAAATTAGAGGAATACGGGCGAGCGAGACCGAGAGGAGTCGCGTGCTTGTCCCGAATACACTTTTGTCTCTTGAATGATTACCAATAATAGCATGTTGGTGTCGCGGAAACGCAACTATATCGGGTAGCAAACGGGCGTTTCTCTCGGTGCGGTAAAGATAGAGTAGTGGCCGGGCCGCGGTCGGAGCGGTCCGGTGCGGTCCGGTCCGGTCCGGTGGAGTAGAGGCGGGTAGGCATGAGATGTCGTGTGTCCAGAGTCCGCCACGTCCGACGAGGGCCGCGCCGCGCCCGGGGCCGCCGCCGCCCGCCGCCGCCGCCGCAAGAAGCAAGGTACGCACCACACGCACGCACACGCACCACACGCACGCACACGCACCACACGCACGCACACGCACACGCACACGCACGGCACAGCCTTAGCCTCCCTAGACGAGTCGATATCGATCAAGTCAATGAAATAGACGAGATGGCTTCGTCCGGTGTCTCTTTACTTTTTTACGCGACCACTAATCAAAACAATTACGTCGATAAATTTGTTTTTATTTTTTTTATAATTTAACTTTTGTCTAGGGGTGCAAAGCTGTCGTTGTCTAGTATACTCTCTAATATTTAAAAATTTAGGGAGTGACGTCCTAGAATCGACCCATCAACTCGTTATTCCTTTCTGATGATACTTTCATCTCAAATTGCATAGAGTGATCATATTTGATTCTTATCGACCTCATAGATAAGTTTTAGAAGTAGATAGATTAAGAAATTTTATACACAACATAAATCACAATGCAGAATAAACATGTGAACTTAGCAATTATTGCTTTTACATGCTCACATATGTATATTTCACACAGATATAGACGCTGCAAGTGTCTGCATTACTTGATGTTACGATAATCATTATCGCTTACTTGTATATGTTTTTCGACGTAAATTTTATGTAGAAACTGCAATCGAAAAGTAAAAGTTTGCGCGTAGTATACATTTGCGGCGTCTATTCAAATCCTTTGATATGTCACAACCACATAACAAATACTTGACACACTATCTACATTGCAGATTTGATTGCCAAGCAATAAATACAAAATGTATTTATCTATATGTCAGATCGAAGTAAGTTCTCATTTGCTTTATGCCATACGTAAATGTGTGTAGCATGTCTATTGTAGAATATTCACTGCCATTTTAGAAATACATTTTATTTTAGTTTTTTTTCTATAGACCTGTATTGAAAAATCTATAAATTGATTTAAAAAAAAAATCTAAAGACATCACATAAATATAACTATTTCATAAGTAGTTTTTCTGTGAGTTATTTTTTAACTCTTGCCATTTAGTTTAGCAAGCGGATTCAGCCGAGAAGAACTGGCGAAAAATGTTAATATTACTTTTATACTTGGATGGAAAAATAAAACAGATATTCAGTTTTTGTTTTTATTTATTAAAACTTTATATTCATAATGTTGCATGTTGCTAGACTTGAATATGTCAATCTTGCGTACCTCTGCCTGTAGTCAGTATGTAGAGCATGCATGCCAGTGTAACCAACCACACGATGTAAGATTTTCAGATTTACCGCTAGGTTTTGTTAACGTGTCGAGTCGACGGCGATCCGACTGTAAATAATATCATGGCACAGCGGCTTGTTAACACTATCATGTTGTGCTTTAGAGACGACCGTCTCAACGCTATCTCCATAACATCCAACGAGAAAACCTTTACCACCATAGACATATAAATATTGCGTTGGTTGTATTTATATATTTATGGACGGTTATGACGTTTGCGTTCATTATAATTTGTTGAACATCGATTATAGTCGATTTGGAAATACACTTGTGAATAAATTTGGAGGTTATAAATGATAAGAAACGATGTGGACATTATCATTATACATTTCCCCTTTTTTAAAATATGCATATGTATACGTTTTTAGCTTGATAAATAAAAAAGTAAATATATAAAAGTCAAAATTGGGGATGATCTGTTTTTTTTTTTTTTTAATTATTAGCGTAAGACCAGTGTGTTCCTCTAAATTTGTCTACGAGTGTAGTTTCAAATTTAAATTTCGAATGCGACTTCAGTGTTCAGTGTTAGTGTCGATTGTGGCATAATGTACTGTTATCGTTTCGCAGGAGGTGGGTGGAAGAACGGCGTGAGCGGCGGCGGCGGCAGCGGCGGCGGCGGCGGCGGGCCGGCGGCGGCGGCGGGCGGCGCGGCGGGCGAGGCGGGCGCGGCGGGCGCGGCGGGCGGCGCGGCGGCGGGCGGCGAGGCGGCGCGCGACAAGCGGCCGGCGGCCAAGCGGCGCTCGCCGCTGGCGAAGCCGAAGCCCGAGCCGATGCTGAACGGCACCGCGTAGAGGCCCGCGCGGCGCCCGTGCACGCTCGGGGCCGCGGCCCCACGCCGGCCGGCCGCCGGCCGCCCGCCGGCCGCCCGCGGACTTGACCCGACAGCCCTGACTTGACGCCGAGCGAGGCAGACATTGTATCCTAACGTTACGTACGGCGGCGCGGCGGCCGCGACCACCCGGCCCCGCCCGCCCCTAGACTTACTCGTATTATGCTTTTATAAGAGATTCGTGATTTGTATTCCTGATTATTCGATAAATATGAAAAATTAAAGATGTGTACGTCGCTCCCCGGACGATACGCGCCGATCGCGGCCTTTCGGTACCTTTATGGGAGATCGGACATAGCGCAGTACATACGTGTGTCGTAGCCTGTACTCTGTGGTTATGTGATTTCCTATAAAATAAACATTTCTGTACATATTTTCAATAGTATTTTTATTTGTACAAACACTCGACCCTTGTTCTTACGCTAGCGATACTTGGTAAATTTATACATTATATAAAAATATTACGACTAGTGATACGTTTACAATCGATCGCGCTCTACACTAGTAATACTATATTGGAAGATACCTCGGGGCCTCGGGTGGGGAAGAAGGCGACACACATATTTTTTTGTGACACTAAGAATTTCTTAAATTCTACAAGTGAGATTCCGTTGACATACTCTAAATTTACTATTTACATGTTACTCTACAATATCAGTCATTATGAATAACTTATACGATACAGTGATATGCATTATTGCCGGGAATATCACTAGAAAACGGGAGGGTGTTACTATTTACAGATATTTTCTCTTTAAGAATGTATACATTGATCTGGTTGTACAAGTTGATATGTGTTAACAAGAAACGAACCGTGTTACAATAATATATCTATATAGGCCATCAGAAATTTCGCTCGAATTAGATTAGTATCTAATTATCACAATTCCATATTCCATTATATTAATTCCATTCTCTCACGTAGTGATAGGAATAGGTAATTTTGGTTCTAATCGTTCATAGATAAAGGAATCTTAGATCCGCCACTATATTATAATGTATACTGCCCTCGGGTACATGTAGAGAGCTGCTCTTAAACTACATGTGATACTATCAACAGCATCATTGATATATGTTGATTATATCGGTAAATCAATTAAAATTTTGTTTTATTAAAAAAGAACTACAGTCTTGAAAAAATTATCATGTGAAGAACGTTTGAAAATAAATTTTGAGAATCGTAAATGATTTTGACAAGCTTTAATGTAACTATAGCACGATATGAAAGCTCCTGCCTAAAGAACAAAAATGGTTTTGCCATCCTAAAGGTTGACTTGTACAGAATACTATTAGCGTTAAGTCCGCCTTTTGTACCATATTTTCTTTGGCCAATAAAGTACATTACTGCAGCGGCCAGCAACTGAGGCATTGGTGGACGACCGTACAAATGTGGGCCGAAGCGTAGACGAGGCACACATACGTGAGTCCATCAATGCCTAGTTGTGGCCAAGGCTTGTATAGTACTTTTCTCAAACAATAAACAGCTCTCTATTTGCAACGTTAAGATACATTGTGTGCGTAAATATATAGAACATTATTAAAAAAACAAGTCAGTTAATTTGACAATTAGCTGACAAAAAGTTAACCCGTTTTTGAGGCTCGATGCTCTTTATAATCTAAGCCTATATTTAAAATTAAAATTTCCTGTCGAAATTGACAGCGAGTTTTTTTTTTTAATTAAGGACCATTATGAACCAATTTTCTAATAAATTTAAGTCCAAATTATTATAAATTTAATTGATGATGGCCAATAAAACAGTCGTTTGGTGAAACTATCAAAATATTAGATTAAGAGTGGTTTAGAATTAGGATCAAGTCCATTGTATGTAACGATATTACGATATTTGGATTCTGTGTAGTATCCAATCTGTTGATAGTATCGTTTTTGGCAACATCGCTACTTTATACCCGAGGATCATAGACGGGCGGACGGGCGATATTTACATTATGACGATTATATCGATATCGAACAGGGTTACATTCATTTTACAATGTATTTGCATAAAAATATTATTTCAGATAGAAAATACAGTGCGTTGGTACCACGAAAATAAGTACGATCAAATCAAGAAAAACTCTTTGGTTTCTACCCTATATCACCATAGCTAAGTGGTAAACAAAGGTATTAGACACGTTTTCGTTACAGTGAGATAGAACAAGACAGCGGATTTTGCTGTTTCATTCTATTTATGCATATCATAATGATAATGTATTTGTAAGTACAGTCTTGTATGGGCGGTCATTTAAGATGCGAGAGATAATTCTGATGCTTGGACCTTTTGCACTCCAGCATAGTAACTCATAGAGGATACTAATAACTCCAGGGGATTATTAGGAAAGAGGATTGGTAGCTATTTGCTAGCAGTATAGCTCCTCGTGGTTTCCCCTAGAAATCATCATGATTGATTTATTGTTAGATTCGTCACGATGGGATAACTGACCTGCTTCATCCTCGCCTATCATCCCTCACTGGTGCCCCGCCGGTGTATACCGATAGTGCAGGCGGGGTAACCATTTCATTATCACTCATGAAAAAAGTAAAACACATATCGCCGTAGCCGCGACAGTGGATTTAATGTTAGCATTTTAATGACGCAAATACGGCGACAATGGAGTACAAAGGTGTAAATTTACTATACGAGAAATCTCCGTCTTATAGTATGGTACTTTTAGTACTTCGTGTGTGATTTGTATTACATATCGATGGATTTAAAAAGTGCCTCCGAAGAATATCTTTCACCTGTTCATGAATTGTAAAATGCAAATGGGACAATTACATTTTATTGTCAGAAATTTCGTAAGTATATATTATATTTTAATATAATAATAAACGGTTTAACTTAATGTATATCTGTGATTAATGGTCCCGGACGGTCCCGAAACTAGTCAAACATTCTCTACTAAAAGATACGTAAGTCAAACTAGTTATTTATACATTAAAATAACAAAATTATTAGCTAATGCACTATTTTGATCATTTATCGTTTATGACATTTTATAATACATAATTTCCAGGCCATATCTCATAGAAATGTTAAGAGTGATGAGAACGGAAATGAAGGCTCTGGGATTTGGTATTTATATATACAAAGTGGCTTATAATATCCAAGTACATATATGAAAGTTAATCACTCAATGACACTTAAATGACCGAATGCATTTGAATAAAATTTTGTAAATCATATTTTTTATCATCGTAATTCATGGTGGCCATTGTTGGCGAAACTGCGAAATTTTATAATAATCATATCTCGACAGAATAGTGGTCCCATTTATGTAGACTATACAAAAAAAAAACTAAATATTTTTTTTTAAATCAGACCAATACATTAATCGTATTGTTTTCGTGGTACGCAATGTTCATTTACACGTTTGGCGCTTACTGCAAACTCTTGTCTATGGTTTGTTTCAATAGAACTTAATGAATTCCAGACAATTTATCATATTGAAGACGAGGCAGCATGGTCTCCGACCTTAGCCTGTTCCACAACGGAACAAACGTACTAAAAAAAAAAACTTAATTAGGTTTTAAATTTTCTTAAAATTATCACAGAAACACTCTAGTTAAGTGAAATTAGTAACAAGTCGTAATTATTCGTTTATTTATATTTTCATTAAGTTCTTATTGAACGAACAAACGATAGACAAATACTAAATTCGAATTGCTACCTTACTCGAGTCGAATCAAATACCGAGTCCGCACGTTTGTGCTTGCAGACCTGGTTGCCAAACGTGTAAATTCGTGAAGAGTTCAAACAAAAGTGCCCAACTTGGTAGGCCTGTCCCCGGCAATAATGAGATGGTGGCATTATAGCAGCCGGTGTCGGTCCTCGTGGCACGCCTCCAGCTCGCTGTCCTCGGAGTCCGAGTGCGAGCAGTATGAGGAGTCGCTCCAGTGCTGGAACTCCTCCTTGTGGTGCTCCAACGCCATCAGCGAGGGGAACAGACTGTCGCACGCGCCGCAACTGTGACAAGAGACGTTGATAATGAAAAAAAGTGTAAAAAAAAACAAAACTGATCTCATTTATAAAAAAAAAAATAAAGTCACGTTCTTGAGAATATGATCAAAAAATGTTTGGTTCGAAGTGTGATTTATACAGGCGAATCGATTTAATTCGGTAACATTCGAATGTAACCCACATGCAGTACTCAGTACAAAAAGAGACTCCGACTCTGTCTGATGACAGAGAAATTAATGTGTATGACAGTGAAATTACCAAGTATTTTTTGTGACTAAAAGTTTTTATGTCAAGTTATGCGTGAATGTCTGATGTCGCAAGTGTTCATGGGCAGCGGTGTCGTTCACCATCAGGCCGATCTTATGTTTGATTGCCATCCTCATCATTATCATATCTGGCTAGATATCATATCTAATAATAATTTATTTGCCAGAAACATATTAGATAATAAATTGTTACGGTTTGTTTTTTAATGTTCAGTATGTTTCGGCATATTTAATGGCATGCACATGTTTATAAGTAGTATCCATGAGGGAAAGGGCATTTTTTCATATGCATGAAAATAGCAATCTCGCTGGCGCATTGGTATACGTTGGTGGGACGCTAGTGTGAGATGATAAGTTAGTGTAATTAACCACTGGTTTCCAAAAGGGACATTCGGAAGTGGATCTGATAGGGCATATTGCTAATGGGCTCATTACTAACAATCTCTTGATAAATTCAATTTAATTAGCAATGTTTTTGTTAAATCTATACACCGTCTTTTACTCTCTGTTTAACGTGACGGCTGATTGGTGGAGAATGCTATCAGGCATTAAGTCTGCCATGTAGACATTTTAATGTCTGCAAAAGTATAAATAAATAACCGCCCCCCCCCCCCCCCCCCAACAGTAGCATATGCTAAAGGGTGTACGCGATATCTTACCCGAAATGTCGCTTTTTCTGTTGATGGTCGGCTAGCTGGCGGCGGGTGGGGAACGAGCGGTCGCACACGTTGCACGTTAGCGCCTCGTCTGAAATGTTACCATACGCAATATAAATAATGGAGGCCGTTTATAATCTACGTCAAAAAAGGATAGTACTTCGATTTGATAATATTGTTTTGTAGTGAGATTTATATGATATTTTCTGCTAATTAGAAAAAAAATAATGATTGTTTTTTTTTTAATAAGACAGTCCTATGCTAATATTGTTACAATTCATGTATATTATTAGGTTTCCTTTATAATAAAGTAAGTTATAAATAGGTAAATCTTAGATTCTAAACTAGCAGGTTGTTTCTAGTCCTCAGGGGCGGCATGTATAAGGAGCAGTCAGCACTTTTAGAATGTACGCGTAAAAAAAAGGAGCTCTATCTACTACTGAATTGTGTAAAACGCATAAATCAACCAAGTTACCAAGTAATGATTTGAGATTGAACAAACATTGAATTGATCCAACCAATAATTCCATAAAAAGTTTAAGGTTGTGGCTACGTCTTGTAAACCACAAGGTCTTTCAATAAAAACTGAATACGATTTCTTGATTTTTATTAAGTACTTATACTATTTATAAATACAACAATAACATATCTATTATGTAGAAAAGATGACAATACAAAAATATTTACCTTGGATAGCTTTATTCAAGTTTCACAGTAACTTCCGTCTAAGTTTTTAAATATTTTTGATTTTTTTTTTTTAAATGGGCTATTAAATCTAGGTAAAGTATTTCTTTTAATAAAATATAAAAAAGATATTATAATTCACCAGTATTTTTTTCTTTTTAATTTAGATAATAATATTATTTAAAATTTGTCCTATGGATGTGTAAGTCATATCTGTAATTGGAGCCGTATCAGTGCAGTTTTATAAATACCTACACACATGAACGTTGATTTTGTAGGGGAAAGGGATTGTTAGTAATGGAGACTAAAAATCCCATTGCTAGCAATATACCCAAACAGGTCGACCTCCTGGTGGTTCCCCCTGAATTCTTGTCGAATTCATCATGGTGGACTAACTGACCTGCTTCATTCTCACTTATCATCCTTCACTGGTGCCCCGTCGGTGTATACCGATAGCGCGGGCGGGGTTACCATTCCATTTTCACGCACTAAAAAAACATCGATTTCGTTTGCAATTTGTACCTTTTAAATTGTACTCAAGTGTAATGTCTGACGTTTGTTCTACCGTCACTTTTAATGTGTTTCTAGAACTTTTTATTTTCTCGTGTAAATGAATTGGATTTCTTTGAGAAAATAAATATCGTAAACTGTAACATAGTATTTGAATCGACTTTTAATACATTTTATATTAACGTTAAAGTATCCACATTGGATTTAGATAAATACATGGCCCAGCACTTTTTAAAACATGGCCTTTATATAAGTTTTGGATTGACCCACTTTTAATTTTTTTTATACAACTTAGAATGGTAAACAAGCTGACGGCCCACCTGATGGAAAGTGGTAACCGTCGCCTATAGACATGAGCAGTACCATGGACATAACAGAGTATACTGTTTCGCCCATGATACCCCCATGAGTTGCCATTCCTGAGGACTCAGATGTTATTCCTCTGTACCCTGTAAATTCACGCCATATCCCACCCTTCAAACCGAAACACAGCCATGCAAACACAACTGCTTCACGGTTGAAACACGAATCAGACAGAGGTACCCAAGCATACAGACTTTTGTACAAAGTCTCCCTCTGGTATAAACATGACCGGTACAGGTCTCCAGCAGTTTTTTACGACAGCATCAGGTGATATTGGCTTTGGATTGTGTTCGTTGATAGAAATTAAAATAATCTTTATAATTTATTACATTTATATTTTATTACAACCTTGAGCTTTATACAATTATTTTATATACAAAATACACAGATATACGTAGATATAGATGTCGCAAGTATCTCATTTTATATGAAAACCAAACATGTCACTATTTAATTACTACTACTTGACGGTAAAAAAAACATTTACTAATACTAAAAATACTACACTAAATCCTCCCGAAAATACCATCTATAATACTGTTTTGTAAATTTTTTTAACTTTTTCAGCGTAAACTATGTTTAGGAACTGTTATAATTTTGCTGCAGTCAATTAGGTTCTTCTGGCGCTTAATATAGGACCAAATTTTACCATACTAATGAGATATATGCAGTTATGGCATCTATATAAATCCATATCTGTGGTAAATATAATTTCAACGTAAATCAAAAGAGATATTTAGTTACATTTGATAAATCACAATGTATTACATAAATTTATTATCTAAATGCATAATTAAAGGACATTTTCAATACCAGCGCAAACGAGGGACTTTTTGTCCGCGCAGGAATGACTCAAAAATATACACAAAGAATTGTCCGTTGTCCGTACAGGTTATGGTTCACTGCTCATATGTCTTACTTGATTACTTATTTTAAGGCACTGATAGTTTGGATAGATTAGACTAAGATATGTATCAGTCTGTCATTTGGCCGTGTCCCGGCATAGAATAGGCCACTCCTTCCTTTCTCGTGGGTGTCGTAAGAGGCGACTAAGGAGGGCGAGGGATGGACAGTAGCGTCCCTTTTAAAACATCTCGAAAGCCTGACTGCGGTTGCCAATCCGCCTGCCAAGCGTGGCAACTACTGGCAAAACCCTCCAATAGAGAGAGGCCTATCATCAGCAGTGGACAGTTAATGGGTGATATGATGAAATAATGGAATAACAGATGAATTCTCAATGTATAAAGAAACAAGGGATGTAGTCTAATGTTCATATCAGTATGAAGGTGACGGTAACTTATCATTTCTTACATAAAAATTTGCAAAAATTTGTCAACATACAGAGAGATAGAGACAGATCAGTTTTACCAGGTACTTATTGTTTATACAGTGACAAAATACTTGATAGGTACATATTTATATACATTGGAAAATATGTCAAAAGTAATGAAGTCTAATGAGCAATGAACAAATAATTAGTCAAACATGTAGTAACAGGGGGGAAAGGGATTGTTAGTAATGGAGACAGATTCCCATTGCTAGCAATATACCCAACCAGATCGACATCCTCGCGGTATTCCCTGGAAACTATCATGGTTAATTCCTGATGAATTCATCATGATGGGCTAACTGGCCTGTTTTCATTCTCATCGATCACCCTACACTGGTGCTCCGCCAGCGTATCCCGTTAGCGCAGGCGGGGTTACCATACCATTTTCACCCATCAAAAAAAAAACATGTAGTAACAAAATCAATGATGCAATTTAACATATTAGATTACTAGTCTGTCCCAACTTAAGAATAATCATTTATTAAAACTAAATTTACATTCTGTACAGTTGTAGATTAATAGTATAGAGTAAGGAAATTCGGCAAGTAAACTATGTCATAACAAAATTAAAGGTAACTTATAATTTACCAAAAACCTCCACAAATATCGCACTGCACTGTCCTAAACATAAGTTTATAATGAAATAATCGTTATATAGGTAGTGTATTCGATACTGATGACTTGAACATGCTTCCGAAGAACCTCGTCCCCAACGCTCCACCGGGGATGGCGTCCATCATCATCCATAGGAGTGCTACCACCTGCGCCACGGCGGACAGCACTGTCAGGATGGTACTCTGGAGGTGCAGTGCGCAGTAGAGCGTCGCTATCAATGTTACGCTGTACAGTACCGTTGAGAGAGCTCGCTCTTTTGAAAACATTGACTGCAGGTGAGCCCATGGTCCGTATAGGAAGCTAAAGCTGGAACACAATATAAGCATTTGATTAATGTGAGCTGAATTGTTTTTTATCGATAGAGATGGAATCGTGCGCATGTCTATGCTAATGGTGTCAATCGTGACAAATTTACAAGGAATTAACTACGATAGGTTTTAGAGGGCACAACATGGATGCCGACTTGACAGAGTTTTTTTTTATGCAACTTAGAATGGCAAACAAGCTAACGGTCCAACTGATGGAAAGTGGTAACCATCATGACATGAGCATGAGCAGTATCATAAACATAACAGAGTATACTCTTTCGCCTATGATACCTCCCATGCGTTGCCATTCCTGAGGACTCAGGTGTTATTCCTCTGTACCTTGGTGCTGCTCATGTTTATAGGCGACGGATACTACTTGTTTGCCATTCTAAGTTGCATAAAAAAAAAGATAAAATTTTGTCTATATAGTGTAAGTTTTTTTTAGTTAATAGGCGGTAATGGAACGGTAACCCAACCCGCGCTATCGGTATATATATATACACTGGCAGGGCACCAGTGAAAGATGATAAGTGAGGATGAAGCAGGTCAGTTAGCCCATCATGACGAATTCAACAAGAACTGTTCACAATGGCTTCCAGGGGGAACCACTTGGAGGTCGACCTAATAGGGCATATCCGTGCAATGGGGCCGTCAAAATCCATTGCTAACAATCCCTTTCCTCTCCCCTATATAGTGTAAGTGAAAAGTAATTTCCAGTACTCATAACTAAAAACTATTATAAATACTATAATATAGTATAATATAAATACTAATATATGTTAACATAAGGATAAATATCTCAAGCTATTTTTATATTAATATAACTGAATATATTATAATATCAATCAATCAATAAATCAATCAGTGTATGATGAGTCAAACATTACTAGTGGGAAACAAACCTGCAAGAAAAGAGGTTTCTAGGTTGCACAAAGTCAACGGAATGATTTTGAATGATAATTTTTATTGTACTTGCCACTAACCTACATATACTAACAGATTTCATTACAAACACTTGCTAATTAGAAATGTTCAGCTCATTAGCATGTCATTGACCTTACTATAAGGTGTTGGAGTTTGAAAAACAATAGAAACATTATACATTTTGTTGTTATTTTTTTATGGACGTTGTTATTTCTTTTTATGGATGAGAATGGAATAGTAACCTCATCTGTGCTATTGGTATATGCTGGTCAGTGAATGTTTAGGTGAGGATGAAAATATGTCAGTTAGTACACCATGACACAATGATGTAATGAGACTTCACTATGATGGTTTCCAGTGGGAACCATAAAGAGGTTGACCTGATAGAGTATATAGCAACATTATACTGTACTTACAACCCTATAGTGTTATGACAAGAATAAAAATATTAAAATAAATATTACCAAGATTTATTTTAAGATAGTTTGTGTGTTGTAATTGTATAATTACATAATTGATGGGTTCATGCATGTATGTGGGTTTCTTTATTCCACTATAAATTTTAAATATCTAACAGATTTGGATGTATGGAGGTATCAATAGAATCATTATATTCTGAGTGGTATTGGCTATACTTTACTATAACTTTTTGAATATAGTTAATTTCTAGCAGTCTTCATTTTTTTTTTTTCTATTATAATGAAGTGTTCTCTTTAACAAATTTGTTAATAGAAAAATGTGCATCAGAATTTAGGATAGACAATGTTTTTATATGTTTATCCAAATGAAAATTGTGTTCACAATTGGGAGGTCCATGCTCAGCGGTGGGATAATTACGGCTTATTATGATGATATCATTAGTTGTAAAGAACAGTCTTTAGACTATATAAAAAAAGGAAACATGATAAAGTATGAGGAAAACCACATGTTTCATAATAAATTCTGAATCCTGTTCATGTCTACAGATAGTAATCACTTTGTAAGATTTAAGCTATGTCTTACAAGTTGTATAAAAAATATAATTATATATATAATATATCGATTTAAAACAAACTCACCTAAGTATGAAAAACAAGCTCCCCAATGTAAATAGCAGAGAGAATTTCCTCGCTTGCAATATCAAAACTGGTATTAAGGCAAATGATAATATAAAACACACTATTCCAAGAAAAACACATGCTCCAAATGCCATAAATCTTTGTGTACGAGTCTGAAACAATAAAAATTATGTATAAACATCATCACAATCTGATTATGAGTCATTCATAGGTACTTTATTACAATAACAATACATATAGGGATATAAAATGAATAAATAAATAAAATATTGAATCTTTGTACTCACCAAAGTGCAATATTCTTTTTGAACTTCTTGAAACCAACTTTCGTTGGTGCTACTTGGAGTTTGTTCGCTACTTCGCGACATAAAACTCGGAGTAGAAAAACTAGGCAAACTAAACTTGTAACTTCGACTTTTGTCATTTTGTAATAAATATTCGTCCAAATCCGATTTTAAATTGGCCATTGTGAATTTATTTAAAAATCTGTGTGTAAAATGATGTTGAGCACTAGATTAGAATAGGAACAATTAATTCTAAAGCTTGTCACGATTCACGAATTCCAAATCACCAAAAACATCTCACAAAAACTTCAAGATGCACAGATGAAATTGAAAACAATTTGACGGAAATTGACAACTACAGCCTGCAGTCACTGACACTGACTTTTGACAATGTTTATTAATATTTTTTATATGTTTGACTGACCTGGAAGCAAACCACACGAGTGTACAGTGATTGCCATAGATAGAATAATTGCCGTAACCAATATAGCGCGACGGTAATTGATCATATAATTAGAATAATATTTTCTTTTGCAGTATTTAATAATTTATTTTGATCTCAGCAAAGAATTCAATGTGCAGGGCCTTGGACAAAATTTAAATGACGCAGCTATAAGTGCGCATGTGCCGCAGTTAATCGATTTGTACAGGATATTTTTTAAATAAAGGACCGTTTTAAGACAATGAAAATTTATTAAATTAAATACTTACCATAATCTGTGTCGTCACTGAAGTCATCGTGGACGTGTCGACGAATATTATTGTTGTAGCGGTCATGCGCACAAGGCGGACACACACCCCGTGTTTCACGGTCATCTAAGTCGGTACTACTCGCGTCTGAATCTACTTCTGCATCTTCGATGTGAATGTCTTCAGTTTGTCTGTTATCGAGTTTCTCATTCGATGACAGCTGATTGTAGTTTTTCCGAGGCGGTCGGGATTCTGTAATTAAAATTAATTGTTTATATAAGATGGATGTTTATGTAAAAGTTAAGAAAAAAAAAAATTAAAGTTCTGTGTGACTTGATTTTTCTTTTTTATTTGTTTAAATCTAAGAACATCGAAATCTTTGGTTTAAACATCTGGGAATGCAATAAAACTGCCAGACATCTAAATGAAAAGTCACACGATTATAATATAATACTGTGATGTCCATAATATTACGCAAATATTACCATTCTCGAAGAATTTATATAGACTTCTATATCAACTCACTAATGTTTCATCGTTTAAATGGAAACAGTAAAGCAAGTACAGTTGTTCAGCGGCAGAATTAATTAGCGAGACAGAGGTATCTAGTATATAAAATAAAGAATTTTACTTCGTATACACGGTTACACTAAATTTTCCTTTGATTTTATACCTGTACAATGTTTGCTGTGCATGCGTTGTTGTGATTCATTTTCAAAGATAATTAAATAATAAATTATAGAACGGAAATTCTAAAGTGAATGCAAGAAAGATACTTAGGTAGGACATTTATTGACAATGCCACGAAAATTTGCGTCATAATTAGTATTTGCCAGTTTATACTAAAGAAAGTGTGTTAAAGTTTTTAAAAGTCGGAACTATATTTTGTGCTTGACTTTGATTTTGGTAAAGAGGGAAGTTACATGAACGAGTGGATACAATATAATTAAGATGTTTTCCTGTGAGTGGAGCGAGTAAAAAGTTATACTGATCGACCTAGGTTCTGGAGGACAAAGGTACTTAGAGCATAATACAATTTTTGTTAACCTAAAAAAGTTTTGGAATAACATTTAAAAATATTAATTTTATATCCAAAAGAAGATAATAAAAAGCTAAAGAGTTATAAATACATTAGAAAATCTTAAAAGTCAGTTGAAAGTTTTATGTAAAATGTTCTATATGAAAGTTTACATTTTAAATATTTTACATCCAGCCAGTTCGATGTCTCGAGATTTGAACAGTAAATTCATTTGGGATTTGAATCCACATATTGCTGCTAACGGGGGCGAGACGTGGGCGGCAGATGGCGTTAGGCGTAATAATGTTTGAGAAAAGTGATTGAGTTTACCAAAAGATAGTGGGATTGAATCTCCTATTGAGGTATTGTAAAGTAAAATTACTAACATATTTAAGAAAAAAGTTTTTCACAAGTCTCACGGGAATAGAAAAAAATAGGTTTGCCTCGGGCCTCAGGAGTAAACATGAGGTGTAAACAAATCCTACGCGTCGAGTCACTTCGTTGTCGATCTTGGGCTTGTTACGAACGTAATGCAAGGGATGGAAAGGGTTGTTTGTAAAGCGGAAAGTCACATTGATAGCAATAAACTCTGTCAGATCGACCTACACGTGGCACCCACTGGAAACCATTGTGCTGAATCCCAGGTGTATTTATGACAATGGGCTAATTAACCTGTCTTTTCATTCTCACCTGTCAACCCTTCCTGGTGCTCCACCAGAGTATAGTGTTAGCTCGGGCGGGGCTGCCGTTCCATTTTTTTAATGGATGATAATTAAATGGTAACCCTGCCTGCGCTAACGGTATACGCTGGCGGGGCACCAGAGAGAGATGATAGGCGAGGATGAAAAAACAGGTCAGTTAGCTCATCGTGATAAATACACCAAGTACTTGTTGTCAGAGAAAATTTAATTTTTTATTGGCAGGCGATAAATTGAAATAAATCTTGGTTACGAATTCATTCACAATAACCCGCATTCAAGAAGGCTCGGCAAAATAGTGTCCGGGGGAAAAACCATATTTCGCCCAAATGTCCGGGATTTTTGCCGTGTTTATCTGGTGTCGGCAATTTAGGTGATGGCAGCCCTAGGTATATATCATCGAAACAACGTTATCATGACATTATCTGAATCTCTTTTTCATCGACAAACAATAGGCAAATAGATAGATATAATGTAAATGGCTGATGTAATTTTAGTGCAGAGTGTATATAATTTGTGTTTGATTAGTCTGGTATTGAGGTTGCGTACTGACTGCGTTGACGCATCACGTATGTACTTTCTTATTTATTTATCTAATTTGAATGCGATTTTTTGTCTGATTTTGTTTATTTTTTTAATTACTAAATTTCTAACATAACAAGAGGCATAGGATCAAAATCTGTAAAAATATCGAAAATTCTTAGAAGGTCCTATTGATTTTTTTTTTATTTATTTATAATCTCGATTACTATCCTATTGTAAAATTTTATTGAATACTAGCGATTCTATTCGGCTTTACACGGATAGAATTTTTGAATATTAATACTCGGTAATATTGGAGCTTTCTATAGGCGAAAGAATTTTTAAAATTGATTGAGTAGTTTCAAAAACTACTTTTTATACGTTTATCCGTTTCAAATTTTTACTTTTTGTAGTATTAAGTATATGCAAGGATTATTGATTTTACTATTTTCAATCGATTACATAAAGTAGGTGGTTTTCAATTCAGTTGTGTTTTTTTAATGTTTGATACAGTGGACAGAAGGAGTGGCCCATTCTACGCCGGGACCATACGGCCAATATACCACAACAAGAGTATAAAAATATAGTCATCATCACCTTCCTACCCTTATTATTATTATTATTTATGTGGTATATTACTTGTGTGGTAAAGGAAAGGACTGGGACACTGCAAGCGGCTCGGGAGACCGGAGTACCCGTATACCCTTATTCTAGAATCGGACAGATTTTTAGAGAAGGATAGTCCTGACTAATGTAAAAACGTAGTTTAGTTCTACATATTAATAACATTTTGTTTCAGCGAACAATAAACATGGACAAAGGCGCCCCCAATATAGCGATTCTCGGAGCTGGGGTCGTGGGACTGACAGTTGCTGATATTTTACAGAAAGACCTCGGTAAAGCGAACATAACTATTATAGCTGACAAATTCAAGGAAGACACCACAAGCGCGGTGGCTGCTGGTATTTTTTGTCCCGGATCTAGTTTTAGAGGTGCGACAAGAGAAATTACACATAAATGGATAGACGACTCGTGGTACTACTGGCAGGATATATTAAAGTCATCGGAAGCATCAAATGCTGGTATTATGGAGTTATCTACTTACATATTTGCTAGAGACAATTATGAACTTACCAAAAATCCTTTGCTTGAACACTTAGTTTCGAATTATAGAGCGGCACGAGAGGACGAGTTGAAACTTTGCGGGCCAGGCTGGAAGTACGGCTCATATTTTACAACAGTAAAGATAGGTTGTGACAGATATTTGCCGTGGGTCGAAAGGCGATTTGTTGATAAAGGTGGCAGAATTGTGAGCGGTAAAGTCGACAGTTTCACATCACTACGCCAGTACGATTTGGTTTTCAACTGCACCGGTTTGGGCGCGAAATATTTGTGCAATGATTTCGATATATTCCCTCTCCGCGGACAGGTAATTAGAGTTAAGGCGCCGTGGTTGAAGACGGCCTTCTTCTGTGATTACGACACGTACATAATACCTGGCATGGATGGCGTGACTACGTTAGGTGGCGTGAGGCAACACGATAACTCTAATTTACAAGTTTGCAAGTACGATGCGCATGCAATATGGCAACAGTGCTGTGAAATATTGCCAGATTTAAGGAAAGCTGAAATTATTGGTCATAATGTGGGGTTGCGACCATACAGAGTTCCTGTACGCGTGGAGCCCGAGGTTATAGGAGGTGTGAAGGTGGTTCATTGTTATGGACATGGCGCGAATGGAGTCATGTCGTCTCCGGGAACCGCTCTCAATGCTGTGAAGATAGGATACGACTATTTGAAGAGTAACATTAGGAATAAATTATGAATAGATTAAACTTTCATTTGCATTTAAACATTATGAATTCAGAGTTCTAAAGAAAAGATTTTTAAAAAGTACTATTTTAATACACAATAGTAAATTAGCTAATTATTTTGTATAATACAATCAATACCTAAGATATTTATCTTCAATTTAAGCTATCAATCCATCTATGTCTTGAAATCTTTTAGTGTTTGATATTCAAAAATCTTAGACGACAGTATTAGTAAAGTATTGTCTTTGAAAAGTCTATAATAAAGGTTGAAATGATATTAGTATTATTTATAATTCTACCAGTGATATTGAATTATGTTCTTAAACAAATGTGGGTCAATTACACATGACTAAAATTTTAATATCACAGTGCATTTAGTTGTCTATTTAGTTTAGACAGCTCAAAATGATATACTTATCAAATAAAAAATAAAAAAAACATTAAAATATTGCATCTTTTTTCTTTGTGCAACGCCTATAGACATGAGCAGTACCGTGGACATAACATAGTATATTGTTTCGCCCATGATATCCCCCCATGCGTTGCCATTCCTGAGGACTCAGGTGTTATTGCTCTGTACCCTGTAAATTCACGCCATATACAAACCGAAACACAGCCATGCAAACACAACTGCTCCACGGTTGAAACACAAATGGGACAGAGGTGGGACTACAAACGACTTTTGTACAAAGTGTCCCTCTGGTAAATACATGTACGAGTATATTGCATTTATTTGTATTTTTTAATTACAATGCATTTCATGTTGTATACATGTACTAAAAATAAATTGAGACGAGAGGCTCAAAATTATATTTTAAAATAAAAAAAAAGGTGTGTAATGCCGTATTTAGTTATTGGTATTCCATTATACATATGTTTGTATCCAATAAATACATAATTATTAGGTATATTCATTGTTTAAAGAAGAACATAGCTTGCAAGGTACTTGTTTGATAAATTGACAGCAGAAACGAGCAAAGATAATTATAAGAGCAGAGCTGTCCAAACCATGGCCCGCGGGCTACACGCGGCCCGCGACTTGAATTGATGCGGCCCGCCAAATCTTTTCTAACTACTACCAATATTGATGTTGATATTGACAGAATTAATAGTAATAATAATATTCTTTATTTACTGCTCACATCTAGTATTTTAACTTAAAATTATTATCCTTGTGAGAGTCTGGAGTCTGAATTAGGTCGAAACCTGTACTACAGATCTCCAGGCTCTCTCCGAAGTTTTACAATATATTACTGAACATCTATATTATATATATATATATATATATATATATATATATATATATATATATATATATATATATATATATATATATATATATATATTATATATTGTAAAAGATAAATTGATGAAAAAATAATACAATAACATAATACTGATATTATAGCTGCATTTTGTTGTTACAAATATTTTGCGGCCCCCCAATGAATTTAGTCATTTTTATTGGCCCTAGATCCTATCTAGTTTGGACAGGCCTGTTATAAGACTATAGTGATTTATCTCGGAAAGCAGATAAGACAGTAAGGTTCATATACACTTATCCTCTTTGATCTCTGATAAATAAAATATAATAAATACTTTTACATTATTAATTAAGTATTCTTAAATTGTAAGCATTCATAGTATTTGTTATTATGACTTAGATAATGGAGTCGGAAAATACCTATCTGTAACTTTTATGATTGGTACATATCAGAGATAACAGTAGAGATAAATAATACACCTGGCAGATTTTATTCCCTTTGAAAATATTTTGAATTTCCTTTGTTTTAACAACTTAAAAACAATACGGTTAAAATAATATACCTTAATGACGGTGATGAAAATAAATGGTATTCTACAATAATACCGTATTCTATTATATTATATATTCGACAATGTACGAATTAATGTAGGTAATTATAATACTAATAATAATATAATTTGTAAACTTCATTGTCTTTTTTCTCACTTTCCCTTTAAATTTAACCTTGCTTGTTACTCTATTTTTTATACAACTTAGAATGGCAAACAAGCTGACGACCCACCTGATGGAAAGTGGTAACCGTCGCCTATATACCATACATGAGCAGTACCATGGACATAACAGAGTATACTGTTTCGTTCATGATACCCCCCATGCGTTGCCATTCCTTAGGACTCAGGTGTTATTCCTCTGTACACAGTAAATTCACTACCATACACCACTCTTCAAACCGTATATATCCTTCCTTCTTAGATGGAAAGGAAGCATAATTCTATTTACAATTTTGAATACAGAACCCTCGGCGTAAGAGTCCAATTTACATTTAGCTAGTTTTTTTTTGTAAATAAAAAAGTACTTGACATTTCAACGATTTATGATGTAGATATAGATATATAAGTAGCGTCAAAACAACGTTATCTCGACGTTATCTCAATTTCTCCTGCAGCAAACACCCAGCTATTGTCTAACGAAAACGATAAAGTTAATAGTTGAGGTCACGCCGGAGAGTAAACAAGATTAACATATGATTGGCCAGGCCAGTGTCACAGCGGTCAGCGCTTTATACGAGTTGAGCGCTGTATACAGTAGATCCGGCCGCGTTCAGGCATCACGTATGTAATTTTAGCAATTAACAAGCTTTTGTTTGTTTATTATAAACATAATTTTAAATTTTTGAATTTAGAATAGTGGTGTTTGTTATGTTTTTTTTTTATATCTCATCATATCTTGGTGTAAAAGACATATTAAACGCGTGATATGTTTTCAAATGCTGTTATTATGTAATCAATATTTACTCATATGCCGGGAGCTAATAAATTTTGCATATCTGTAATGTTATTGTGTTGCGTAGTGTCGCAATATGTAACTAAGTATAAATGTGTTATGTTTAATTAATGAAGTACGTGTAAGGTTTTAGCAGTTTTATAGTCGCGAGTAATCTATTAGGTATAAAGAAATGCCAATTTTTATTTTGGAATAATGTTTTATCTTAAGTGGTTTTTTTTTTTAACTCAATAGGATATTTATTTGAAAGAAAACGCTCATCAGAAAGTATTTGAAGATAGTTAACCTATTTGTTACTTGTTAATATAATATTTTGGTTTCTAACCAGTTGGTTTTTTTTTTGATAGGTTAAAATGGTATGGTAACCCCACCTGCGCTAACGGGATACGCTGGCGGAGCACCAGTGAAGGGTGATAGGTGAGAATGAAAACAGACCAGAGCCCATCATGATGAATTCATCAGGAATTAACCATGATAGTTTCCAGGCAGAACCGCGAGCAGGTCGACCTGGTTGGGTATATTGCTAGCAATGGGATTCTCAGTCTTCATTACTAACAATCCCATTCCCCCACCAGTTGGATATTTGTTTAGTTTTAAATTTTCTCAACATTTACTCTACTGTTTCAGTGAACAATAAACATGGACAAAGGCGCCCCCAATATAGCGATCCTCGGAGCTGGGGTCGTGGGACTGACAGTTGCTGATATTTTACAGAAAGACCTCGGCAAAGCGAACATAACTATTATAGCTGACAAATTCAAGGAAGACACCACAAGCGCGGTGGCCGCAGGTATTTTTAGACCGGGAACGAGTTTTAGAGGTGCGACAAGAGAAATTACACAGAAATGGATAGACGACTCGTGGCATTACTGGCAGGATATATTAAAGTCACCGGAATCGCCAAATGCTGGTGTCATGGCTTTCTCTAGTTACATATTCTCTAAAGACAATTATCACGTCACTAGAAATCCGTTCATTGAAAATCTGGTGCCTATTTATAGGCCAGTACAAGAGGCAGAGTTAAAACTTTGTGGTCCAGGATGGAAGTATGGTTCTTATTTTACAACATTAAAGATAGGATGCGAGAAATACTTACCGTGGGTCGAAAGGAGATTTGTTGATAAAGGTGGCAGAATTGTGAGCGATAAAGTCGACAGTTTCACATCACTACGCCAGTACGATTTAGTTTTCAACTGCACCGGTTTAGGCGCGAAATATCTTTGTAATGATTATGATTTAGTCCCTCTCCGCGGGCAAGTTATTAAAGTTAAGGCGCCATGGTTGAAGACGGCGTTTTATGGTGATTACGATACATACATTATTCCTGGCCTGGATGGCGTCGCTACATTAGGTGGCGTGAGGCAATATGATAGTTATAATTTACAAGTTTGTAAGCACGACGCGGCGGCCATATTAGAACGGTGTTGCCAGATGTTGCCAGCTCTAAAGAAAGCTGAAATTATTGCTCATAAAGTGGGGTTGCGACCGCATAGAGTGCCTGTACGAGTGGAGCCCGAAGTAATTGGGGGTTTGAAAGTGGTTCATTGCTACGGGCACGGCGGATACGGTGTGATGTGTTCCCCGGGCACGGCACTCAACGCTGTTAAGATTGGACAGGATTTCTTGAAAAGTAACATAAAAAATAAACTATAAGAGGAAATTTATTATTTACGAGTAAAAATCATTGTTACAAACAATACTGTGTTTCGACTGATTTGTATGAATTTTTGAAAATAGGTATTTTCTTTTTGTTTGAAATTTACTATTACGTAAATACTGACTATATTTTTATCTATGTTGAAATTGGAATTTTGATCTTTCGTGTTAGTGTCATTCTATCATCACGGCATATTTATATTATCGTCATGCCAAGTAGTGATAAAGTGTAGGTATGTTTGCGTATAATTTACCCAATGATATTCAGTTGTATTATTAGTTAATATTTATTATATGTCCCAGATTTAATGTCAGATAGTTTATTAAGTTTATAGACGAAAAAGAAAACAATATTTCATACTGTTCTAAAGTAATAAATATAATAATAAGTATTTAGAACCTTAGGGTTTTTTTTTATACTACTGTTATAGTAAACAAGCATACGACCCGTCTGATGGTAAACGGGATTGCGGTAGCCTATATATGCCTGTAATATTAGGTATTTGTATTTTATTGCACATTAAACGAGCAACAGAGAATATAGTATTGATCTGGTTATTTTTTTATTATTTGATTTTTACTTTCCTGTAAGCTATTATATATATATATATATATATATATATATATATATATATATATATATATATATATATATATATATATATATATATATATATATATATATTCTTTATTGCACTAAAACATACAGTAACAACAATAAGTTAATAACAATGTTAGCAAAGACAAACTTATGTCTAAAAGAGATTTCTTCCTGAGAGATAATGTCACATTTCATATAAATTCAATGAATAAATAATAAATAATTCAATTAAGCGATCCGCTTCAATTATTATTAATTCACAGTCAGTAAAACACTCTCTGATATACAAAAAATTGTGGTCCTGCATAATTGATCAGCTTACGTCGTCATCTGTTGAAAGTGGATCCGACGGGGTACCTATCTGGATGCTTTATTTTCCACCTGACCTGTGCCGGAATACACCAGGAGATTGATAGTTTTTATATCGCAACACTTAACTTATTTTAAAATTTAAAAGAACTTGCAAATAAGTCTATTTGAATAAAGATTATTTCTATTGTCTTCTATTAACATTATGTTTCAAAAACCTGACTTAAAACATGGCAAAATCATATATTTTTATTTAAAAAAAAAACAATTATTTTGATTTATAAACTAAATCACTTAACAGAATTTTCAAGTAAACCTTTCAGATAAAGAGAATATTCCGAATGTGTTCGAGCGTCTTCGAGTAAACGGGGAACATACACTGCGTATCCCCGAGCCTATGATGGGACCCTCTCATTTTTCGAGTGTTCGTAACAGGATCGAAAATATTTCATTTTCCATTTTATTTCACCATTTCATTGTTACTCGGAGCACTCACCTGCATACTTGTTTGCTTGTTACTCAATGTTAACTCATTGTAACATTGCTTGACTTCTCAAGTGACTTCAGAAAGAAGGTTTATTTAAGGTTTTTTTTTTATGTTTGTCACCTCTTTTTTTTTAATAAAACTTAGAATTGCAAACAAGCTGACAGCCCACCTGATCCAAAGTGGTAACCGTCGCCTATAGACATGAGCGTAGATATAACAGAGTATACTGTTTCGCCCATGATACCCCCCCATGCGTTGCCATTCCTGAGGGCTCAGGTGTTATTCCTCTGTACCCTGTAAATTCACGCCATATCCCACCCTTCAAACCGAAATACAGCCATGCAAACACAACCGCTTCACGGTAAAAACACGAATGGGACAGAGGTACCCAAGCAATCGACTTTTGTACAAAGTCTCCGTCCCTCCCTCATAACTCCGTCAACATATTCCGTACACTCTCGTTGGTGTTTTCCGCCACCTACGGTTTGGAGGAAAGGATTGAGGAAAAAAGGTAGGGAACGTTGGGAATGCGTAAAGGAAATTGTTAAATAAGAGGAATAAGGAGACTTTGTACAAAAGTCGATTGCTTGGGTACCTCTGTTCCATTCGTATTTCAACCGTGAAGCAGTTGTGTTTGCATGACTGTGTTTCGGTTTGAAGGGTGGGATATGGCGTGAATTTACTGGGTACAGAGGAATAACACCTGAGTGCTCAGGAATGGCAACGCATGGGGGTATCATGGGCGAAATAGTATACTTTGTTATGTCCATGGTACTGCTCATGTCTATAGGCGACGGTTACCACTTTCCATCAAGTGGGCCGTCAGCTTGTTTGCCATTCCAAGTTGAATAAAACAAAACAAAACATATTAATAAGTGAGTACAATCGAATATTCATTGCTACTGACATCAATCAATCAATAAGTTTTAATTGAAACGGATCGTTGGAAAATGTACCTCTAGCTAAGGTCAGACGTTTTAAAATATTATTACCAATTATCGTTGAATAAGTAACTAATTCTAAACCTAGGGGATCTCAATTAACGCAAGTAATTAATACATTTTATTACTTTCCGTTAACAAGAGTTTCTTAATTGCAAATTAGTTTTCTCAGTGATAAAACTTTACGTATATTAAATGGCCATTATTTAAATGTCCTCTTTCGACCTGTACAATAATAAATCATTTGAATGAGCGAGCGTCGTAACCGCTCATGACTAAGGATCATGAATTGATCCCGAAACTAGTTGTGTTTTTTCGATCTAATTACAAGTTAAACTAATAGTTATTACATTAAAATATAATGTGTGCTTAAGAAATTTTTAACAATGAATCATTTATTTTTTATTTTTGTAGTGTCCGGGCCGTCTGTGACACCGTGTTAATAAAAATACAATTAAATAACCAAACAGCCATTTTATATTTCTTAAAAAATGCAATTTAACTTGTTTCACAAATCAACATAACATTATAATAATTAACCAACAAACCCAAAATTAATTATTTTTTTTAGTACGTTTGTTCCGTTGTGGAACACGCTAAGGTCGGAGACCATGCTGCCTAGTCTTCAATATGATACCCAAAATTAAATTCGTTCTACCATAGATTTCTTATTTCTTTTCTGCCCTAGATTCAATATTCCTTTTTTACCATAGATAAATTATCTGTCTATTACAAACATCTTTTTAAATATACTTACATAAATTTTTATTTATATTTCAAATTTCTCAGCTTTTAGAGCTTGTAAATACGCTTTTCAGCGTCTACTAACACTTAGGGATCGGCGACCAAATAAATGCAGTGTGTATGTTTTGTATAGAAGGCTATGCTTGTATATTGTATATGATAAAATGTCTAGGAAGTTAATCAGAGAAAAAAGATTTTTCCAAATCACTTTATAACTGACGGAGTTATGAGATAATAAACATAAAAGAAAATACAACCGGTTTAAGAATCTCTTTTTTTTAAGCAATTTAAAAATATCATCGATTAAGTGTTGTGGGGTTACTTTTGAAATAAATTCCAATGGATCGATATTGAAATAGGAACGGTTTACACTCTCGAATTGCAATACTGGCGACATAATGGTTCCACACTGTTAGACGCATAATAAAAAAAAAAAATTAGAGTGTACAAATTTACAGTGTGCATATTAGTGCAATTTGCTAATGCAAACTATTGCAAACCGATCCTAATTGGAGCTTAATTTCTAATTGTTGTTTCATAAGTGCAGTACAAAATTAGCATTGGCATTGGCTGAGAGTGTCCATAGGTTCACCATCACATGGACGGTTTGTTCCTTTGCCACCTTTGTGGTATAAAAAAAAACAATTTCACAATATTCCGTAACGCCAAGTATTAATACCGTTTGATATTCATCGCCTCGCATACGTGAGTGTTTTTCATTTGTGTCGTAAAACTGTTTTTTTTAGATTCAATTGGATTATATGGCGGGAAACAGAGAAACGTCAACACTTTTTTTATACAGAATTGTGTTACGTTTCCTGAGCCTTTAGTGCTTTTAAATAATTCCCTTTGTTGGTTTTTGGTTTAGGTAAGTATTGTGGTAAATTGAGTTTTATTATTTATATTTATAGAATCTGTTGTTGTTATGTGTGAATTGTCGATTCTTTATGCACGGTTGATTTTGGATTGATAAGTTAAGAGATAGATATAATATTTCATTAATATTTCTTGAAATTAAATGAACTGAATTTGAAATAAAATGTTTTTTAAATGTGTTTGATAATTATACGTAGATCTATTTATTAGAAAGAGGCAAAAGAAATAAAGTAACTAACATATGTCGAAGGATAAGCAATCTGAAGTAGCAATGGGCTGGTCACATAGCTCAAAAAATCGACAGCCAATGGGGATGAAAGGTTTTTTAAGGGCCACCCCATACGGGCAAACACAGTTTAGGACGACCACCACTAGATGGAGTGATGACGTGATGATGACCTTAAACGTATTGCAGGGAATCAGTGAATGCAGGTGGCTCAGGACCGTTCTTTATGACAGTCTATGGGGAGGCTTATGTCCAGCAGTGGACTGATAATGACTGAGATGACGATGATGATTAGAAGACTATTAGGAACTATGTATAAAAATCCTAATATTATAAATGGGAAAGTGCGTTTGTTTGCTTCTCTACTACATAGCGTCTTAATAGTTTTATCAAACGTCATAAAATTTGATGTACATGTATATCCCGGTTACGCGGGACAAAGTCACGGGTAAAACTAGTAATTATTATAATTCAGATAATTGAGTCCTCAGGAAGTCACGCATGGGGGGTATCATAGGCGAAGCAGTATACACTGTTATGTTCATGGTACTGCTCATGTCTATAGGCGACGGTTACCATTTTCCATCAGAGGGCCGTCAGCTTGTTTGCCATTCTCAGTTGTATAAAAAAAGACAACCTTTGGGCAGAGGACATTGAGAAAAAAGACAAAGGGCTGGTGGCATATTATTATATATATATATATATATATATATATATATATATATATATATATATATATATATATATATATATATATATAATGCATGCCTTCCCAAAATGTTTGGACTTTGGATTTTTTAAATTCTTTAGAATTAAAAATGTGTGAGTAAAAATATTTATAAGATTTCCATGCCATTGCCATGTCACTACCCACAAAATAAATTATTGTTATATTATATCACAAAAATGTATTTATTGATAATACTTAAACTAGGACGATTCGTAATACGGTTATGCATAACAGTTTGTGTGTATGAATTTGTGCAAGTATCAAATATCCTTCCGTATATACTTTCGTAAATATCATCGTGAATGGTGTTTTTCTAAATCCCCTAATCTTTTTCCGGCATAAATTTAACGTGGGAATTCCGAATCAAAATTTATCCGGTGTCCGAAGGGCTAAAAAAGATACGCAAAGTCATATATTTACTGTGATTATTTTTATATTTTTTTATTAATTAGTAGCTGAATATTGTTAAGAAAAAATTTTTAATTAATTAATTATTAGTGCTGATTTTAATTAATTTTAACAAATGTCTTATAAAACTACAACTGCTTAAACAAATGAAATTAAATCGAAACGCAGTATTATTTTTACAAAAAGTGTTGCCAGATAAAGAAAATACTTTCGTTCCCG